GATTTCAAGCACTTGGAACTTCCGTTGCATGCCGAAACGCAGAAGGATATATCATGTTGGGAAACCTTGGCTCAAGCGGGCCTCATGCTTCTTTTTGGGCACCTATGCCCCGGAGGGCGTATGAGAATCTGCGTGCCATCTTTCTGCGACAATTCTGGCGCAGAGTCTGTATGTGCGAAGCTTCTGACGACGAAATCACCTCTTTGCTTCTTTGCCCAACTTGTGGCGATGATCAGCGCTCGCGTGGGGATTAGTCTGGATGTGCAACACATCGCAGCCCTCTGCCTGCACCCTGGAATCCCGACTTCAGATACCGCTTCACAGTCGCAGATTTCTTTGATCTACGTCATGATGTTCGACTTTTCCCGGCCGATGCCAAGCTGGGCCAAGCTGCTGTGGAAGCTGCCGTGCTGAGAGCTGCCGTGCCGTCATCTGCCGCCACATACCCGGAGTCAATCTCCCCTTGAAGGCCCGGATCATCGAGGTGGGCAGCCGCCCGGTGCACTGCAAGGCCGACCTTCCCGCTCAGCTTAAGGCCTAAGTCCTCCGGCCCTACCTGGATACGCCTATCCGACCCGACTTGTCCGGAAATTATAGGCTCACCAAAGCCGCGCAGGACAGCCTCCGATGGATGCTATCCCTACAAACAGCTTAGCACTTCCGCCTCTCATGCCTTGCCTAGCCCGTGCCGACGCCATGGCAGAAGGTAACAAGGTGGGAATCGGAGGTTGGATCACCACCAAGCAAAGCATGGCTTGGTTTGCGGAGTCTTGGAACATGGATGAGGTGAGGCTCACTTGGCCCTTCCTAACCAAAGATGCCCAAAAATACATAGCCTGCTTCGAGACGCTCGCCCAGCTAGCGCTAGCCATGACAGCCAGAGAACGACATGCCTTCTCTCAGTTTGCAGTGTGCCTGCCTTCTCAGAGCGAAAACACGCCTTCGGAGGCGGGAGTGAACAAACTGTTCACAACTAGCTGGCCACTCTCGCAGTTCCTTCAGCTCATCGCATCATGGTCGTCATGCCATGGAGTGGAGCTGCAAGTCTCCCACGTGGCGGGAGCACACAACCAGTGGGCAGACGACCTTAGCCGTGGACGTCTTCAAGCCTTCAGCCATCGACCGCAAGAGCGTGTCCGGATCTCGCTAGAGAGGCTTGCCTCCGCGGCGTCGGAGGCATTCTGGAGCAGCGTGCCTCAAGTGCCTAGCCCTCTCTTGCCTCGCCAAGGCTGACCCTCCGCTCCTTGAGACGCCAGCGCCCTCCGAGCCAAAAAAGACTGGCAGCCTTGCTCTTGCTGACATTCACAGCTGCGTTCACAGCGTTCGGATATGATCTGCCGGCTCCGCGGTGGGGGATTACTTCTTCCTGCCTTGTTTACCGGTTGGATCTGTCCCTAAAGTGGGGGTATTTTCCTACATGACCGATCTTGCCTTTTTGCATCGGTCAGCCTTCGGCTAGCCGCCAGCCTACAGATCCAACACGGATAAAAAGAGATCTGAAGTGCTAGAGCAGTGCAAGCCTACCTAAAACGTTACCTGTTTTGTTTCAGGAATGTTTTCGGAGCTTGCGAATCTCTACACATGACATGCCTACATGCCTTTGTGTAGTCTGGCTCAGCACTTGCAGTTCTCGAAAAGCCCCGCCCGCCCACACCTACAGGCTGCGACCTTGCCAGGTATCACAGCCTTCAGCGCTGCAGCGGCGCACCAAACCTGAGGGCCTTTGGCTATCGGATGCAAAGCCATTCGACAGCCTCTTGCCCTCAGGTTGCACAAGCCAACCTTCGGATCTAGCCTTAGACCTATGCTCAACAGCCTTCGCGCTTGCCTTACAAGCTTTTTGTCTTTGCCGCACAGTTGTGATGTCCTGCAGGTCATCGTCCTCTTCTACGCCAGCCACAGGCTGCACAGCCCCAACCCCTTGGGTTTCCCTCCCTAACCCCTGCGCCCAGGTCTTGACCTACGACGCCGTCTCCGCCGACTGATAAGCCCGGTGACCTCTCGCACGAGCCTTCTCTTGTTTCACGCCAGGTGGCCGCCTAGGCTAACTTAGACCGCCGGATGCCTGCTCCCGGTATTGCTCTCGCCTTTGCCCACAGGCTGAAGCTTTGCCTTTGCCTCAAACACTCTGCAGTGTGTTCATCAACCTTTTGCTGCCTCAGCATACGCCTTAATTCTGGACGAATGCACGCCTTTTTCACTCGTCTTCTCACATAGACTAGCCGGGGGTATTTTCCTACATGATCGATCTTGCCTTTTTGCATCGGTCAGCCTTCGGCTAGCCGCCAGCCTACAGATCCAACACGGATAAAAAGAGAGCTGAAGTGCTAGAGCAGTGCAAGCCTACCTAAAACCCCAAAACCTCAACCCTGGGCCTTAACCCTTAAAACGCACCCCCTTTTCGGCCGCGTTCACACCCACGTGAAGCCCCATTTCAAATCCCCGTTGAAGCCTCCTTTCAAGCCCCCTTGAAGGCCTGCTTCAACCAGCCTCCGTCCCCTTGCGCCCTTCAAGCCCTTGAAGCCTTCAACCCTCCTCCCCGCCACAGCCCCTTTTGGCCCACCCGTGAAACCCCCTTCAAGGGTCCGATTCTCTTCAAGGGGGGAAGGGGGTGGGCCCAGCCGCGCGTTCATGCACGGGGTGTGTTCACTGTTTTTTCTTGTCTCTATCGATCTGAATCGGGCGGACTTGCGGTTTCATTTTCCTTAACTGTGCGATTGTGTTGGATTTTTGTAGGGCTTCGCGATTGTGCGAAGGCTTCGGAATCAGTAGAGTTTTTGTGTGACACGCGTAGGATGCTCGCAGCCTTACTGTCGGTTCGAACTTGATGCAAACATGGTGCTTTGGATGTTTGCATGAACCTCATGAACCAGATTTGTTGGAACAGGATTCCAAGAGAGATGAGTCAACTCGCGAGTTTCCGCTATAAAGATCACCCTGACACTCCCCAAGGGCCTCGCCATTCGCGTTAAGGTCAATGTTGTCCAGCCAGACGACCCTAACCTGCTCGAACAGCAGTCGCCCTGTAGGGCAGATGGAGCAGCTTGTTGTGTTGCCTCCTGGCTTCGTTCTCAACTCAGGCTGATGGCCGCCTGTGTGCTTTTGCACACGTTGTGCTGTCACAGCTCAGGACAGATCTGACCCGTTTGGGCAGAAAAAGGTCCAACCTCATTCTTCGTCCATACATTCTGTTGAAATCATTTGACTGCGCATGTTCAGTGTTTTCGACTGCCAGTCGACGCTTTTTGCTGGGACTTTCCGACCGCAGCGCAGCCGGTCGGTCCTTACCTTGGTTTGGAAGAAGTGCATGCCAAGTTGAATATTGCGGGAGCAAGCATCCCATGGTCAGTCAAAGCATGTTCGCACCTTGTGCCGAATCCGTGGATCAAGGCGAAGTTGGCTGCTGAAAACTCTTTGTGGGCGGCTCAGACCGAACCTTGGTGAGAAGTTGTTGCAAAAACTCCGTCCAAACAACAGCCGAATTATCTGCAGCCTGCCGATGTGCAGGAGACACGGTCCGGCGAGCGCCTCTGCCAGTGAGGCAAGAACCTGAGAGGAGTGCGATATGATGTGGCAGAGATGGGGCTTGTCAAGCGCGGGCCAGGCAGCCCAAGTTGCCAGTCACGCTCTGAGACGATAAACTTTCACAAGGGAAGAGCGGGTTGAGGAGGTCATGCAAGTGCACAGTGGAAGTTCAGGCATAGCAGTACAGCGCATGCAGGAGTTTCGCTAGCTGCGTCGTCCTAATCCCTGCCTGAGGCAGGCCTGTGACCGGAGGCGCCAAGAGCCAGGGACCGAGTTTTGCGAGGGACGGTGCGAGGGACTTGCGAGCCTCCGGCAGTTCAAAGTGCGGTTTTCTCGGAGGCCGACCGAGCACCGGTTCGAACCTGGATGACATGTGGGACGGAATAGGGCGGGACAGGTCTGACCGAAAAGTAGGAACAAAGGGTTTAGCTCTCGTGGAGGACCTGTTGGCTCCCTTCTCGCTTCGCGACCACGTCGGCAACTTGTTGCAACAGTGAAGCTCTGAGACTCAGGGGCTTTCGCAGGCTGCATGAAGGCATGAAGGAATAACGCGATAGATGCCACTGGAGGCCGTTGCCGACACGAGGTGAAGGAATCAAAGACTATTCGAAGGAGTGCTCTATCGGTCCGTTGCCTGCAAGCTCCCTACTCTGGCATTGCCGAAGATGTCCCACGACCGCGTTGTGGCACGTCAGAAGTGTAAGGTGCCGCCGACCCACTTGAGCCACACTCCATCAGAGATGCATGGTACGACCCTGAGACACGAATCCGAAGTGGGAGCTCTGGCAAGGTGCCGTAAATCAGGGGAGGCGAAGGCGAAGGCCAGGCTGATGGCGGTCCCATCGTCAATCATCAGCATCGAGGTGCCTTTGCCTACACTGAACAGCTCCACAGAGGCGTTCTGGCCCAACAGGCTCGGCGAGGTTTCGTTCTTTGGTCTTCAGAGCATACCGCGCGCACCATATGGTGATATGTTCGGAAGGCTTCGGAACAGTGGCGTGGTTTTCCCAAGAACGACCAGACAGCTTTCAATGAAGCACGGGCGAATGCCCCAGCGCAATGTGCAGTCTTGTGCCAGTACCAGCAGAGGAGCCTACGTGCAGGTACATATGGGCCACATCATGCGTAAGTGAGTGCTGATCATGCCAGAAGTCAACTCGAAAGTTGACTGACCCAAGGGAAGTTGAAAGCTTGTGAATCAGAAAGCTGGAAGACAAAATGGTTGTACGGTATTACACGAGGGACGATCATGTTTCACCATTTTCATCTCAACCGTCCAGTTTTGCCAAGCATACTGCATGGTGTGAGAACTACAGACGTAAGAGTGCTCGGCGCCCTTCGAGAAGAAAGCATTTTGTTGGTGGGTTTGATCGCGTTCTCGGCTGCTCCCATCTCTCTGCAGACTTGACCCATGTGACTGATGTGCATGCGCTGGCACGCCCACATACTCCCACCTAGCGAGATGCATCTGATTGATGTGGGTGCCGCCGTCATGGTGCTCCAGCTTTAGCTCAATCCAAGACATGGTTGGCACCCGGCACAAGAAGCTGACAAAAATTCAACGGGGCTTGAATGGCTTTCATGCGCGAAGTGACCAGTGCACAAGCCGTTTCGCTCTCAATGTTCTTATAAGTATATCGTTACTGCTGGGGATTTGCCAGATCATGCTTGAGTGGTCAAGCATTGATGGCGAGGCGGCTTTCGGAAGCCGGAGAGGGAAATTCGGCATGGTCCTGTCCAAGCAGGCAGATGGCCTCCCGAAAGCGGAGACGGTGCAGCAGTTCAGGCGGGAGGCTGCAGCAGCTACTGCAGTGGCCTTCGTCCCTGTCCGCAGGCTTGTCTCTGCCGATCTCCCCCTCAAAGTCGACAGGCATGCCCTGGCTTTGGACATGAAGGACAGACGCTTGCGTAGGTGGTTGCGCTGTGCTTTGTCAGAATATTCTCGGAGAGGACGAGCTGTTGCCCTCCCTGGTGTACGCAGAGGACCTGTTGTCAGGTGCGAGACGCGACGTTTAGCCAGACCTCAGTGCCAGCGTGAGCTTGCAGGTCCCGCACATGGCATGGGGAGGCAGGCCCCGCTTCAGATCGCACATCCACGTTTCTTGGTCAGTCTCGCATTTCTCAGGCCGAGGAGCGTCCTGGATTGCACCTCCCAGCATGAGGTCCGCGAGAGAAACGCGTGGAGATGATCCTCCAGCATTGAATCACTGTGGCTTTCCCTTTGCACAGGAAGGTGCGGAGCCCATGCGAGTTAAGATGGTGGGCAGAAGCGACGAAGCTTTGGACGACATAGATCCAGTGGCGGTTGCCTCAGCTGCTTCAATACAGAGGCTACTGCAGCTGGTAGCCGAGCGATTACAACGAAAGCTTTGGAAGAAACTCCTGCCTTGCCGCTCTAGTGCTTCCAGTTGAAGTTGGCAAGTGCATATCCCTCGAAGAAAATCATTGTTTCAGAGCACACTAGACGAGCCAGCTCGGTGGTGGAGACGACAAGACAGGGTTTGGGGTTGAGCCTTGAGGGCTTTTGGGTTTATCGTGTGGGGGTTTAGAGGCCTTGTTGGGGGTTTGTTTTTTTCTTTGGCCAACCACTCGTGTTAGGGTCTTGGGTTTCCGGTAGCCAGCGACTCGTGTTGGGGTTTTGGGTTTCGCACCCACCCGCTGTGTTAAAGCTTTTTTCAAAAATGTGGGGAAGGGCTTGCACTTGATACAGAATCTGACCAGGCTTGGCTGAAAACCGAGCTAACGATATTCAACCAGCTTGTAGATGGACTCTAGAATCTCCCGGAATTTGATTGAATTACGAAATTAGTCGCACTGAGGTGCTTGTCGGTCAAGGTGATCCCGTCATTCCAGGTATCATGACTCTCTGTTCTGCTGTAGATAGGCGTTGCAAAATATGATATGCAATTGAAGTCACTTTAGCTCTTGATCGGAGGTCCTAACTGTGACTTGAGTCATATACAGCTAAAGTCGTGTCAGAACCTTATGGAGTTCGAGCCGCTTTGGGATGGAATTCCTGATGTGCTGTGATGGGGGTTATTGTTATGTAGTAGTTCCTTGCTCAGTGGAATTCTCACTGGAACCTAGGTGTTGTATGGAAATAATGTCACTCAGAAATCCATGAAATTCTTGAGTGATTGTACTTAGGTGTTATATAGAATTCACGTTCTTCCAAAAGCAAGCGAAACGTGCTGATCTATGATGTACAGTTCAGGAGATTCCATTGTCTGTCTATCTTCTACATCAAACGTTCAGCGAGTTGCTTTGACTCTTAAAGCGATTTTCGTTTGAAGTGTTGAAAAACGCTGCAAAACATAGGCCCGGCCAAGTCAGATCTCTTTCTTCTAGGGTTTAGGTTCTTCACCAGATGTAACCAAACAGAGGAAAGTGCGCTTTGGGATCGGGTGCTTGGGTTCGCTGCAGGCCCATGGGCCTGAGTTGTGCTCGGCTGCCACAGGCGCGGGATAGCAGCGAGGCAACGGGAGCGGCCGTGCTCTTGCCCGCAAGGACACGGTCCATCCGACGAGCCAGGCATGCCTGCTGCCGGGCCCCAAGGATGCTTTGCAGAGGGGAGAAGAAGAGATCGCTCCTGGCATTCCCGAGACAACCCCAAAACGGTGGAACTCACTCACGCTTTTTTGCGCTTTCACAAACCGCCAAGAAGCACATAGTATAGTTTGTTTGGATGTGCCATCGGATCCTGGCTCTCAGAAGCCCTGGCTTCAGGAGTGGCTGCAGGTCACGACCATCATGATGCGAAACTTGCCTAACAAGCGCGACCCATAGCACAGGCAGAAGCTGGCGACATGGTGCGCGCTTTTTGCTCCTTGGTCTGAGGTACACGCAGCGAATGCTCCTTATGGAGGCTTTTTCCTCTTTCGATCTCTTTCGAAGCTGTCGCAATCCTGCAACACTGTGGGGCTGGCTTGTTCGACCCGAGACAGCTCGGGAAGGTGAATCATGCTGGATTTTTTGGAAGCTTCGACTTCTTCTACCTTCCGATTGGTCCGACATGCACGTTTGCTGGTGATTCTTGGACGGCTGTGGAATCCGAAAGTCAGCTTATTTGCATCGATGTGCACCAGATGATAGCATTTGCATCTGCCAGATACAGAAACGGGGGCGAACAGGGGTTACGCCTTCTTGAACTTCCTGGATCCTGCGCTGGCATGGACGTGTGGCTCCAAATTTCAGAGTGAGGGTTGTTTCAGTAAGCGTCTTTGCTCAGGTTTCGCATGATGTATGAAGGCTGCAAGATGAACCGTTTCAACTCCAGCAAGGCTTCATGCCAGAACATGCAGGGCTCCGAACACAAGTTGGAAATTTGCACGGACCGGCTGTCAGATCATAACCATCGTGCCGGCGACCCTCCAGGTGCGAGTTTTCTACGGCTGTTTCCGCCTTTCGGCCTGTGCGTGCTGGGCGCAGGGCTTCGAGGCGAACTACATGCACTACGCCTTTGCCCGGGCATGTCGCCCAGATGGGACTTACCAGGAATACAACGGATCCTATATGCAGCACTGGGTTTTGTTTGGTTGCGCTCACGTCTTCGTTCTACGGTGTGCATCAGCTGACTTGTTCCGTGTGTCCGGCATGTGCAGAGCCTGCACTGAGGTCAGTCGCGGGGACCTAGCCGCGAGGCCACTCTTCCTGAGAGCTTTCTCCTCAGGTGTTCGGGGTGGTTTACTGATCCCCTGCCGTCCAGTTATGCCAAGGACACGAAGGCTTCACTACTAGGCATCGGAAGCCGCAGTTGTTGTGGGACATCGAAAGCATTGATGCAGCTGTGGGTCCAACAGGGGCTCAAGAAGCTCTTAGTCCATGTCGAGCACGCCCCTTAGACACATTCTGTTGTGGAAGCACCATGTCCGATGCAAAGCAATTATCCAGGCAGGCGGAAGATCAGGTGAGGAAGCTTGGCGCCGTCCTCACCAGTCCAGTGTGGGCATATTGTGTCAAGAGTCCAGAGGGTAAAGCAGATGCTTCATGGATTTCGTTTCGGTGCATCGCAGGTATGCTCCTCTGCCCATGTACGAGGAGGAGACAATCACATCTTGTCGCAGCTGTCTCCTTCGCCGTGGGCCCGGGCCGTGTGTCTGTGTCAGGCCAATCCGATGTGGAGCGAAAGCGACAGCTCTGGCCGGGTCCCCAAAGGGGGCCGTTGCTTCGGCCTTGGGCCTGCCTTGCGCCCGCCGCTCGAGGCACGAGAGAGGATGCCGAGGTGTGCGGGCTGTGCCGGATGCGCTGGCCGTGGGTTTTTTTGTCGGCAGCCACGCAGGCACCGCTGCGTGCTGCCGGCTACGTACCCAAGTTGCCAGCGACTTGAAGCCCATAACAGCCCTCGGTCGCTGCTTTGTGCCTGCAGTTCGGTTGTTGCTCTCTCAGTTGCTCACAATGCGGTGGACGCATTCAGCTGATATTTGCTTTCTGCCTTTTGCTCAGAGAACCGCCCTCGTGTCGGTTCAGTCCAGCGCTTCAATAGCCTGCGATTCTCGAACAATGGCTTTCAGGTCCAAGTTGTGGCCAAGCTCTCGATTTCAGCTGACAACAAGCCGGAGTCTTTGGCACACAGCCGATTCCTTCAGACAGCTTGTGCAAGAGAACGGGTGCGTAGCAGAAGTTTGACTGCGACAGAGCTCGAGGACTGGGGGAAATGATGAGATGCCAGGCTCAGATCTGCAGCCTCACTACGGGATCCGATGTCTTTCAGCATCGCTAATTCGTTTGTGGATCGTCAGCCAACCTTGCCGGAACTGGCCCCACTGCAAGTTTTCAAAGCACACCGTCTCAGGGGAGATGAGACACGTGAAGCGTCTCTTCTCTTTGCCCTGGCTTGTGCGCGGCGAGTGCAAGTGCACCTTTGCAGAGCTGAGAGAGCTGCATCAGGCAGTGCCTCAGTCTTGGAGTCTTTAGGCTCGAAAGGCCTATAGTCTCTGATGTAAATATGCGGAGCTCTTTGAGAGCTCGTCCGTTGCATCCATCCCTTCCGGAACGTCGATTGTAAATCTCTGGTGCAACGGCGGTGCTCAGAGTGTTCCTCCGATTGTCCCATCTCGCATGTGCGAGGACCCAAGTTTTTAACTGCCGCACCGGTGCGATCCTGCCAGAACTTTATGCTACTCAGAGTGCCAAACACATACTCGCGATTTGCATACGGGTCACTATGTGGAGGGCGACGGTGCGAAAGTTGCGGGTGTGATTTTGGAGAGTCTCTGAGGTGCGACTCTCTCGTCGTTTCCTGGTCTCTGCCCGCACAGGTGATCGTCCGTTCCGACGCTTGTGTTGCTTGAAGTTGTTTGGTCTTCTTTTGACTCGTTGTGCCATCCTTGCACCCTTCTTGCTCGTCCGGTTCCTGCACCCTTCCAATGCATGGCAGGCAGGAAAAGTGTGCAAGTCGATTCTAGTTCAGACCAGCTGCAGAGCAATTTAGAGTTTGGAGCCACTGCCGAGTTGCATCTTGCTACGAGCTCGTGGAACATGAAGCACCCGCTGGTCGAGCTCCCTGAGCTGTGCCGAACAGCCGTTTGTTTCAAGGGCTTCTTTCTTTGGGCATATCCTCGTCCCTCCAAGCGCTTGATTCGTGTGAGTGCGAGCCTCATTCCTTATCACGTACAGCTGCTTCATGACCGAGCACGTGCAGACAGCTGCGCAGCAGGAAGGTAGGAGAGTTGGTGTGGGTTAGATGATGAGATTATTAGATTCGTAAAGTTTATATTTATAGGATCGGGGATCAGATTGGGCTCAGGATCCCAAACTCAGAATTTAAACGTCAAGGACAGCTCCAACTTGTCAAAATGTGCATACCTCGCAGCTCATGAACCGGTGCTGCTTATCGCTCGATCGAGTCGCGGAGCTTTTTCTTGTTCCCTGGCATTGACTGCTTGCCGCAGCTTGCAATAAACCTGAAAAGGAATCCCTCCTAGCCCAACATTTCTCGTGATCCATTACAGGAGCGACTTGGTGACTGCACTGATGTGTGGAGGGATCCATTCTCAGGCTCGTTTCCCATTTCTAGTCGGAGTTTCTGATGGTTCGGTCGTTTGCCCGTAAGCGGCTGTGCCTAGGTCGATGACATATGCCGGCCTGTGATCGGGTGGCGACGACCAGAAGGCGGGAGGATTTACTGATCGAGTCAAGCAAGAAGTAGTGTGAGTGCTCGACGAATTCCCGCGTTGTGGTGGTGGCAGCAAATACTGGTAGGTGCGATGCAACACATACAAGTACCATGGTGTTGAGTGTTCAGACTGGTAGTTAGCCATATTCCCAAAAGCATGAACACAGACCGTGCCTGAATTGAGACGCTGCTTTACGTCCGTAGGGCCCTGCAAGGCGAGGCAGGAGTGGTCTTGCCGGGCTTGCCATTAGCAGTGGCTTCGGCTTGACGAGCTTTCGTGGAAGTGCTCGCGACAAACATACCGTACGTTCTGAGAAGCACTTGTGGGGGAAACAATTGGGGTAGGCAAAGTTGAAGCCGTTTTCAAGCGAAGGCCATGAATCGCCGCATCACCTTTGTGTTTGCCGTCTGCAAGCCCCACATCGGAACCACCTGAGATCTAGAAGCTCTATTCACAGGCAGGTGTGCAGATGCCCTGTGGCCAGCTGAGGGCACAAGATCGCAGGTACTGGCCGTGAATGCGTTTGGTACCTAGATTCTAGATGCAGAACCGGCGCCGCGATCTGTCGGCCACAGGCTGTTGTTGTTGCGGCAGGTGCATTCGCATGATTTGTCTACGTCGGCTGGAAAGAGGCCCATCGGCCCCTGCCAGAATCACGCTTGCATTCATATGGAAGGTTGACGATTCCTCAATTCAATGTAGGCAAATCAAACAGTCAAGAGACAGCGACAAAGAAAGAGAGGGAAAGAAAGAGAGAGATAGAGCGTCTTTGACTGAAGGCATCGTGGCTTTGAGCACACACAACCGAACGTGTAATTTTGTTTGCAGTCATGTTGCTTGGACGAGTGTTCTCGTCGTTGGCGCTTTCGGTCATAGCTTTGGCCGTGGACCCGCAGCAGCAGTGCCACGGCGCCTGTGCTGAGGGTGACGAAGTACAGTTTCTCCACGTGAAGGAGCACGGAAAGTTGGACAGCAAGGACAACAAGAAGAGCGGTGATGCTGTGGTGTTCAAAGTGTCCCCAGTGAACGGTGAGAAGAACTCATTGTTATCAAAGGGCGTAAAGACATCGGTCCTCCTTGGAAGTGGAGCGAATCCAGGAGCGGCGCGGGAAGTTGGCTACTTCCGTGCCTTGAATCAAATGGGCCTCCTGGACGGGATCGATCAGATGGTTGAAGGCGCTGGGCTTGTTACCGCACCCCTGCTGTACGCCAAGGGCCTCACTTTGGATCAACTCCTAGGCCCCCCCACGGAGCCTGCAAGTCTGACGCTTTCAAACATCGCAAGTCCCAGTGGGAAGATTCTCGACGTGATGACTTACCGCATTTTTGGATCCGCCTTCTATGCTGCAGTGGCTGCTGCAGGGACCCTAGCGCCTGCCGAGTTCTTCGAAACAGTCGTTGCTCTGAACTACTTGTGCCCCTTCGGCCTCAATGGGAAGTTGCCAGGGCCGGGCTTCGCGGAGGGGGCGGCACAATTCCAGGCCGCAGCAGAGAGTTTCGCAGCGATAACAGGTTTTCCCCTGCCACCATTGCCCGCCGGTTGCAGCGAGCATTTGGGGAACCAGAACCAAGTCTGGGCTTTGGACGAAGCGCACCTCCAGAGGATGGCGAGCCAGAACCCGACTCTGGACATGTCTGGCAACCTGACTATCCAGAGGACGAGCGTGCGGAGCCACGTCATCACCGGGCGCCTTGGACCCCCAGAAGGTCAGTACCCTTTGAACGGCGCCACACCGAACTTCTGGCTCAGCCCTGACCAGTGCGGAGTTCCCTTCTTCCCCTACGACCCGATCTACAAGAGCTTCGATTACCAGCCAGTCAACTCGAGTGAGGCGGCTGCTCGAAAGGATGTCGTTTTGGGCGGCGGCGTGGTGGACTCCATTGCCTGCTTGTCCACCATCGCCCCAACGCAGAGTCAGGAGCAGCAGGGCAAGACGGAAGAGGCCAACAGCAACTTCGCGGCGAGCAACGCAGGGAACGCGGCCCTCCTCACATTGCAGGGAGCAGTTAGCATAGCCTCGAACGACTATGACACTGCCGCCGTCTACCAAAACACTGGGCTCCTTGAGACTCTGGATGAGTTGCTGTTCCAAACAAATCAGCCGCCACGTGACCCGTTGGATCCATACCCCATGAACTCTGCGAAGGTCTATTGGCCAGTGGCGGAGCCGGAGAGGGGTGATGTGCAGGAGAAGCTGCACTATTTGTTCAACGGAAACGCCATTTCAGGCAACGGTTTCGTCCATGCTCTTCAAAGCGGAGCCGAGTGCTTTATGTCTTTGACGGGAACCGGGATTCAATATGGTGGGGATGCGCGACAGCAGACCACTGAGATCCCGCTCATCTCTGACTTCCTGGACTGCGAGTCCCTGAAGATCACTGACTTCAGTGCATGGGCTGCGTGGCTCAAAAGACCGCCAGTCAACCCGCGTCTCTGGGGCATCCAGCGAGACGACTCGAATATTAACGCCACAATTCCCGAGGAGGCGGCTTTGCCTGGCTTCCCCGGTACAATTGGTCAGATATTCGAGCCTCGCAGCTATTTCCCGCTACTCTGTAAGGTGCAGGAGAGCTTTGACAACGGGGGGCCTGTGAGGGCCAGCGCTACGTTGACGACGGTTCAGAACATCAACTTTGGCATTGAAGCGGGCCAGAAGATCCGTGTCCTCTTAGTCTTCGAAGAGCAGTCGCCAGCCTGGGAAGCATTGCTTCCGGAAGAGACCAGGACCATGATCCAGGATGGCAACTTTACCAGTGGCCTCACCGGCAGAGATGGCTGGCCTTTTCTGCAGCCCACCTTCCCTCAAGGGCAACTTAATGAACCTGGCGTCGATCCCAACGCCATTTCGCCTCAGCAGGCCAACCTCAAGGCGGCGCAGTCAGAGTGGGAAATGCTGCAGATGCGTGAGGACGTCGAGGAGTGCATGCACGGAAAGAAGAAGTCGTACTATGCTAGTTCAAGCCACCCCCGGCGCTGGGGATTCAACCGCCATTGGCGCTGAGCGCCTTGCGTGGCCGAGAACTCCAGCAAAGCGCTACATATTTCAGTGCACTTTTCCCCACTTGGGGCCTCAGAGCTGCGTTTTGCCATCGGCTTTAAATCTTTTAGCCAACCGGCAGCACTGAGTTTGTTTGTTTGTTTATGTCTGGACGAAATTCCCAGACCTTCCTCGACTCCCCCCTAAGGGGGCAGTGCGTTGAGACGGAACCGCAAAATGATTGCGATGTGGACCACGGGGCTAGTGGTGCTGCTGCTCCTCGTCATGCGACTGCAGTGGCTTTCGTTTCTTGAAGTCGACAGGGATGCCCTGGCTTTGGACATGAAGGATAGACGCTTGCGTAGGTGGTTGCGCTGTGGTTTGTCAGAATATTCTCGGAGAGGACGAGCTGTGCCCTCCCTGGTGTACGCAGAGGACCTGTTGTCAGGTGCGAGACGCGACGTTTAGCCAGACCTCAGTGCTAGCGTGAGCTTGCAGGTCCCGCACATGGCATGGGGAGGCAGGTCCCGCTTCAGATCGCACATCCACGTTTCTTGGTCACTCTCGCATTTCTCAGGCCGAGATAAGAAGAGGAGCGTCCTGGCTTGCACCACCCAGCATGAGGTCCGCGAGAGATACGCGTGGAGATTATCCTCCAGCATTGAATCACGGTGGCTTTCCCTTTGCACAGGAAGGCGCGGAGCCCATGCGAGTTAAGATGGTGGGCAGAAGCGACGAAGCTTTGGACGACATAGATTTTGGTGGTTGCCTCAGTCTTTTACAGTGAGTAGACTGCTGTGTGTTGTTCGCGCCATGCCATTAAGCATTGTAGCTGCTGCTGGCTTCATGCACGTTTCTCTCCAGAATCTTCTGTATTGCCGACCCCATTGCGTGATGCCGTCCATCTGGTGGGTTGAGGGGAGTTGAAGTTCATCTGTCTGCTCGAACAGCGGAAAACTCGCGCATGAGAGAATGCAGAGACATCGGGAAGATGCGGCAGTAGAACATGTGCACGATTGTGAACGTTTTCTCACGGTGTCCTGACATGCCCGCCCTTCCCCCAGAAATGTGGAAGCTGGAGGAATGCGGTGCTCAGCCGAGGCGAGAGCTGCAGGCAGTGCCTTAGTCTTGGTTCTTACGCTCGTTCAGTGCCTATCAGCCGGAGAAAAGGGAAAAGCGAGTGCAAACCGGTTTGAAATGTGTCAGTTTCAAACTCACACCGTCTGCGAGTGGAGCGGTGAGCCAAGCTACACTGTGCTGCGAGTGGAACATACTGCTCGTGATGGTCGAGGTCCCTGGACCTGATCTGTGCTGCCAGCCGTTTCAAGCGCTTCTTTCTCTTCCACGCTGGAGATAGCCCCAGCGCTTGCGGTTGCGAGAGCAGAAGGACAGCCTTTCACGGTCTTGGAGTCGTCGTGTGCCGGTTAGATTTTTTTTTTTTTTCTCTCTCTCTCTCTCTCTCGCGGTCTCGCCCGCTCGCTCTCTTGACTTGGGGCTTGCGCTGGCAAGGGCCCGCCAAAACTTGATGGCGGCTGCCGTTGGCTGCACTTAGCTTGGAAAGCCGAGACTTCAAAATCCGAGGTCGGCTGAAACGAAGCAGAGCCTCCTGAGGCGAGTCTCCACGATCCCCGCAAAGCCCAGGGCATTATGCCGCAGGCTTTGCCATGGGCCTGAACGAGCACTCCCGGCACGGCTTTGACTAATCGCTTGGTGTTCACGTTCGCCTGGGAGATCACGGGAGTTTCGTGTCTGCTTAGCTTTCTGAGCGCTTGCTGGGCCAAACCGTTCCCGGGGTGTGCGCTTGTTGAGCTTTTTTTATTTCTTCGGTTCCTGGCTCCGTGCACAGCCCTGTTCCTGTGCCGGATGCCCCCCCGTCTCCGTATCCCCAGGCCCAGGCCTGCTGTTTTTGGGGGCAGCCAAGCAGCGGTTTTCCAGTTTTGCTCCCAACCGTCAGTTTTCAGTGTTGCTGACCTGATCGTAATGTCATAGACAATCATAGAAGTAGAAGCTTTTGGACTGTTGTTGCTCTTTGGAGCTGAACGGGCAGGAGGTCTGTGTTGCAACGGATACATCCGCTATTCACGAAGCTCCTCAGAGGGTAGCTTTCGGCTCATACTTTGCTTTGCTGATCGGTTCAGAGCTGTTTAGAACGGCGAACTTCAAAATGTGGACCCAAACCGAGCTAGCGAGCTATCCCGTTTTGGTTGACGGTTGAAAAGAAGGAACTTCAGAGAAACAAAGAGCCCTTGATGCTCATGATACTGGATTTCTTGTGCCACACTGCCGGCTTTCTTGTGCTGAAACTGGGACCTTTATCACGCTGTGGTGTTCCTGTGCAACCTTGCGCCCGTCGCCCACCTCGATGATCCGCACCGTCGCATCCCATGCGGCCATGCGTGTCGCTGTTGTAGGGGCTTTCGTACCTCCCGCTCCCTGGGCGCAAGTTTTTGATGGCTTGGGGCACACGCTTGCCGCAATCCTCCGAGGAACCTCTGTGGACGGCGTCCTTGCGCCAACCTGAATGCTGTAGCGGCGTAGCGTCTGTCGCCAGGTCCACCTACGGGAACGTTGCTTGCAGCTCAGGATTTTGCTCCAAATCGATGTTAGCTGTTACATCTAGACAGATCTTTAGCAGAATCCTTGTCCGGACTGTCTTGTGTCGGAACTCCGAGTTTGGCTCCCCTCGCGGCGGGTATACAGACAGGCGGGTCGGCTGATGTATTGTCGAAGTTTCAGATGTCCATACGATGACAAGAAACAGGCGGTGCATAACCATCGACGTGGATGCAGGGACCGGCTTTCACCGAGGCCGTCAGATCCACGACATGGTGAAGCTGCATAGTCTGCGGCCTTTGGCAAGCATCGCCCTGCCTGCTTGCAGGTCGAAGCCCGTCTCCTTTGCCTGCCAGTCCAGGAACAAAGCAATTGACTGAGAAAGGGAGCATACATCACAGAGTCTGCTGTCGGTTGAGGGTTTAGGGAGTTTGGGGTTTAGGTTCTGCTGTTGGTAGACAGTCGGACAGTGGCAATGGAAAGGTTTGAGAGGCTGCGCACGCTGCAGGCGCGATGCGATTATTGGGCGGAAGCTTCTTTTCTGCTGCTTGCCCATGCTGCTTTGTTCTCGTCGCGAGGCCCTGGACCATCCGTATTTGGATTTCTCCCTGGACGTCCTCCCATGCCGGAGGCACCATCAGCATTTCATTTCCGCTGGGCCGTAGCGTATGCTGGACTCACCTTGTGCTTCGTCTCCTGGGGGGATGACATGTCCATTCTGCGAGGCATTCTCCTGCGCCTGTCAGACATGATCCTCGCAATGAAATCCTCCAAGCGCTCGATGCTTACGAGTCCGAGCCTCGGGTCATGTCACACCAGAGTGCATTGCCGTGGAGAGTTGCAGAGGGTTTTCTTAGAGTGGTGCTTCCAGGCACACAGCAGTCCTCGGTCGACGAGCTCCAGCCAAAGCATGGGCTGAAATGCATGCGCCATTTATGAACCTCCAGCTTTCTTACATGAGGCACCTCTGCCACGTCATCACAGAGGCCGTGCAAGATGCTCTCGCTTTGCTCAGCGAAGGCTCGGACCTGCCGTCTGCCGCAGGCGAGGTTGAGACGGCTTCCTTGTCTCCACGGAGACCTCCGGTGCCCCGCCCGTGTCTCAGCTCACCTCAGGACCATGGCTTTTCTACGATTGGTCAACACGCGTGTGCCGCACTCAGGCTTCGCTGCTCGGGATGCCCAGGACAGTCAGTGAGCCCTAGAGATTGCCTTCTTCAAGATCTCTCGCATGCTTTCGCATTGGGTTTGAGGTACTCAGATGCTGCAATGGAGACCGTGCACAGCGGTAAGCTTGCTGCCGGAGTCTTTCCGGCTACATCCTGCTACAGTAGACCAACCACCCAGAAACATCAATAAAATGACTGAATGTGCAGATGCACGAAGTTGCTTCGTGTGTCTGTAGCCATGGTGCAGCTGCCATGAGGCTGGCAAGGATGATCCGAAGAAGGCAATGAACAGAAGCATGCGTCGTGACGCGCCCAGCTTGTCAGAGCAAAGTTTTGTGCGATAGGAAGGAGCGCCCGGATGCACATCTGCGTAGGCTTGGACACTGCTGCTGCTAAACTGGAGAAAGTCGCAAAGGCGCCAAAGTGTATTGCATGATCCCTGTCTGAACCAATCAACAAGCATTGTCGTGGAAAAGTTCTTTCTCTGTGATTCATGTCCTTTCGAGCGCCCAGCTTGCGGTGCAGAGTCCTGCAGGCTTTGGTAGAGGAAGCACAGAGACAGCCTTTGGCTTGGCAACTTCCACTCGCGAGCCTCGCGATCTTCCCAGATTAACGATCTATCCGAGGTCCTTGAAGCGAGTGGAATGAACTGGTAGAAATGTCGAATGCTCAGTGTCTGTTCGAGAGGGCCCATGCCGACGGCTGCAGCTTGGAATTAGCTGCGACCAATGTCTGAGAGCATCTGAGAGCCTTTCTTTTCCCTGCTCGATCTTATGCAACTCCACGTTCTTGCTCTCGGTCTCAGCATGTCACCGCCTTCCGGCTCTCCCTGGCACAAGGCCCCTAAGCTACTAGTGCAACTCTGCATGTTTCCGCGCAGACCAGGCGAGATGCAGGCCGCCAAAGGCCAGTCTTCGAGATGGTACTTCCCTGTTACGCATGCATGTTTGGTGACCGCTTCGCCGCCTCAGGCGTCTGCTTTCCAAACACAAGAGTCTCAGCCGGAGGCTGAGTCTTGGAAACCAAAAGTGGCATTGGAACAGTGACAGAGACTCACTCTCAAACCTGTGCTTTGGTCGCGAAGCTTGTTTACTTTTGGCGACCCTGCTGTGCAGTATTGGACGAGCAATTGGCAAAGTGGAGGACTGACAAGTTGGTTCTTGTCTGGGCGACCATGAGGCGTTGCTATGAATGCGTCGATGAGGTTCTTTGCTGGCTTCTCGGATCATCTCTGGGATGTTGGCAGTGCACGTAGCTTTCGCGGCGCGCTGTGCTGAGGACCTTGTCGCATTACTGGTAGCTCTCTCCTGGCCCATAGCTGTTATTTGCCACTGAGCTACTTCTCGCCGGGGCATCTGCAAAAGGATGACTAGCACAGTGTTGATAGAAAGAGCCGAAACGGCAGAGTTTTGCAGCTTCCACCCGGTGCGCTTGGTGAGTGTAGGTGCCAGATCCTGATTCCAAAGGCTCTCGAATTTGTCGCACGAATTAGGAAGTCATCCAAGCCTTGCCCAGCCTGGCTGTTTGCCATTGTCGTGTTGTGCGAATCAGGACCTTAGGGGCCGTTCCTTTCAATTCGTGCGCTTCAGTTGTTCCCATCGCTGCAACTGAAAGTGCAGTTCAAATTGAGGGATGCTTCCAGCCATCCTATGGACTGGTACGCGGCTTCTGACATCATGTACATCCTGCAGCCAGGCGAGTTTATGTTTTGTGTTTGTCAGCTAGATTTGCAGTGGGACCGGTGGCCTCCGCATGTCGCTTCCCGTCAACAACATTGAGGCGGTATGCGCGCCACGTGCGCCGTTTGTCTTTACAGACTTACAGATTGCCAGAAGGTTTTTACTTGCCTATGTGAGCAGCAGAACTCTGAAGAGTAGACCGACGGACTGTTTTACCTTAGAAGGGTTGCAAGCCCACACAAAGTGGGCGAGAGTCTTTACCTTAGAAGGGTTGCAAGCAGACATAAAGTGGGCGAGAGTAGACGGCGCCGACGCGGCTCCATGCGGCGGCTCCCCGTGCTTTCCAGAGGCCGGTCAATGGGATCTGCATTGCAGTTGGCGGCTCCAGCAGTTAACTCTGAGAAGGAGCGATCCAGAGTCGATTGTCGCCACTGAGTGTGACAGGGCCGGGGCCTTTGGCAAGAAGCCCGGAGGTTGCCAAGTTTGCACTGGATCGCGATGCAAGCACAGCTGATTTTGAAGCACATGTTGCTTTTGCAGTGCAGCGGAAGTTTCATACCATTCGTAGTGAGCTGTTGTGCTCGATGTTGACTGTCATGACTTTTGCTCCTGTGTTGCGGCACCTCTGCTGATGGCTCTTCTGTGAAGGCCGCTGGCAGAGGCCGTCGGATTCAAGCTGTAGGATTGCTCGAGAAACCCGAATGCACATCGCCGCGCCCCAGTCGACAGAGGGCTTTGGGATTGCCAAATGCTTCCACCCTGCCAAACCACGCGCAACCCTTGTGACATGACCAGGATCTTGCCTGTCAGTAGCCCCGCCAACATCGTGAGGAAGTGTGTGGGCACAGATGGTGTTGTGCATGTGTTCCCAGCTTTCCTGATTCTGAGGCATGAAGCTTGGCCTCAGCGGCTACAGCGTCCGGTCGCAGTGCGTGGGACCCAATGTTTTTGGCCATGTTTTTCACATAGAGGCCCTGCAGTAGATTTTCCTCTGTGCAGGGTACAGCTCAAACCATCCCAAACCCCAAACAGAGAAAGACACGTCTCAGACGATTGCTTCCGTCAGTTCCCAGGCTTCTTCGAGCCAGCAGCTCGGACTCCAAGCGTGGCGCTCAGCCAACCCGTCAGTTGGACATCGCAGCTTCCAGGTACCCCAACAAAGACCCAAGAAACGCGTAACTTCCAACTTGGTTCTGCAGGAAGACAGAGCAGACCCAGACCACGCAGACAGCGTCTCCGCAGCACCACTTCCGCGATCTCTATGAGGTTTGGCGCTTTGGGCGGGCCGGGCGCCATGTCGCGCGTCGCATGTGTCACATGCCGTTGCTCGCAGGGGTCCGCCCGACAGATGCACACACAGATGGAAAGGCTGGCCAAGGCTCGGAGAGCGAGCCACAGAATTCAGTGCTCCCGTGAGTGCTCCCTGTCAGATGACGCGGAATGTGCAGCTCTCCTACCGTGTCATGATGGCCGGTCTCGGGCTTGGAGACCGCGGGTCTCAGTGCCGATCAGCGCGTTGGCGCGATTTCTGCGAGGAGGCGGCGCTGTGGCCGTCGGCATCGGCTACGTTGTCATCAACTGGCAAGCAGCCCCAGAGAGTTGGACCAGGGCAACGGTGGTCACCCCACTGCCACGAGGACAATTCTTCGCTCACATGTCTCCCAGGAGTCAGCAGAGGCCGGTCGTCGGACAGCCTAGGCTCTACCTTCGGACAGCCTTCAAATCAGCCCAAGCAAACTGCAAGGTGGTGTCCCAGACAATGAGGGACGCGCAGGTACAGTTCACTGCTCGAGAATTCTCGAAGGAGACAGCGTGTTGCACTGCAGACTTTTGGACGCTGCAGCACACTGATGAAGGTGACGGAAGCCTGTGTTCATGTAGTCCTGGTTTTGCAGAGTGAGGAGTTGCTCAACCAGTTGCTGCACGACGAAGAAATCGCCACGACGGTAGCGTCCTGGACGCCGGTTTGTAGATATCATGATAGCGCCAGTTCCCCCTACGACCGAGAGTCTATTGTGTTTATATGAAGCTTGACTTGAACGTCGCTGCTGGGAGTCCCTAGCTTTCAAGGATGCTCGAAATGCACTGGAATTTAGCTCAATCTAGTGACAAAGCGAACAGCTCCGTACGTCTTTGTTGCACGTCTCTTGCAGGAAGCCTCAGATTTCTCAGATGCAGCGTAAGGTGTATTGTGGTATAGTGCATGTTTTGCGCGCAGATCGAAATCTGAGCTGTTTCGTTCCACAGCAGGGTTGTGCTTGCTGGCGAAACGGTATGCACTCGGTTGTTGACGGCAGCTGGCATCGCAACCGTGCCTGCGCATCTTTCCAATTGTGCATGCCGACGAATGTCTATGTGCTGCGCAAGGACTTTGCGGCTTCTGGCCTCCATACAAGAGGAAATTGGAGCATTGTTTGTTCGCATCCTGCAGCAGGACCAGGCAGGTGTAGCTAGTCGAGTTCATGCGATTCACCGGCTTTTGCAGTTTGCAGGTTGTGGACGAAGTTAACCGGCTAGCAGACAAGCTCGTGGCTTACCTCTGTGCAAGCCAGACGATACAGGACTGGATGTGCTTTCATGTCAGAGTCACTTCCTCTCAGTCTAGCGACAGCAGACCCGGTGCTCGAGACGCGAAGCATCAGCTTTAGCGCCCGAGAAGCGTGGCCCGGGGGCCCCATGGATTTCGCAGAACCGCTGATTCCTTTGGCCGAGACGCGCAGCGAGCAAGGAGCCAGTGGAGCTAGGAGAGTGGCGTGGGCGCAGGCTGTCAGATACATTATCGCATTTCGTAGAGTCGTAGATATCGAAGATTTGGGAGTCGGCTGGAATCGGCTGGATTTTGGACATTTTTGCGATGGCACTGCAGCCTTGGTGCTTTGCAGGGCTTGGCATTGACCAGCCTCCTTGTTTGCGTGGCCCGGCTTCCGGGGCTGGCCGCACCAGAGCTCGCAGGCTTGCGCCGTGGCTATCTCGGGTTTTGAGGGGCTTCAGAGGTGCGCGTGGATGCTGGGACTTTTGGGGTGCTTTTTGTCTGGCTTGTCCCGGCAGAAGTGAACATCAGAAGCTGTGAGCACAGGCGCCCCGCTGGTGCTGGCGAGCGGACCTGTGGGTCTCGGTGGCTACCTGGGCTCCCTGGGCACATTCTTGAGGCAATATTATGATAGCCTGGAGCCTTACGTAGCTTGGAGGCAACATGAGAGCTGTTTCTGCAGTTTATTCGACGATCTGTAGGAGCCAGGGTTCATCCATCTGAGAATCTGAGTGAGGTTTGGCTCATCAACTACTGTGGCATTGTCCTCTTTGTGCTGTTGTTTGTGATGTCTTTCCTCAACCATGCCAAGGATGAATACCGCAAGCTCTGCTGCGGTAGTCCGAACTGCTTCCACCAACGCATGAAGTAAGAGTGAGTTCAAGCCGCATACTGGACAGGATTTCTCCGGATTTGTGCCTTGCCTGCAGCCCTGCAGGCTAAGCTGCAGAAATCTGCCTTAAATCTGCACTGCATGCTACTGCATGCTATGTTTTGTTAGATGCAGTGCAGTTGAGGTGAAGATGATGGAAGCCTTTGGCTTGCCCTGCCCGGCATTCATGGCCCTCGGGGGCCTCTTCAGCCTCCTGGCGGGCTCCTTGTGCTACCTCACAGGCCGAAAGATCCGAAACTCTTTGCTCAGAGCCTGTTTGGTGGAAGAGAATCCGATCGGACGTCAGGAATCCCGGTCTTGATGGAGTGGGGTGCGGAGTTCTTGCTGATGTTCCTGATGCTTGGCCTTAGCCCGTACCATGATGAGAGCTAGCGAGTGCTCTGCGATTTGACGAAAAGCATTCTCGTTGGTGTGGCTACGCGTATTGTGTGCCTGAAGTTTAGGGGCGTGCCTGCGGAGGATTGCTTCAACCTACTTCGGACACTACAAGCCCTGGAAACAGTCCAAAGACATGAGCCACTTTATCATGATTCTGAAGAACATCGGTCTTTCCGGTCACTGTTTGCTCACGATCGGGTTCGAGGTGCCTGAAATCGGCAAAGATGGGACCCCCCTTGGCCTGCACGGAGCACTTGGATCTGTCGGAGTTTTCATCGGCAAGATCTACGTTTTTTTCCGGCCTTATTCGTTTTTCTTCAAGTACACAGGCCTTGTCCTCTTCGTTGTGCCCTTCGTACTGTCATTTCTGAATCATGCGAAGGACACCAAACAGTTTGTACCGGCCTCGGTTCATTGGGATCAGTTTGTTTCAGGCTTTTCTGCTAGCCTTGAGCAGTTTCGAGTTTAGTGCACTTGGGCAGTGCTCGTCAGGTTGGAATGATCATGGGCTTCGGTTTTGGCCGCACGACAGCGACTGCCCTTGCCGTCTTTACCCTGATCCTCCTGTCGGTTTCATCGATCTTCTATGTGAGCGGCATCCCTGTGTTGATGGAGCTTGGAGCAGAGGGCCTCTTCACGTTCCTCCTCTTTGCCACCTACTTCGGCCATCTAAAGCCCTACCTGCAGTCAGGAGACCGCGCGCCCATTTTAGAGATCACCGGAGCATGTCCCGACCAGAAACTACCTGGCCCTCAGGTTGACAGGCAGAACCGCCGTTGTCCGGCAAACCAAAGCATACTTTGTCGAAGGGGTCCCTTTGAGAGGGTTCGGCCGTTGTTAAGGATTTACCAGACGGCATTTGTTTGTTTGCCCAGCATTGTGAAGCATTCGGGAGCGTTCGCAAGCAGCGTCGTGCACCTGTCATTGTGTCGAGGCAATGTCGCTGCCAACATCTCCTTGGAGTTTTGTCTTTCGACACGTTTCCTCACGTTCGAGTCTGCAGATCGTTCGGAGGGGTTTGGCTGCCGTCCTTCTAACCGTGGTTGGCCTGTGCGCGTCCCCATGTGCTCGAATCTTGCGTGACGTGTCGTGAGTCATGCATATCATCGTCTCTCGTCCACGTGTTTTCGGGTCTTGTGTCCTCGTCTGTCGTCTTCTTTTGATGTCGCACGTTCGTGTTTTGGGCCATGTTTTTCTGAGTATGCCGGTTTTGTAGCCTCCTGCTTCGTGTGTTACACTACTGTCGTCCTTCTCGCATCGTGGTCCATGTTCTCCTCGGCGGTCTTCGTGGTTCGCATCTTCTGCCATTGTATTGTGTTCTCGTGTATTATGTCTTAGGACATGCTCGTGCAGCGTCTCGTGCCACGGCATCCGTCCTCGCGTTTGTCCTCCTTTCGTGTCTCGTGTCTCTCTCGCATCTCATTAACGCGTCACTGTGTCGGGCCTATTCCTCAGGAGCGAAACGTGTACAAACTTTCTACTGGTCTATTGCCATCGAATAGATTCGATCTTCCGTCAAGGTCGGTGCTCCTTAGTTGCAACATACTCCATGATGCTCCCAGAGGGGTTTTTCAATCGAGCTCCATTTGTCCATCATGCATCTTGCTGAGCACCGGCCGCGAGGAGACATGGGGCATTTCCTCAACATTCTAAAGAATGTCTCCCTGGCTGGGGCCTGCCTAATGACAATGGGCGTCGTCATTCCTCAGATTGGGCATACATGAGGCTACGCGAAGAAACTGTGAGCACATGTTAGGCGCACCGAAAGGTTGACAGCACAAGACCTGTCACGAGGTTTTCCGTGCTGCCTGCAAGCAAGCACTAAAGGCAAAGCGATGGGAGAGCCTGTGCCCTCGGGGCACGCATGACCTTGTTCACTTCTGAAAAGTACGCCGTGAATCGGCGCATGATGTGTCAACAGTAAATGTATAAAATTATGATTATGAAGTATTACAATATCCCACTCAATCACTCATGTTCACACACTTGAATTTAGCAGTCATTTCTTTGCAGGCGCGACTCGAGCTGCCTGGCAAAACGAACACTTGCGAACTGAAGAAGCAGAATTGTTACACTCATATTTCTGGTAAAGCTAGTCTTGGCGCCAAAGCCGGCTCATGCAAGTAACATGACCAAAGTGTCGTTTGCTCATATCCCGATACATGATTGATATGAGTGGAGCATCGTTTCATCAGGCCTGGTCGTACATGTGTGATGCCTAAACCCATAGGCTCAAAGCCAAACTACACAAACAGAGGTGTTCCAATGCGCCTGTGTGCTACAGCTAGGACGGTTCACACACAGGCACATACACATTCAAACCTTCGCACACGTCCACCCGGCTGGTCAGCTTAGCGTGGTGGACCGCGCCCACACACAAAATCGGCAATCGGGCGAGCCGGGTTTGCACCATTCTTGCTTCATTGGTTCATGTATCCCTGGGCTTTGCAGGCGCCGTGTGGGTTCAAGCCTTCCCGGCTGGTTTCGTAGCATGTCGAAGACACGCAGTTTCTTCAGAGCGCTTCTGATTCTGCTGGCAGCAGATACTCCATCTGGCAGTGGGTCAGGGGCCTCCGTGTGCCCGTGCATCAACAGCAGCTCACCTCTGTACAGCGCGTACGAGTCTGCTCTGGTGGCAGGAGGGCTGCCCGCAACCTTCGGCTTGTCAGGCTGTGCTGCTCATGACTCCAACGTGTCTATGTTTGGTTGCGCAACCAACGCCTTGCCCTTCTGCTTAAACCCCTGGTGTTATGTTGACATGGACTTGTGCCCGGAGAACAGAGAGCTATGTGAGGCCGCAGGAGGTATACTAGGCAGCCAGGCATCTCCCCATTGCCGCACCAGAAAGCACAATGCCGGCGGCACCAACATCTTGAACCTCTCCGAGCACTACAGCTATGAGACCTGTGGGTCTCGGAACGTCTACGACACATCGGAACTGTTAGAGCCCGTTGCTGGGCGCACCATCCGGGCTGCGGCTGCTGCATGGGCACCGTGGGTTATTAAACGAAAGAACCTCAGAGACGAGGACGTTTGGGGTGGCGACTCGACTCACGGTTTGGACAAACCTTGTAACTCGGGGTTGGGGACTCCGGGGACCGGTGACCAGGCTAAACCTTCAAGCTCCCTGGACGCTCACTGAGGTCCCTCCTTCGACTTCTTCAAGACATCTTTGGAATTGTTTCACCCGGAGCCTGTGATCAAGATCGTTCCTGGATGGGCCACAGCAGCATCCAGGGCCAAATATCCAGAGAGTTCCTACACTGCCTGCGTGCACGACGTGGCAGTCGGCAACTTCGATATTTGTCTTGCTGACCTTTGGCTCACACCGCAGAGGAACCAGCTGGTCACCTTCTTGCCAGCGGTCAGGCGGGGCCGCCTTTGGGCCGAGGGATGCTGAGATGCTGTCTCGGAAGGGAAAGAACTAAGGAAGGGGATAGCGGATAGCTTCAACCCCTCCTGTGCCAGGCAGGACTACTTCTATTTGGTCGTCAAGAAGGACACATATGTGGAAGTCGAGTTAACCATTTGGGAGCGTCTGTCGAAGCCTTTCAGCCCCTTTACACCAGGTGCTTGGCTGGGAATCGTGGGCTTTCTTTGCATCATGTCCGTGCTCCTGTGGCTCCGGCAACTGTGCGAGACAGGCTGCCACGGAGATTTCAAGACTCTCTGCAAAAGCAATGTCGTAGCAATTCTACGCTCGCTCTTCTTCGTCTGGCACGATTTTCTCCTCGGCCAGAGTAGCATGGACGTAGAGACAGGTCCAGTGCGACAGATTTTCAGCCTGGCACTGGCTTTCTTCATCCTCATCACATTGGCAAGCTATACCGCTAGTTTGGCCACTGGCCTCGTGGTCGCAACTCCTCCTGACGGCACCATTAACTCCATCGATGATGCCATCAGGCTTGGCATGAAAATCTGTGCTCCGTCTTCCCTTCTGGACACGTTCTCGTCTGTTTACCGAGACGCGTCTTTTGTAGGCGACGAGATCCAGTTTCTTCCAAAATTGCTTCACAGGGGTCAGTGTGAAGTAATGGTACTGTCACAGGATGTCATTCAAACTCTCTTCGCTGGGAAGGTGCGAGAACAGGATTGTGCAGACTTTCGGGCAGGGCGAATAACGCAGGAGGAAGCCCAATGCAGAGAGGGAGACATGAAGCGTGATTGCGAATTCAGCAGAGTTGGTGATCTTCTCTGGAGCGTCCCCCTGTCTTTTCCTGTGAGCGAAGAGATGGCGCACACTTTCTCTTGGTCCTTCACGGCTGCCATCACACGCGGTGTCATGGAGGACGCCAAGAGAATGAACGCCCAGCTCTTTTCCCAGTCCATTTGTGAGGACGAGGAGAGTGCCAGCGAATCCCTGGCATTGACGTTTGACAATATGAGTGGTTCAATGATCATCTCCTTCTTCATTATGATGATTGGATTTATCGTCATGGCAGGACGGCATTTCTACCGTCAGCAGGCCACAAGCAGCGTTAATGAAAATGAAGGATCACCTGATGATGGCGAGCTCAAGCGGAATGTTTGATCATGATCGCTTGAGGCATGCCCATGAGCAGGCTTGAACAACAGGCCCATGTCGAAGTCTCCTGGTGGAAGGTCACATCCGACAGGCGTATCGTCTCGTCTCCGCAAAACTCACCACGAAGATGCCAAATCCCTGAAGGGGACAGAATTGGAACCGACTTCGTGCCATGCGTTGTTCGCAGAAAACGGCAAGTCAGACAGCATTTTGCCATTCTCCAAGGTACATGCATGAAGCACTCGCTGTGTCACTACTGTGACACTCTTTGGAGGGTTTTGGGGCATGTGGCAGGAGCGCGTCGGCGGCCTACTCGTAGACGCGATCAACCTCCAGGCTCCTCGATAAAGACCAAAGCCAACAATCGAAGTGGCACCGGCCGTTGCAGTCCTCGCGGGATGCTGCTGCCGTCTGGGCTTATGACCTGGTCATGCGTGAGGAGAGCCCGCCGGCTGTTACGCTATCGGACCATGTCAGACTTACCAGAGTGACAGGACGTCACCGAAGGCTTCCGAGACCTGGTGGTGGCGGCTCTCCAGTGAAATCCTCATGGCTGGGCTCCGTCACTTGCCATCCGTCCAGATGTCAAACAGGATGGATGCCGTCGTGGAGGAGGCACAGCAACTGGCGGTGCAGGCGAGTCATTTTCTGCATGGCATGTTTGGCAGTATCCATTGAAATTTGCAGAGGTGGTGAACAGAGTCCTTTCGGACGAAGGCACCATTTTGGAGGCCGGGTTTGATTCGAATTGAGAGTCAGAGTTTTTGGGTTGTGTGGGTCAGTCATTTGGAGGCCAAGAAGGTGCTTCGCGACGCCTTGGAAGACCAGGAGTTGCGCAACTCCGCCAAGGCCGGGCGAAAGCGCCAGACTCCCCCCCCCCCCCCCGCTGAACGTTGTGAAGCCGTGCAGCCTTGTGAAGCCCAGGAGTCGCTTTGGAGCATCGTGATCCCCTGGGGCTCCAGATCAAGCCTTGGGCCTCGGATCTTCGGGGCGACAGAGCAGCTCGGATCCGCTAGTTTCTGTGAGGCCCCGATGAAGTCAAACGTGCAGTGCGGTTAGCAGAGGCCAGGGCCGGGGGGTGAACATCGCTCCATGGCACTTTAAAAACACTAGTGAACACAGCCTGGTTCAGCACTCTGCGTTTTCTCAGGAGCTGGCCTCCCTCCCTGCCCTCAATGACGACGAGCGCGCGAGCCTTCGGTTGGTGCCCTAAAGGCGGTGCGTGTTTGTTGGAATGGCATTCTGTTGAGCAGAGGTCCTTGCAGATGCGGCTTAGAGCCGAGGGAAGGAAGGGCTGGGGCCCCGGGCCCCGGGCCCCCTATCCCTCCTCGGGCAGCCGCAGATCTCCCGCAGATCCCCGGCAGAGCTTAGGTGCTCCGCGAGCTGCAGAGAAGAGGACTCCACGCCTGTGACAACGCGTGGCGTCCTTCACTGCGATCTGCCAAAACTCTAAGACCCGAGGACCGACGCAGCTTCGGAGGCTTGGAGGGGATCAGCTCTCGGCTGTAGCGCTTCATAGCACTTCGCAGTGCTTCTGAGCTCCGCGGCTCGAAGGCTCCGCCTCCGGCCTCGGCGGCCTCGGGGGTCTCACAGCCGGCCAAAGAAGCCGAGCAGGCTCCCCCTCAGAAGGAAGCGAAAGAGAAGCAGGCTCGGCTTTCGCCACGCTCGCCTTGGGGTCTTCCACGGGGCCACGGCCTCGCACAGGCGCGGCCACTCGAACTGACGACTCAGCCGCTCAAGGCATTGAAGGCACCAGAGACGCCTTCAGGCACCAGACGCCAAGCGAGCACGGGCAATCGCGGTTGTATAGCTTCGTCCCACAGCGTTTCAGCATGTTTCAGCCTTCCGGAAGGCGAAGACACCTCGCCAAAGGCCTCGGAAAAGGATGGGCGGATAGGATCGTGCAAGACGCAATGTCATCATCTCTGTGCAAGAGGTCCCAGAGAAGGTGGCAGAGGGCGTTTCGTCACCATGTCCAGAGGACAGACGCTGCTCTAGCAGAACGGGATCAAGAAACTAATGTTTCGCAGGAGCCTGGACAAGACGTGCGCAAGGCTGAAGACCAGCAAGCGCCGTGAGATGAAGTGAGTGACGAGCCCAGACCGGAGGAGTTCGCAGTGCTGGCCGGGGCCAGGCACACTGCCGTGGCCAGAGGCAGCCAAAGTGCGCAAGCCGAGCCCAAAGCAGGCAGAGCGAAGGATCGTAGGTTGACCGCACAAGGCCCAGCGCCATGTGGAGGTCCGAGATAGTTTTTAAAGGCTCGCATGGCTGAGCGAACACAAGTAGGATCCACTGCGCCGGGTTTAGGATGCTGGCAAATGCCGACCTGGATCCTCACCCTCCAGCCTGCATTCCTTCGAGCTGAGCCCCAGCTCAGGTTGCATCTGCAACATTTACGCCGAAACTGTTACATGAAGACTATTATATTGCAAAGCTTTACCCGCCCCAAACTTTGCAAACAGCTTAGGGCAAAGGCAAAGGCATGGACTTTACAAACACAGACTAGCTATGTCTTGAGTATTGATCAATCGTGGCTGGAGACCCTACATTTCACATGGCTTACAAGAAGCATGATCTTGCAGATCCTGTACAAACATGTTTAGAACAGTCCCACGAGGGTAGGAATTGTCAGCCGGTAACTGATTCGCTTGCACTACTCCGAGCAATGCTGGCGGAACGCAATGACGATGACTTCGACATGCTTGAAAGGCGATTTGAGCAAAAGTACGAGGTCGGGACTGCCTGCGGTGAAGATGAAGATTTCGACGGTGGAAAGTGTGCGACGGTGCTCTGTCGTGGTAGGTCACAGAGCCAAAGGTTCTCGGAGAAGGGACCTACGGCAAGGCCAGATGCCCCGAAACCGCGCTCTCCAAGTGAGCCCACGAGAGTCTCAAGTGCCAGGTCTACAAGGCAGTCAGCCGCATCAGCAACCAGGTCGCCGCATCAGAGTTGTCACAGCAGCATTCGACTTGCAACAGTTTTCTTTTGCTTGTTCACTCACTGATCGGCCCATGCAGGTAGTTGCAATCAAGCGGATCAAGCTCAACCCCGATGATGATGAGGGTGTGCCGCTAGGGTCTTATCGGTGTCGCGGCCGACACTGTCACCCTTCTACGGAGTGCATGTTTTGGGTGCCTAACTACTGGCAATCGCATCGGCCCAGGAGTACTGCGCTGCGCGAGGTGGCCGTACTGAAGGACTTGTCTGTACTGTTGCTATGTCTCGGTCCAACAGCTCAAACTTCGTAGAGAGCAGGGGCGGCGGGACTGCTGCAGATACGAAAGATCAGCTCAGGGCACGTTTAGACCACAACAGGACTCTCAGATCGTTGCTCCTGTTCCATAACACTTGCAGTCTTCAGCGCCCAGGAGCTAGACAGTGAGTACGTGGTGAAGCTCTTTGAGGCATCAAAGATACTGATCGCAGCAAGGAGAAGTGACGGCTGTAGAAAGTGGAGAACATGCAGCGTGGCACGGAGACAGTCTTCAAGCAGTTCCCTTGCATTCCTCATCTTTCGCCATCCCCCTCCTGATACTTCATTGCCGTCGTCGTCCTGCATCATCATCAGCATCAGGGTCAGCATCAGCATCACCACCACCATCATCATCACCATCATCACCACCAGCACCGCCATCAGCATCATCGTCGTCGTCAGCGCATGTTGGTCCGGCTGGGAGTTGAGGCGGCCGTGCCTTTCCTTCCCTAAGCTGCGGAGGATTGACCCATTTCGTATCGCATGAAAAGATGGGGGCAGGTGTTCTGCTCTCCTAGCAAGCTCGTGCTCGTTTTCGAGCTCATGGAGAACGATCTTAGAAAGTGCCCCCGCCGGCCAAGCAGTGCAAGCTGGAGTCGCCTGGACTCAGCACATGCGAGGTACATGAAGCAAGTGGGAGGAAAGATTCCCCCGTGCTTGGCTGAGTTCCCTTGCCTCTGGTCAGCCCTGAACGTGGCAGTCCCGCTGCTTTGCAGGCATCATGTCAAGAGCCTTTGCTGGCAGATGGTGAAAGGTCTAGAGATTTGCCACGTACCCCGGCCATGAAGTCAGAGTGTGCCCTTCTTAATACCGGAAGCCCAGAGCGCATGCCCGAGGCCAACCGCATCATACATCGCGACATCAAGCCCTTTCCTCTGCTCGGGGGTTGTCGGCATTCTGCTCGCTCGTGTTCACTGCAAGGCCGCAGAACCTCTTGATCGATGCGAACCACAGATTGAAGCTAGCGGACTTTGGCCTTGCTCGGGCCTTCATGGTCCAGCCCTTAAGCCTGAGCCCGTCATTTGGGGATCCGCTCCGGCCGCTCCTAGACGCCAAGGTTCCTATTCCAAAGTACACTCACGAGGCAGTTCCTGCACGGGGAGCGTGGGCCGGGCCCCACGATCGGATACCTTGCCAAGGTTGTCACTGTCTGGTACCGCGCGCCAGAGATCCTCCTGGGTTCAGCCTCGTCCTCAGGCTTTAATGAGAGTCCGAATGAAGCGAGCTTGGCCCAGTCTCGTCATGGGGCTCGGATCACCAGATTGTGCAAAACCAAGAAAACGGCGAAGGATGTGTGCTTTGTTGCACCAAACATAACAACGATCCTCCTTGGCTTGCAGCGACAGCTCTTGCAGTAACCCGTACAGTAGCGCCGAGCATAGTGGTCGCTTGAGAGTCGCTCCACAGGGCGCCTACAGCATCGCGGTTGACATGTGGGCAGTGGGTTGCGTTTTCGCCGAAATGGCGACCGGCACGGGACCTACGTCATCCGACAATCCCTGGTATGCCGAGCTTGGTACCTCAGGTGGTCCCTTGTTTCAGGGAGACTCTGAGATTGATACGATCTTCAAGGCCCATGGCTGCATATTCACATAAGCACTTTCTGCGGGGATGCAGCGGGTGGGGTGCCGGGGTGCCTTGTGAGATCTTCCAGAAGCTGGGCACACCTAATGAGATGACTTGGCCTGGAGTCCAGGATCTTCCGAAGTCACCGCCCCGGTAAAACCAACACACTCTGCAATGTCCGCTCCATCCGGTGCATGCTGAGTTTCAAGCCAAGCTTTCCTCAATGGAGACACAAGGGACGCGACCTCGGCTTTTGCGGTGCGCAATCCTGTTGCTGTTCTCATGGCCAGCTGTCTGCGCAGACGAATCTGTCTGCTGTCTGTAGACTGGGAAGTATCGTTTCCTTGTTGAGGCTGGGCAAACATCCGCCAAGGCAAGACGAAGGAGAAGGCACGGCTTGCAAGCGTTCACGGGCAAACCAAAGCCGGAAGTTAAGCAACGAACCTAACTAAGCCCAGATCAGCAAGTGAAGAGACAACTACGAGGAGTGTAGTGCAAATCTGTGCATCTACGAAGCTTGCTTGCGTCATAAGGTTGGTGAGTGTGGTATTGATCTTCTGGAGAAATTCCTGGCCTATGCCCCCAAGCAGCGATTGCTCCTTGTCTGAATTGCGAGCACATCTCCAGCATGCCGTGGTGCAGCCGTAGAAACGTGTAGACATCAGGATTTAGGGAGTTTAGGGTTTATCCTGATTTAGCGCTTCTGAGTTCACTATGGGGTTTGCTTGACTCGGCCAAGGAGTGCGCGGAAAGGGCTGCAGCACCCCTACCTGGCAGACGCTGGGCCTTAATTGCCATGCATCAGAAGCTTGTCGCGTGTCAAGCGCGATTAGCTGCTTAATTCACTGGTTCGTGCAGTGGGGGCGGCACTTGCTGCAATCAATCTGAAGAGTCTTGAAAAAGCCGGAGCTTTGGTGGCTCTTTATTCGAACATGATACCCGGAAATACTGAAATCGCACTTCCTCCTTCCGGCATGTGTTGCACATGAGATTTGCCCCTCTCCCATTCAGCTGGTCTGGCTAGTGATCACTGCGAGTCGTGGACAGGTGTGCTGAACACGCGGCAAGTCCCTAGTGTCGTCTGCGACTTGCGAGTGCTCAGTTGTTTTTCAGCGCTGGGCTTGTGCAGGGGACATTGCACATCACATGCCGAAGCCAGTCGCGAAAACGGAGTTGCCAGCGTTAGCCAATGTTTGTGCCGTGCATGACGGCGCAGGAGCTGATACAAGCGAATTGATGCACTCAACATTCAGACTTCAGGATGTTGCTATTATCGTTCCAAATTTCTGTGTGACAGCCCTACACACATCACTCACCGAAGGTTCGTTAGCAATGTTCTTGGCGGGCTTCAGCGACAACTTGCCGTTGGTTAGGTTAAGATGCAGTTTTGTGGCTGCATGGTTGGTCGTCTTCCCGTCCTTGGCAGCGTTCCCGGATCGAGTGCAAGGCATACGACTTCGCAGGCTTCACATAATCAAACCTAATTCTTGCCGCCGCAAGGGAGGATGAAAGGCAACTGGTAGTCGAGCCAGTCGAGTGTTAGACTTGTGCCGGAAGCGCAAATCTCTATGGCAATGGCCAACCATGGCCCCATGCCAACATGCGGAGGTCTCCAACCGGCAGAGAGGCACGGCTCTGCTGACGGCTTTCTTTTGAAAGGCGGGTTGTCCACTTTGGGATGCATTTCGCTCGCGCTCTCCCGTTGCGTCTGGCCCATGCCTCTCAGCGGTAGCAGAGATCTTGTTGCGCCTCCGCGCATTCCCGCGAGATGGGCAAGCCACGCGGAATCAGATGTGCCCGTAAGTTGAGGGTTCACCGAAGGGAGGCCTTGTGGGCAGACAAGGACCCGCAGAAGAACGAGAAAAGGGCATGCCAGTGAGAATCCAGAATGCCGCAATGCTATGAACGGTCTGAAGGACTACAAAAAGGCAAACCTGGGCACGAAGTACAAGTGCAATCCTTTCGGAGGCGACTGCTGCAGAAAGGAGGCCAGTGTTGAATTCCAGAGATCCGGCAAAGCCTTGCAGGCACTTCCCACGCCAAGGGCATTGTCGTTGAGAAGATTGGCATCGAAGCAAAGCAGAACCTCGTCTGAACACCGGGTTCTCTGATGCGGTGTAAAAGTGTGTGTGTGTGTGGCTGTGGCTTTACCGGTCTTATTTCATGCATGATCAGCGAGTGATGTACGAATGACTTGAAGGCCGAACTCGGCCATCCGCAAGTGCTGCCGTAGCGAGCTCAGCTGTCCGTGGAGTTGTCTGGCTCTCCACTCCCCTGCACCGTTTCGGGATGGCCGCAGGTGTGCAGCTGATCAAGAACGGTAAGAAGATCGCAGCCTTCGTCCCCAGGCCATTTGCACTCCCCTATCCTGTGTGCTAGGCTGTCTCCAAGAGGCTGTGTGGCATGACAATGCTTGACACGGCTGGCAAGGGATGGCTGCCTGAACTTCATTGATGAGAACGATGAAGTGTTGGTGTCTGGCTTCGGACGACGAGGTCACGCAGTTGGTGCCCCAGTAACGTCAAGGGCCCTACCAGTAACGAAGGCTTCGAGTGCCCCGTGCGTTGACCTAGGTCGGTGACATTCCTGGCGTTCGCTTCAAGGTCGTGAAGGAGGGGCAAGGGACAGCTTGCGCGAGTGTCCAGTCCTGATAAGGATCGGAACAGCAACGAGGCACTGTCCTCGCTTGATTTGCAGGTGGCAGGCTGTGGCCTGGGAGCTCTGTACAGGAACAAGAAGGCTCGGCGAGCGTGTCCGTTGGAGCTATCCTTCCGCCAGCTGTGTGGCCGGAGGGGTGCCTTCGTCTCAGGAAAAGCCACGTTCCTGAAGATTGAGTGGTAGTGAAGCGCCGATGCCGGAGAAAGATCTGTCTGCTCTTGTGCGTCAAAAAGCTCACCTTGCCGCTTACTTAGCGTGGATCCGTGGAAAGTACTTTACTGTTCGTGATCCAGTTTAGAGCGTCTAGTTATGTTGGAATGACCGGATGCTGAAAGTTGCATGTAGCATCATGTAATGTATTCGGTCAATTGGCCAGCTACTTGTAACAACGATGGGACCCCCCAGCCTGCAAGAGATGTGGTAGGCCGAGTGCCAGGTGCATCGGGCAAGTTCACAGCTGCTGAGCAGACTGCGCACATCTGCGCACCGGCGCTGGATGTGTTTGAGAAACAGGGTATTCAGCCAAGGACGGCTGCTGTGCAGAGAGGTCCGATGAGAGACAGCTGCAATTCAGTTTTTCGCGGTGTGCTCAGTTGAGCATCGCACCGTGCCCCCCGCAGCTTTGAAGCTTGAAAGCCGACTGCCGAGATTGCTACACTACGCAGCACAGCAGTTAATGACACATCCCTGCAGGTCATGCTAAGATCTCCCGGGTCCCTAGATGTTTCTGCTGGTTCACTTCTTAGCCCCAGCATGACGGAAACTGTTTTTGAAGCAGACTTGGAGTACATAATCTCACGCCAATGTATGCAGCAGGGCCATGATTTGTTGATTCATGGCGAACTCTTGCGCTGAGGCGCATGTCCAAAGGCACACCCAGCTGCAAGCTCCCCGAAACTTTCTAAACCCAGGACCGTCCCCGCCAAAGTACAAAGCCCTCAACCCCCATCAGAGCCCGCTCAGTTTTGGCAATGGGATTTGTTTCTGGAACTTGTCAGGTCATGGCAGAAAGACTGAAGTAGAAAGGTTTGTGTTGTTGTAGTGCGTTGGTATCGTGCCAGGTAGCCACGCCGATCGGCGTGCACCTCGTCAGGCTTCCCATTCGCAAGTATGGCGTCCGATGGAAATAAGTACGTAGTTGAGTTGACAGCAAGGCGATGCCTGAGAAGTCTCCAAAGAAGAAGCCGATTCCTCGGGGCTGTTCATCAACGCAGACTCTTCATGGTGCTTTTTGCAAGAAGCTGTCTGTCAAGTCAAGCGCAAGGAAGCGGTCTTCTTCACACGACGCTGGCACCAAGGCTGCTTTTGTACGTGTACCTCGCTCTCATCACTAACCTCCGTTTCTCTGAGAGGCGTCCAAGAAGAAAGCCTCGAGGTCAAGATCTCGAGAAGATGACCGGAAGAGGCAGCGGACAGCTGACGGCGTCCTGCACAGCATTGCACCTCTCTGCTGCTTTCTTTTGAAAGGCGGGTTGTCCACTTTGGGATGCATTTCGCTCGCGCTCTCCCGTTGCGTCTGGCCCATGCCTCTCAGCGGTAGCAGAGATCTTGTTGCGCCTCCGCGCATTCCCGCGAGATGGGCAAGCCACGCGGAATCAGATGTGCCCGTAAGTTGAGGGTTCACCGAAGGGAGGCCTTGTGGGCAGACAAGGACCCGCAGAAGAACGAGAAAAGGGCATGCCAGTGAGAATCCAGAATGCCGCAATGCTATGAACGGTCTGAAGGACTACAAAAAGGCAAACCTGGGCACGAAGTACAAGTGCAATCCTTTCGGAGGCGACTGCTGCAGAAAGGAGGCCAGTGTTGAATTCCAGAGATCCGGCAAAGCCTTGCAGGCACTTCCCACGCCAAGGGCATTGTCGTTGAGAAGATTGGCATCGAAGCAAAGCAGAACCTCGTCTGAACACCGGGTTCTCTGATGCGGTGTAAAAGTGTGTGTGTGTGTGGCTGTGGCTTTACCGGTCTTATTTCATGCATGATCAGCGAGTGATGTACGAATGACTTGAAGGCCGAACTCGGCCATCCGCAAGTGCTGCCGTAGCGAGCTCAGCTGTCCGTGGAGTTGTCTGGCTCTCCACTCCCCTGCACCGTTTCGGGATGGCCGCAGGTGTGCAGCTGATCAAGAACGGTAAGAAGATCGCAGCCTTCGTCCCCAGGCCATTTGCACTCCCCTATCCTGTGTGCTAGGCTGTCTCCAAGAGGCTGTGTGGCATGACAATGCTTGACACGGCTGGCAAGGGATGGCTGCCTGAACTTCATTGATGAGAACGATGAAGTGTTGGTGTCTGGCTTCGGACGACGAGGTCACGCAGTTGGTGCCCCAGTAACGTCAAGGGCCCTACCAGTAACGAAGGCTTCGAGTGCCCCGTGCGTTGACCTAGGTCGGTGACATTCCTGGCGTTCGCTTCAAGGTCGTGAAGGAGGGGCAAGGGACAGCTTGCGCGAGTGTCCAGTCCTGATAAGGATCGGAACAGCAACGAGGCACTGTCCTCGCTTGATTTGCAGGTGGCAGGCTGTGGCCTGGGAGCTCTGTACAGGAACAAGAAGGCTCGGCGAGCGTGTCCGTTGGAGCTATCCTTCCGCCAGCTGTGTGGCCGGAGGGGTGCCTTTGTCTCAGGAAAAGCCACGTTCCTGAAGATTGAGTGGTGATGATGTGAGTGGGCGCTCCAGTCCATCGTGCAGACCATTGTGGGTGCGGACAGGTAACGAGATCTGCTTCTGGGAAAAGCGCTTGTGTTTTGCCAATTCGTCTTCTAGCCTGCAACACAGGCACGCGAGAAATGCGGGCAAAGCATTCGGAGTCCCTGTGTAGCAACACGGCTCTATCCTGGTCAGGAAAGCGAAGTCACGCTCGCGCAATCGTTCCAAAGATCGAGAACGATCGCTGGATCCTCACCTGTCCTGATACCTTTCTTGCTGCTGGAAGTCAAGAGTGTAGCCTGGTCTGCTATGCTGAGGCGGGACCGCGACAAGCGGCGACGCAAAGGCACGCCCACACTGTGGGACTGGATGGTGGGGTAGCGGAGCATGCGAAGTAAACGCGTTTCAACCCTATGGCCTAGGGCCTGCGGCCTGTTTTCGATCCGGTGATCTTACGAAGATCGTCGAATCTGCAACGAACGTCACCTCAACTTTTCGTTAGCTGGTGGCGGCATTAGCTCCGTTGGCTGAGCAAATCGGCACGACGTAAAGGAGGTGGAGGCCAGTGGCCACCTCTGCTTGCAGCTCGAAAGAAGGAGCATGATGCCAGCACACAACCGGAATCTCATAAGGAATCACGAGAAAGGCACCAGGGGGCAGCCAGACACCTGCCCGATGCAAACATGCTTTCATGGTCATGTCTACATGTACACCCAGCTGTGCACAGTGCGTGCCAGCCACGTTGTTGCACGAGCCACAACTGCCGACTGAGCGACGTCCTCGAGCAGAGTGTCATAAGGGCGGTATTGCAATGCATCGGGAGCGCTGTGCTGGATATGCATGGCATTGGCAGATTCTTCCGACAGCCGCCGACGGCAGCGAGACAACCGCAGGCTCGATTTTTACATGTGGCGGTGCTTTGACCGAGCGATTCTGTCCGCTTCGTCACTTGTGCAGTCTGCCGGCAGGCGTCAGCGCGCCTCGAGTTCTAGCTCGCTGCCGGTGCGCGTGGTGAGATCTGCGTGACGGGAGCTCAGACCTGGAATCTGGAAGCCTGTGAGGTGCGACGGAGGCGGTCTCCCGACCGGAGGCGATCTCCGGAGAGGAGGCTGGCAACAGAAAAAGGAATTATATGGGAAGGGTCCGAGGATTCCTTTGCACGATGCACGTCCAGAACTACAAAAAACGAGCCACGTGCATTTTCGCAGTCGAGAGCGAGCTCGGAGCTGGGGTCGCAAGTGCAGGCGAAGCCCTGATCGAGCACGTGAGCGCGATCGCGATCGCAAAGCCCGTCGAGCCAAGGATCGCGTGTGTCTGGGGATTTTGTGCATTGGTTTCTTTTTCGGGTGCGGTTCTCATGCCGCGCGGCCATGGAGGATTCAAGCTCCGACGCCGGGACCCAAGTTTGATGCGGATTCCCGCACGACGCATGGCAATCCTGAGGATCGCAGGAGTAAGAAGAGCAAGGCAAGCTGCAGCGCAGAACTTCTGCAAGGGAGCCTTCCCAGGTTGTTGCTTGTGCGGATGAGCCTTTGCAGGATAGCAACTTTGACAGGGAGGTGATTGATGTCAGACCTGGGACCGAGGACTCCAGGACGGCGACTCTGTGACTCCGTGCAGCTTCAGAGTTCCGAGGAGACGAATGGCGAGAAGGAGAAGCCGGCTCGCTCCTCGAAGTTCAGCCCCATCGAGGCGCGGCCTTCCCTCCGAGCTCTGCTTCGGAGCTCTGCTTGGGAGCTCTGCTCTGCCTTTGCGGAGGCCCAGCAGGTGCCGCTGCTGAACCCCTACCCTAAGGGCTCCAGTGAGGCGGGAGCTGGGAGCCTCGGTCTGTGCCCTCGGTTGGTACTCGTATGATCGTATGCACAAGTGAGTTGGTGTTTCAAGCTTTCAAAGCTTCAAGCTCGACAAGCTGCCTCTATCGAAACATTGGCCGTGACCGAGTGCGATCGATGCTCGAAGATTGAAACTTCGGCGTTCGCGGCTGCGGCTCGCCTCTGAGGTCGAGAGTTCCACAGTCCAAAAGTTTCGACGTTTGACAGCTCGGGAGTTAGTCTTTGTGGAAAGTTTGAGACTTACAAAGTTTCAACGGCATGCCAGATCGACAGTTCGAAGGTTTGGAAATTCGAAGGACGCTGAATTCGGGTTTGACGTTCCGCCAAGTTCCAAGTTGGAAAGTTCGAGAGATTTCGAGAGTTCGGAGGATTTGACAAGTTCGCCTGTAGAGTATGTAGAGCGTGGGAAGGTCTGAAATGACCGGGGCGCATGCATGTTGCTCGCGCTGGGCTCGCACTACGCCCATTCAAGCATTCTTCCCCTCTCATCAAACCATCACACAGGAGCTCTTTTCTTAGACCCGTCTCCTCAATAGGCGATGTCGGTCGACGTGATGACATGTCCTTACAATGCTGTTTACCTTCAAGGTTTGGGGCTCAGGATGTATTTATGATTTGTAGTCCGATGTCTGAAGGCCGAAGCTTAGGGTTTGGGCAAGCAAGACTTGCACTCAAAGAACCCCGACACTTGAAAAGGGTTCAGAGTGGAGGACTTTTCACTGAAAGAACATCGTGGCCCCAACTACTGTACACAAAACCTTCTTCATGCGAGGTTCAATCTTAACTCTCCGTCTTTCAAGTTCTCACTCTTGAATGATTTCGTGCTCCAAACTCTCCAGCTAGCCAATCCAACTCGAACCTTCGAGACGGCCCACCCGCATCCTCCACTCCCTATCCGCCGCACGGGCGCATGTTGTCGTGTTTTATGAGTTCCTGTTCAACCATCTGATACGTGTAAACTTTCAATGTTTCGAGTTCGAGCATCTACTCGTGACACCCATCCTTGAGAGGTTTCCGACACTCAAGTCCTAGTAACAGTGGCCTCCGGGCAATCCGCATATGAACGCACCCCTCTCATTTACGTCGCAAGAACGGTACCACTATTGGTAGGCAGATGTTGCTGACTATTTCCAACATCATGGATTTATTGATTGACAGCACAAGGCCGTGCACGCAATCGCTTCTGCCACCTAGACCTTAAACGGGAATCAAAACTCAAAGGGCAATTCAACAACATGCACGGGTGAGATATGACGTAACTCGACCAGGGCACCAAAAACAGCACACCATGAAATTCGATCAGCGCGGCTGAATGTGCAAGCAGTGACGGCAGCGAACACATGCAGCCGCACAAAGAAAGAAAAAGGTCAAGGCACTAAGGAGAGCAATCAGCAGCCACCAAAGCAAGACATCAAGAACGATGCAACAAAGTAATGAAGAGGCTTAAGTTGATCAGCAAAGAGCAAAAGAAGGCTGAGGCGAGACGAGAAGATGTGCTTCGAACCTGGCTTGGTTTGATTTCTCGATGGTCGCGCGACTCCGGCTGTGGTTCCGTGCACATTTGCGGATGAAATCGCGTTCTCCGTGTACAATTCATAACATCCAGCACCTTCGCATTCCCGAACGCGGCTGCGTGTTCTGTGGTGCTACCAGCTCTTGCTCCTGCCACAGTGTGGTGCGCATGTTGAACTCACTGGATCTTCCTTGCATGGTTCTTTTTTTCATGCTTGGGGTCAACGCTGGCAAGATTTTGGTTTGCTTGCCCTTGATCCTTGTAATCCTCCGCCCTGCACATCATGTGAAGGCTATTCGCCTGGATGCAGCACGGTTGGAGGTGGCATGGATCCCGAGCTGTTCGGACCAGCACACGTTCGGATAGTTACATGATGGTAGTCAAGTGTTCGTGCCGAGGCCAGATTGAAAGCAATGGGAAAGATGCCGTCCGCGCAGCTGTTGAAGGAGGCTGTTGCCAGTCTGAGAGCGAACTGTCCCACCAATGCTCCTACAAGTCGAGTATCGTTGACACCACAACTTCGACGCTTAAACGGCAGAACAGAAAGTACATATTATCCCCGAAGGCCCTAGGCTCTAAAAGGTGAGAGGACAGTCCCTGGGTCTATGAGACTCGCCGGAAGAACAACATGGTCAGGTTGCCGTTGGAGCTCAAGCTGCTGCCATTGTGGGCCAAGCAAAGGCTCCGGCTGTGGATCCCCCCCTAAACCCTATAAGCCCATATAGATCCCCTAAAGTATCCTTACAGTAACCCTTTAAAGGAACCCTAAAAGGTAAGCCCTCCATCACGAAGTCATTGTACTTGTGCTCAGCCGAATACAATTGAAGTTCTTGATAATGATGGAATTATGAGACGTGGCCCGCACCGGTGGGCTGGAAGTGTGCAGCCTCAGCAATCGTGATGATGCCAGGTGGAGAAGCCGAAGCCCAAGAAATCAGCGTGATGTGCTCAGCCGGCTATGCAACAGGAGTTAGGACGGACTTGGATTGGCTTCGACTGCTGGCAAACAACAGCTGCCTTCGAGTTTTTATCCAAGCCAGAGGCTGCTGGTGTTGCAACTCGCTTGTTCTAAGGCCCGCTCCGTGGATGGCTGCTCGAGCGGTGTTCGCCAACAAGGTCACTGCATATCGTGGCGAGTCGTTCCACAGTCCAGAGTTTGTCTCTGTCGAAAAGGACGGCGAAGGTTCCAAAGCTTCTGAACCAGTCCTCATCTCAGCTGAGGATGAAGCCTTCGTCCTGAGCATCTTCTCCACACAATCCACACAAGTGCAGGCCACTCCAGCCGGTCAAGAAGGAAAAGAAGCCAAAGACAGCAAAGACAGCAAAGATGGCACGGGTTCCCTCAGTTGTTGGTGTCTCCTCTCAAAGAGCATCTTTTATAGCAGGTGCCAAGAACATCAAGAAGCTTGGAAGCTCGGAGCTTTCGGAGCCACAGCCTCAGCGTGCAGACTTTGACAACCTATCTGTTGCTTGACGGCTAGCGCAGTTGGCGCACATCGCTTTGGGCCTCCTGCTTTCAGGCTGTCAAAGGCCATCGCAGAGGATCGGAATAAGCTTCGCCTCTTCGTCGTGAAGGTCGGAGATCCTACCCATAGGCTTGTCCAAGCCATGATCAAAGCCGCGTTTGCCATCACTGAAGGCGAAATCAGATTTCGAAGATCGCAAGGAGAAGGCCTCCTAACTTGTTCTGTGCGTCCGACTTGGGGGGTGAAACACAGCAGATCTTGAAAGGCTTTGTTGCCTTTTGCCCTGTCCGACGGATGTATCCCGCTTGTCGGGGTCTTTTTGGTGGTCTGTGTGGCCGCACATCGCCTCACGGTCAGGCGAAGGCTTTGCACCAGTCGGTCCAGATGGGCGAGACGGACGAGAATGAGTCCCTTTTCTGGTCTCTGCGCGTCGCGTTTGGGCAACGTCAAACGACACTCCGTGGACAGTCAATTGCCAAGGTACTACTCAGCTTCCGTCGGAGAGGAGATGGGGCCAAATCGATGCTACAAGGTGGAGGACGGCACTGGAATTGCACATCGGTCCATTGCATGCCTGCCGCAAGTACGGGCTGAAATGTGAGGCTGCCATCGGCAGAGGAGTCTTCTCCAGCGTGTACCACTGCAAGGGCTTGAAGGACGGTGTGCCAGGGCCGGCTTGAGGGTTCCGACTAGACGAGGTGCGTGAATCATGCAGCTGCAGGACGGCAAGGACTATGCCGTCAAGCTGATCAGGGCAAACGGGATGATGCGTCGGGCAGCTGACAAGGAGGCCTGCTGGGCTTGTCCGGGGTACCGGGCATCAGAGGGCAGACGAGGACGACTTGCTTGTCGCTGCGCAGGTGGAGATGTACAAGCGCTTGGAGAAGAACTCCGCAGAGGACGCTGAGGTGCTTGACGTGCTCTTGTAGCTGCTATGCGAGCTCTCGACGTGCATCACCAGTCCCACGAAACATCATGAGTTATGAGCTTCAAATCATCAGGGCTTCAAGCACGTCATCATCCTCTCCGACCTGCAGACCTTTGAGCACAATGGCCACTTAAGCCAAAACCTCGGGCTTGGCTTTCTTGACCCAGCAGCGATGTGCAAGTTTGCCAAGGTCTCGTCTTTGACCTGCTGAAGTGCGACATGCGCTTTGCCTTGCAGAAGTGTCCTGGCCGATCATGTGCGGACTCATTGGATCTCTTTGTTGTGTGAAAGGTGCGCAGATGTCACACTATGCTCCATGGTGTTCTTCGATGAGTCATTAGCTGCAGTCAGGTATGGCATGGGCGGAGGTCTTCCCTTACCGACCTTGCAGCAGTACGTGAGGCTGGGCCGGTGTCAGCTGCAGCTATTTCGATGGAACTTCTGGCTTTGCAAGAACCCCTGAGCAAATTAGCTGTGCTGTGTTGACCAGGCAAATTATGTTGGGACTTCGTGCGCTGCGAGCTGCAAAGGCAGGAGAACGGGCTGCAGAAAGCAAAGAGACGTGTAGCGTTTTGTGAGTCCTGTCTCCCAGGTCATCCACGCAGATCTGAAGCCAGACAACATCCTCATGACGCTAAACAAGGCCCTGACTTCTTCTCTCGAGTTGAGAGTGGGAGAGATACCTAGTCTGTGAGGCCGAAATCAAAATCTGCGATTTCGGAAGTGCCATGGACGCCTCAGAGCAGGTAAAGACTGCGTGCGCATTAGGCCGTACTCAGGGCAAGAGTTGTGTAAAGTTCACGGCACACCGCCAGGTACCTCCAGCCCCGCTACTACCGAGCTCCAGAAATCATGCTCGGAGTTCCGTACGACATGGGCATTGACATGTGGAGTGCCGGAGCCGTGTGCTTTGCCCATCTGTGTTAGCGGGAAGGAATTAGATGCCTCCAGAGCCCCGCAGGAACTACCACATACGAGCTGGCCACCGGGAAGATCTTGTTCACTGGGAAGACGAACAACCAGATGGTGCTGCACTCGGCATTTCGCTTGAAGAAGCATGCCAGCTGAGTCTTTGCTATGCCAAGATGAACAAGATGATCTCTGTTGTGGGGAAGTTTCCGGAGAGAATGTCGAAAGTCGGAGAATTTGCGAGGCATGCTTCGTGAGTGCATGCCTCTCCCTGGCGGTGTCTACATGACGCGCCTGCAGGAAGCACTTCAATGACAATGGCGACTTCATGAGCAAGGACCGGAGTTCAAGAACCGGGCCTGGGGCATGTTTCATCAAAACGACACACTCAAGATCGATCTTTGGTATCGAGAGATCGACATGTTTGATGCTTGCGGCTCTCCGGCCTGGGCGAGCTTGGGTGGCGAGCACCAGTGCGAAGCAATTCGCCGGCGGAAGGCTCAGAGGGGTGTGCGTGTGCACGGGCGCCTGGCACACAGCCTCGCAGGACCCCGACTCCATCACTGGACTTCCGGATGTCGTACAGCTGTCCGGAATCCCGGGATCGAGTTGGTGGAAAATGTGGTGCTACCACGACGGCACATGAGCTTCCTGCAGATGCCGCCAAGGTCAAAGCCCACGAGAACAGTTCTCAACCTGCTACAGGTGCACCAGGCATTCAAGCAGATTGACACCTTAGAAGTGATAATCTGACAGGCAGAACTGAAGCACCCCAATGCCGGCGTGGAGCGCAAGGACCACGAGAAGTGGGTCGTGCAGCTTGCAGAGTTGGCCGAAGCCTCGTTGGCTCTTCCACTGCTTCCGCCTGTTTGGCAGAAGCCGAGGTCAGCAACTGCTGCCGGCTGGACCCGCAAGAGAGGATGAAGCCCGGTGAGGCCAGGCGCGCATCCGAGCGGAGGAACACACTGCGTCGCTGCAGCCGCTGCAGCCGCTTTTCCGCTCCGCGCTTTTCTTCCATCGTGCATCTCCGTGCATCAGTCTGAGCTCTGCAGGCCTTGGAGCTACAGTTCTTCAAGGCTTCGAGAGACGGCTGAAAGAGAGGCCGCTGCTGCTCGTAGATCCGCAAGTCCGCGTGGCCTCCTCCACGACCTGTCGTGCTGAGTTCCACCTCCCTCCCGTTTCCGACGACGTCCAGATTCTGCCAGAGTGCTAGCCTCAGGAAGAGATGTGATAGATGAGGGATACGCAAGTGTTGTAAAACCTGGATGTAGCTCAAACAAAACAAACCAAGCTGTCGAAGCTGCAGAGAATGTGCAGCTGCACAGAAGCGCAGAGAAAAGGAGGCCGGTGTGCTTCTTCTGACAGTGGTTTCAGAGCAGGTGTCAGAAACTTGAGAATGAGTTGGGAGGTGTAGATCATCGATGAAGGATAGCCCCAGGCAGCATACGGATTCTGCAGTCGAAAAAGCTCACGTAGGAAGCCCATAGAAACCTTGCTGCCTTGCTGTGCAGATTGAGTTGCCTCATGTTGCCTTTATAGGATTTCGTTAGGGTGCGTGCAACACAGGGTGTGCAGTAGTTGCAGTATGGCAAGTACGCTAGTAACTAGTACGGGTGAACTCCAAAGACTATATCCATGCTCTTGCTTCTGTGTTTCCTTCGTTTCCAGAGCTAGGGCTTATGGCCCGCGGTCGAGTGCGAGAAGTGCGGGATGGTGCAAAGACGCTGGCCACTGTTGCCTTCACAAGGACAGCAGCTTGCACTGCCGGAATCACACGTTGGATGGGTTGATCGTTCGGATTTCTGGGTGTTGACAGAAGCAAGAAAGCCCGCCTGTCTCCGCACAGACTCTGCTCTTTAGCCAGAGCTTGTTGAAAGCGATGTCCACGCTCAGTCCAGGCAGCGCAAGGCCCTGGCCGTGCGCCATGAGCTGTGACTTGGTCACCATGGGCACCATGCAAGGAAAAGCAAGTGCTCCTTGCAGCCTTGCAGTGGGTGCCCAGAAAGTAGTGTGGTTCGGATATCTCTTCCACGATGCCCCTGGATGCCCTCCCGAGAGTTTGTCGTGACTAAATGACTTGGACTCGACTGCTTGCCACCATGTGTGCGAACCCCAGGTGGGAGTATTCCAGTTCCGTTCCGCTTGAAGCTATGAATGGAGGCACGATGGCAATCGAATGCCCTACTATGAAAGGGGCCTGGTGTCATAATGACAGCTATGGTGTCTCCGGACAGCATCTAAACGGATAGACCGTATTTGGTAGTGGCTGCATGTCTTTGCCTCAAGGCAGGGCTGGTCGCTGCCTTCCAGGCCGGACACTGACGTCCTTTACTGCTCCCGCAGCCGTTGCCTTTCGAAACACTCCCATATTCTGAGTCGGGTCGTGTAGTGTAGATGCTGCCTAGTATCTATGTGAATGCAGTAAGATACTCGTACTCTGTCAGCGATGTCTGTTGCCTTGAGAGACTTAAATGCTAGTGGCAGTGCAAGTGGCAGCGTAAGATTAGAGAGCCCTCGTGCTGACCGATAGTCGCTGCCGTGGTGGTTGCATGTTCTTAAGACCGGTTTTTCGGGTTCTCGGCTCACGGATAGAATCCCGTGGGCCCTAGTTCAAGTAAGTTACGTCTAGCTTCCGCATGAGGGCCCGCTCCCCTGCATCAAAGTGCCCTGACCCGCTCAGTTTCGTAGAGTGTCAATTGTGCTCGTGTTCATAGTCTCTTGTCTGATTCACTGTTCTGTCAGCTTGATGTCCCATTCCCAACTCGCGCTTTGCCAAACTGCAATGTGCGAAGATCTTGTGAGCACTTCGACCTCTTCGTCACTTCCGGCCGTGATTGCGAACTGCATGCTCGCAAATGCAAGGCCCTTTCTTTGCCTGTATTGACCGTGGGACCATGCTGCTTCAAGAGGGTGCATTAGCTTGATGGCTTCTCATTTTGCTCATAGCAGCTTCGAACTGGCCATAGCTGGTATGCACTGGATGGACCTCTGCATTCGCTGTCCGCGCTAGTCATGTCCCAGCTGAGTCTGCAGTAACTTGTCAGTTGTGGCTAATGTCACAGCTTCAGAGCTAGTTGCTGCGAGTGCTTGCGAGAGTCGCGCATGGACCACACTCCTTCCAGGAACAGGTCACAATCGACCTGCGCCGGCAATAGCTCCATGTCGACAGGGTTGGAGGAAGTGCTGCAGACCATGTCCTTGTTCTGTTTCTCTGCAAATGAATCGAGTTTCTGGTATTCCAGAGGCGGAGTTCTTTGCCACATACGACAAGCTATTCTGCCATGGGCAAGGAAGAGGTGACATTTGGATTCTTCCCTTGCTTGTGCAGGCTAGCATGCAAGGCCCACCCACTTTGCAAGAGCTCTTCTTTCGACATGCGCAATCAAATCAAGCCTTTGTGCCGCTTCAATGGTTTGAATGGAGAGCAGGCACTTGGACGAAGAAGTGTTGGAGCCTTTACACTTGTCTTGATGCCAGCTCTCAGCTGATGCGGTGGTGTTAACTATACGACTTCATAGCCCATTGAAGCACCGGATATCCCACGACAAAGTCGACCCTTTAGAGCTGTGAGACACCCCGCATGGCCCGTTTTGCGAAACCCGAGGTGCCACGGCAGCGCTGCAGCTGGCACTCTGAGCGAGGCACAGCAGTTGCACTCTTTTCGGAGGCACTGCCTAGGAGGCATTCAGCAGTCGTTTCACCGTCTCTGTCGCACTCGCCGAGATTAGCAGCTTCCTTCAGAAAAGTGGCTGATGTTTCCTCAGGGCGGGTAAAAGCCCGGTCGGTTCAATGCCCTAGATGTGCTTCATCCAGGGGAAGCTGACGCCATCCATTCGGCGGCGTTCACGATAGCGTTGTAGGGACCGGCGGGTATGTGCTTGCTGCTTGCGGACATGCGACAAAGAAAAGCACGGTGCCGGACTATGCTGGCCATCGCTTGGGGTAAGACTGTTGGCCTGTAAGTCCAGGTTCCTGCCCCTCGCATGCACCACGGCTCACGAGGCTGAAGGGATGTAGATCACTTTGCCCAAGACAGGCCCGGAGCTGCAGTCGAGGCCGCCATGGCGAAGCAGCGCGCCGACGGGAAGCTGGCTGAATCTGAAGCCGTCATAGACCTCAAATCTGAGGATGGTTGCCCCGCGGCCTGGCCAGTTACGTTCATCAACCTCAAATCCAAGCCAAAGGGCCCGAACGAGGTCAACCCATGGGAGGACATGAACAAGATGCTTGCGGTCAGGGTAGCCTACGATAAGGAGAATGCCAGAATCTCCTGAAGTTGGAGAGACACTCTGGACCATGGCGTTATTGTGCAAAGTGTGCATGCAGATTCCAGCGCTCAGAACCCTGACTGCTGGCTCTTCCTCGGCTTTGCACCAGGCACCAGCGTGAGAAATGGCGGCTACGTGAATCTGCCTGAAGTTCATGAAGGGCTCGGGAGACATGCTTAAATCCCGGACACAACGAGGATTGCCGAGACGTCTCAGCACTGGCTCGAGGGAATCGCCAGAGGGGGCCTCTTTCATTCAGAGCATGCAGTGCAAGTGCAAGTCAGCAAGTCAGAGAGTTCGGAACTCGAAGGCCATATGGTAAGACTCCCACCAGACTCCCAGCACGCCCATCGGACGGAGACACTGGAACTGACTCCCGTGGAGCTCCATGGCTCGGCTGGCGCCGGAAGCCCACGGAAGCCCACAAGGGAGACGGGAGAGGGGGGGAACTCGGGAACTCGCGCTGGAAGCGCTGCTTAGGCCACTGGAAGATAAGCGCGCCTGGCCTGCCTTAGGGCCCCAGCCAGATCAAGGCGAGGAGGGATCTGATCTGCAGCGTCTCCAACATCCGACCCTGGACAGGTGGTCAAGACCACGAGGCCGGCTCTCTCTGCGCATCGCTGGCCCTTCTCTCTCTCTCTCTCTCTCTCTCTGGTGTGTTGCACAGCCCATGTCCGCGGCAGCCGGGCTCAGGGCCCTCGGGCCCAGCTAGGGATCCAAGATGGGCATCCAAGGGCTCCTCAAGGCTCTGGAGGATGTGCAGCGCGAATGCCACATCAAGGCCCTGAGAGCACAGGTATCTGTTGTGAATTCTCTGGAATTCTTCAAAGAGCTCTGACAGGAGTTTGGTGGAAAGAAAGCAGCCATTGATGCTCATGGTTGGTTGCATGCTGCCTTGGCAGGAAGTGATCCTGTCTGCAATGATATGCGCATGCACAAGTCTTCGGCAATGAGCTCACGATTTCGCTGAACCCAGGGGCTATGGATGTTGAGCTCGACGTCGATGACCAGGTTCATGTCCAATACTGTGCGAAAAGGATCTCGATGCTGCAGCTTTTCGGCAATTGGCTCGGCTTGTGCAGCAGCTTGTCGTTGATATATGATTCATCGACAGTCAGGCGAAGATTTGGAGTCGAGCCAGTCTTTGTGTTTGATGGCGCAGCGCTGCCGGCGCTTGTCTCAGATCTCTGATGTCTTCGATGGCCTCGTGCTAGTGTAGTTTTGAAGCCTGGGGCGGCCTACCTGTGCGCGCCTGAGGCAAAGGCAGCATTGCTAGAGGAGCGGCGTCAGCGAAGGGAGCACATGAGAAGGGAAGGCAGCGAAGTCTTTGCCGATCGTTTTGGTGCTCACCTTGCATGAAATACCTAGACCTGGCTTTGCAAGTGGAATGCCAGGCCAGCTTCGACTGAGTGAAGGAGACTTTGCGCAGGCGAAGTCATGCCTTGCCCAGGCGAAGTGGTGAATGAACCGCAAAATTTGATGCCATAGAATGCACGCCCTGCCAGGCAGTGGAAATCAAAGACCACCAAATCGATGCACCTTCTCCGCATGGGCCAGTGTCGACGTGATGTGATTTTGCTGTCTGTATTTCGCGATCCTTCCTGTTCTTGTGCATTTTCTGCTTCATGCAGCCTGTGCGGGACCATCCACCTTGGCATGGATGCTGCTCCTGTGATGGAGTTTCTCGCGCTACGCACCCGGGAGACCGCACCCTACCGTACGTGAAGGATCATTCCAGACAAGTTTTCAGCACCGTTGCAGAGACTCCTAAGCCTGCACGATATCACTTTCAGCAACCCTCGGGCAGCACGCTTGACGCACCGTGTGGTTTGCTTGATGAGGATGTCGTGCGCTTGCTTGCTGCGGAAGAAGTCAGGCGACCTGGCTGCAATGATGCGGTCGGAGCCCGGTACTGAGCTCTTCAGCTGAGTACGGCTGTCCCAAGCAGGTACATCCACGCACCTTGTGAAGCCGACGCTCAAATGGTTTATTTGGCTTGGCAGGGTTATGTTGACTTCTGCATCTCGGAAGACAGCGATCTCCTCGCCCTTGGCTCCCCTCAAGTGCTCTACAAGCTCCGTGGCGATGGACATGGCAGAGAGATTCTCTTGGATGATGCACTGAATGGCCGAAGCTTGGAGGACTTCCAGGCAATTTGCATCTTGATGGGCAGCTCGGCGAGTCATGGCGAGTCATTTCAGAATTCAGCTCCGTCTTCTGGTTCCTTCGTGACCAGGTAGGCGTAGCGAAGAGGAGTTTCAAGCGCCCTGATGTTGATGTTCTGTTCTCGCTTGCCGCTTCCTAAGCTCAAGGGACTTCCTGGCACCCCTAGAGAAGAACAGCTGTGAGACAGGACAGAACTCAAGGCTCAGGCTTCAGAACCCGTGCTGTCGATGGGGAGTGTTGAAACTAGTTGAAACATACAGATGTCTAAACTTGGGCATGCTGATTCCTCGAGTTCTGTGGTCAGACCAGGCTCGTTTACAGGAATTTTGAGACATCCCCCTGGCCCTGGCTTCGGGCACCCCGCCCGAGATGGATCGCTCGAAGCAATGGTTTTTCGAGGGAGAGGGAGTCCAAAACAGAGAGATGCTCCGAATCACACATCCTCCATCCGCAGACCGTGCATTCCGCGATAAGAATTGAAACATTCAACCTCAGGTTGCGACTACTTGCCTCGTCTTCGCGGGGTTGGGCCCGCGCTGGCCGTCCAAGTGGTGGCGGCGCGCGGCTGCGAAGCGGAGGCCGTTGCCAGGGCGACTTGGCTTTGGCCAACCCGAACAGAACTTCCACACATTCCTTGAAGATCTGCTTTCCAGGCCAAGCTGGCCCTTATCATGTAAGGCTTTCCGGTCATTCCGTTAAAGTTGCAGAGTCTGAGGAGCTTCGGGTTCGTGGAATCTCTGTGCCGTCTGAGTACGCCGAGCACTTCCGGCTGGCGAGCAAGGTTTTTCAGCTGCAGCCCGTGTACGAGCCTCGTAGCGGCCGACAGATTCCTCTTCGGAGCTCGCAGGACTCGGAAGTTTTGAGCTCTAGGCTCAAGGAAAGACCGAACTCGGATTTTCTCTGGGCTCGACAGGAACTGCACACAGCGCCTATGCAGCTCGCGAGTGCCTATGCTGCATTACTCTTGTCCTAACTTGAAGCAACTTGCCTCAGTGAGCGTCCATGCATGCTTTGGTGCCGGCAAGGCCATGCTGGGAGCTCTGCTACGCAGGAAGCCGAGGCTTCTTGCCGCGATGGTCTGGTGCCGATTGAGGCACCTCGAGGTCGAGTGGGTCGGAAGGAATCCCCCGGCCGGAGCCGCAGCCGGCGCAGCCGCACCCCTGCACGGCGAGAAGGCCTCGCTGCAGGAGAGCTTGAGAGGTGCGGACGAGGATTATAGGTATCACGAAGAAGCGGGGTGCCCATCGGTGCTCGGAGCTTCTGCTGGGTTTCAGGGCGAGGCAGGCAAGCGCTGAGTCGGGGACAGTCAGCAGGAGCGGGGCCGGACCCGGAATGAAACGCCAACGAGATAAAGACAAAAGACAACAGTCCGGTCTTCGGGGAGAGCGGGTCGGGAAGGGACATTCCTCAAGTTTGGCAGGTTGCAGTGGCAGTGGCAGCGCATTTGTCAGCGACTCTTTGGAACAAGCCAGGCCGAATGCTTCGCTGTTTGGGGAGCCAGCAAGATTTCACCGAGGAGTTTAGTTTGCAACTAAGGGAGCTGAAGCCTTGGTCAGGTCTGCTCAGCAGGGTGCGATGACCCTGGACGAATTCATTCGACGAGAGCGAGTAGAACGCAGAGGAGGCTCACAAGCACCACGCAAAGAGCAGAGAGCTGAGCATGGAGCTGGTGAGGGAGACGCAGACCCATCGTTGAATCTTGGCGTGACACGAGAGCAGCCATCAGCAGGAGTCTTCTTCAAAGTAGGGCGTGTGAAGATGAGCTTCCAAGCATGCTTGGGGTTGAGGGAAGGTGCTTCACCTATTCGAAGGTAGCTGCACTGTGGTTGCCGGAATGCTTTTTTTACAAATGCACTGGACGCTCCGGCATTCTCAGGAGTGTTGCGGGGAAGTCGCGCTTCTTTGGACGGCGCTCCAAAACGGGCAGCCTGTGGTCGGACTGAGTCTTTCATGGAGGTCTTCTGAGAGATGCGAGGAGTCTTTGCAAGTTTCTGCAGAGCATCTGCAGTCAGAATTTCTGATCAGATGTGTACATACCTCCCAACCTGGAGGATGACAGGGTATTTTGTAGTCATCCCCGAGGGGGCGTTGCGAGAGAGAGACGCCCGTACAGGCCTGCAGTGTGAAAAGCCTTGGTCCGCTCTTCGACAGGGCTCTTTTATGATGGGCTCATGGTACCTCAGTCTCAACGATGTCGCATGGTGCCGCATGTTTCATGATCCTCCCCCTTTGCGCCGTGTGTTCTCCTTGCCTGCAGGATGCCGCTGAGCCTTCTGCTGCGAGCAGGCCCCGGACCTTCTCCAATCCCGGCTTTCAGTTCTCAGAGTGGCTTTCAAGGGGGGCGGGAAGGGGGGGTTGGGCTTGGGCATTCGGAGCAGTCTTCTGCGTGGGCACCTTCGAAGCGTTTATTACCGATCTGATGTGGAGGCATCTGCTCCCGCCTTGCTTAGCGGGACCAGGGCGCTCTTGTCAGTGGATGGTTCCTGGTTTTTTCCGACGTGGCTACATGTGCAAGCAGGCGTACAAGTTTTCGACTTTGAGTTTTTCCGCGCTTCTCGAACTTTTCTGTGCTGTTGCCTTTTTCCCACGCTTTCCGACTTCTCGACTTTTAGCGTGTTCTGAGCTTTTCGAACTTTTCGCGGTGCTATGCTTTTCAACTTTTCGTGTTACTCTGCGCTTTTCGATTGTTCCGGTTTTCATACAGGCTCCAGGCCAGGTTAGGGAGAGGATCGGCTGGCCCGAGTGGACGACCTGGTAGCTTATGCGAAGCTACGACGTAAACACCCATCTCCTTTCCTCTTTCAAATCTGCGTTCAGAACAAGGCTCACGTAAAATGCCTCGCTCCAAGTCCCGAATCCTGTCAGAGACTCAAGCCCTGTCTGACAGCCTCAGAGCGCCCGATCTCCTGAAAACTGAAACCCCGAAGAACCTAAAGTCCCCCGTGTTGCAAGGCCACAGCGGGAATCAGACAGCCCAGAGCCCAGCGCCATACTTTCTGGGTCATCACTACAGTTCCTCGTGCTCAAAAACGGCTTTGGGGGCAAAAGGGGCTTATGGGTGTCGAGTCATTGATGCAACTCTTGTGGGGTTGAGCAACCTGCGCTTAAGCTTGACTCTGCCGGTGGCTTCTGTTTTTGGACTACCAGGATGGGACCAGCGTCCCATCGACGAGGAAGCCTGGGCCTCAAGCTCCGAGGTTTCATGACCGTCGCACCAGTGCTGTCACGACTGGTACGAGTCTGCTGCTGGGAACGCACTTGCACTAGCGAGGCTTGAAACAAGATCGAACAGATTTCTATCCCTCTCCCTCTCTCTCTCTCTTTGCTCTCTTTCCTCGCTTCTGGTGCTGTGACAGCTTGAAGCAGCCCGAGGCGTGGAGCGGGGGAAAAAGGGGTGGTGGCCTCAGGAATTAGGACACGAAACGGAAGTGCCGAGTGAGCCTGGAGTGCCCCAGGCTACGGCGAGTGGTCCTGGAAAGGAGGGAAGGGACACAGCAAAGGACGTGGAAGGCTGGAGCATAGCAGATCCACGGGACCGGAGTATGATTCAAACTAGCTCGCCGACGCTGCACCGAAAGTGATGGCAGGCGGCGAAAAGGCGAAGGGAAATGGGTTCCAGTCTGAAAGATCCAGAGTGCGGCATGCCGGGTCTGCTCTCCCCTTTCGCCTTTCGCTTATCGAGGCTCCGAAGGGAGCAAGAGACGCGCCTGAAGAAGGCAGGGCCCCAGCATGTGCCGTGAGATGCGAGCAGCCCCGCAATTGACGGCATCTGCCCAGGTTGGGACGGTGGTTGGGAAGAAGGCAAGCTGCAGCCGGTCTTTTGAAGCCTGAGCCGGAAGCCTGCGACAGGCTCTGACAGGAGAGCGGGAGACCCAGTTACGGAAGCCGCCGCCTGCAAGTGATGGTGCCTAGTTTCCTATGAATTCTTTCTGCGGTGCTGCGCAGAACCCCGGCCCAGGGCAAAGATTCCTTCCGTCGTGGCAAGGCCGTTGCCGTTGCAAGTAGTGAAGTGGTGTTTTCGCAGTGCGAAGCCATGTGCGGAAGTTTTCGGCTCTCGGAGGGGTCTTCTGGAATCGTGGCTTCAGACCTGTTGGGTGAATGGCTGGATGGGCAGGACCTTGCAAATTTCAGAGACTAGTGCCGGCTGGCACTACTTCTCCCTGCTTGCACCAGGACAACGATGTTGTCGTGCAGTCTGGCGGGGGACCCGTGTGAGAGATTGCATGCCGAGGTCTGGGTTCCTTGATCTCAGTGTGTCTGATACACAGCTTCTCGATGTGAGGGTCTGCATGTGGGGCATCCGCTCGGAGAAATTGGTCACATCGACCAATACGGCATGATCTCCAATTAATTACATGTTCCCGTCGAGTGCGAAGTCGGCTGCCATCGCATAACAACGTGGACATACTTGGCAAGCTTGCAGCAGCAGTGGGATGCAGAGGCCAGCGGCTCAGCAGGCGCACAAACAGACCGCTGTCAGGTCCCGAGCGTTCCCGGCCACTGACTGCCCGTTTGGCTCGTCGAGGGGGCCGTGAACAGGCCCTGCAGCCGAAGGTGCTAGGAGTGGCGTGATGCTCTCGCATCAATCGGCCTCAGGTGCTGTCTCTGCGGCGAGAGCCTGAATCCGATTGCTGGGCGTGTGGAAATGCTGCTTGAGACTCGGTTTCACAAACAGAGCCTCAAAGCATTGATTGATATGACAGTCAGGTTCTGGACAAAGCCGCCTCTACCGCGAATGTCCTAGTCTGGCCAGGGCCTTGCCTACTGGTGATTCTAGATGTATGCAACCAGAGCTTTTCTTTGCAGGGCTGCATACGACGGCCGCCGGAGCGTCTGGCGCAGGAAAGAGGCTATCCATGCGGCAGAGCAGGCAGTGATGCCACAGATTTGCTGCCGACTCTTGCGTTGAGGTGTCGGATCAAGCCGAGCCCAACGATCTGCTGCCGCGCGGACCCCAGTGTGGTTCAGCGGCCTCGCTTCGCTGGCTCGTTTAAGCTACCCGCTGCCCCCAGAGGTGGTTGCTGAAAGCTCCGGCTTTGCTAGGCGGGACGCCGTGCAACTCCGTCGATCTCACGCCCGCAGGGAACATCTTTTCTAACACCGGAACACAGGTGCCTCCAAAGCAGAGGAGGAACAAGAGCCGCAGGTCGCGTGCAGACGTGGTGTGCCGTTTCAGGTTTAGTGATGCTGCCATGCTGCCATGCTGCAGCGAAAGGCCAAAGCTGCCAACGGCCGAGTTGCAGAAGGCCTTGGCAGCTTGATGCTGGTGCTCTGGCTGTCTGTGGCGAAGATTGAATCCAGAATAGCATGGCAGGTTTTGCGCCGCGTCCACGTCGGCAGAGGAATTGGAGTTGGAAGCTCAGGCAGAGCTGAGTTGGGTGAGGAAGGAGGGGCCGTGATTCCAAGGCTCGATCTCCATGGACAGCGACGTAGCCGGAGTGGGGCTCCCGGGTCTCCGAGGGCGCAGCTCGCAGGCCAGGAGCAGCCGAGTCACGGTGACGAATCCATGATTCAGGTTTTCGTCGGACAACCAGACGGGGAGGACATGGCAGCACGAGTTGGTGCTGGCTTCGTAGACGAATGAGCAGTCCCAAAATAATCAGTGAGCAGCTACCGCGTCGTGGTCCAATAAGCCGCAATCAGATATGGCAAGAAGTCCCGAGTAGGAGTTCCGGTCTCATCAAAGCCAGGGAGGGAAAAAAGATGAGATGGCTGGGTTAGAACTGCTGTGCCACTTCAGGATCCAAAAGATGGGGAAGAAGAAGGCCCCTGGCTTGGCTGAATTAGGATGCCGCTGCACCGCGCCCAACTCCTCGCCTCTGTGTGTTCCTCCGGTTTCGTGAGTTTGCTCTAGATGGTTGAGAAGACCAATGAAGCATCGATGGTTCTATGCACCCGGCTCCGCTACTGCACTTGCTGCACCATCTTTGAAAGGAGTTCCACCAACCAGTGACCAGGAAACGTCGGCAACTCAGTGTGACGTGTGCTTGGGGATTTATCACGAGTGACGAAGTCCTCGTTCCGAGACAATGGACCTTACAGTGCGGGCAGTGTTCAATACGCGTCCAAGCAGCTACTTGAGCCAAGCCTGTTGCGCCAAACGTCTCAGGCCACCGGATCGGCCACCGGCAGAGGAGAGCGGGCACGGTCTTGTTCTGCTCATCGGCATCCCAATCCTGTTCAGGAAGCAGCGCGACTTCCAGCTCCCGACCTCAGAAAGGATTCCTACTCTAGGCTCTGCAGTCTGCTTCGTCCTGAATGGCAGGAACAAACGAAAAACGGCTACACACCGGGTGAGCTTGGGCAGGGTGCTGACATCTTGTTGGCTCAGTTGCTCTTAGGCAGTTTTCGACACTGACAATGCTTCGGCTGATGCGGCCAGAGTGCCCGCCCCAGTCCCACGTTGATCCTTGCAGTTTGGAGCCCAAACAAAGCTCCCAAAGAAGGGCCCTGAACGCCCCGACCGAAAGTCTCAACGGTAACTGGGTGGCACCCCACCGATCTTCGCGGAGCTCTCCGCGGCCAGGGGCCTCGCAGAGACTCTTGGGAGCCTGCTATGGAGCGGCTGCCGACACCACGATGGCTACTGATACCCCTGCTTCTGCTACTTCTGTTGCTGCTGCTACCAGTACTGCTGCTAGGTAACCTTATGTCAGATACTCCTGCCTCTACTGGCGGCATAAGCATGCAAAGTGGAGGCAACTGGAAACAAGCACTTTTGAACTGCACAGCTCCCCGTTTTCGGAAGGGAATACCGAGCATGAAATGCCAGAGATGGATCCCCCCAAGGCTTGGGCTGGGAGATGCTGGGAGGGAGCTGCTACTTCTGCTGAACCCCTACGCCGCGTGCTTTTTTGAGCCAAGGTCTCTGCAATCCTGGACGCTCGGCAAGTCCTGGCCCAAGACTTGCACTCCAACAGCGCCGATACTGTAGTTCTCATTCCAGGGTCTAGGACTTTCTGAAAAAAGGGACAACAACAAACGGTGGGGTTCTTGCCGTCAAGAACTCAGGCTAGGGTTCCCAAGTGGCTTCCGGCACTTTGGACCCTTCAAAGACTTCGCAGGTGCTTGGATCGGCAAGCAACTTCCAGGACTGCCATTGAACCCTAACACTATCTGCGCTGCTGACAGAAGCCAGCTCAGGGCAGTACTGCGCTGCTGGTCTAGAATGTTGTATGGCCGTGTCAAAGAACCGAATCGATTCAGGATCTAGGGTTCACAGTTTCGTGAGTGCTAATCTATCTGGGTCTGCAAGGTGGCTGCATATCTTTGCAATGCTGCACTACATTCGGCGCAGGGCAAGCGCTTGCCAGTCGCGCCCTGGAGCCCAGGAGATTTTTAGCCATCTCCTGATCGACCACGACTTGCTGTGCCAAGAGGGAGAGGAGCTCACGTTTCAGCCAATCAGCCGATCCTGACGGATCCCTTGTAGACTCACATACTCATGCTCGTACACATTTTCCGTCATCATCATCATCTACTAGTACCACTACCAGTACTGCTGCTGCTGCTGCTACTACTACTAGCACGACTACAACGGCCAGTACTGCTACCACGACAACGATGACGGCGGCTGATGCTGCTGCTCGTGCTCTTGCTACTGCTGGTATTGCTACTACTGCTGCTGCTACTACTACCACTACTACTGCTACTACTGCCGCCATCACCACCACAACCAGCACATCCAGAGCTCATCTGTCCGTTGCCCTCCGGCTTACAGTCAGAAGCACTGGACCCGACCCTTGTGAGCGGCACCATGGGCCGCGGACTCAGCTGCGATGACAGTTCATTACAGCCTCATGCAAGTCAGTAGAACGCTGCCATGCGGTCTTGCATTCTGACTGCTGACCTGCCCTACCTACCTATGCCTTGCGCATAAGAGTTTTCACGGCGGCGCGGTTGAGGTGTGCTTTCTGCTGAGCCCAGATGTAAGGATGTGTGTGCTTCCATGGACGGGGCTGTGTCTTCCTACTGCATAGCATATCCTCATGTCATCAGTTTCTTCCTCAGGTCAAGAGTGGTCTCTCACGGAGGCTTGCCTGAACAGTGAGGCAGGCTTTGGCGCTGTTGCCGGTGCTGTGGTGCTTTCAAGCCGGACTGGGATGCCAGGCCCACACTGTCGTGACGAAGCCGGAAGATGAACGAGCAGCTGTGACGGTGCCGATCGACATCGAGGAAAAGGTTGATAAATCACCCAAGGCAGCTTGCCGGCAGCTGAATGAAGCTAGAAGTAACCAGCCCGCATGAGCCCGCCATCACACCCTGTCTGCTACATTCGCTGATTCTGGAGGGTGCCCAGGTCATACAGACTTGGGGTTGGCATGTGAGGTTTCACGCAGACGCCCGAATAATCCGACGCTTCTGGCATGGCGCTCAGCTTCCGACTGTCGCACGGACAGCTGCGTTGCGCGGCAACCGGGCGCTCCATGTAAGCATGCTGCTGCAGATTGGTGGTGAAGGGGAAGACAACCGGAGCTTGCGGAAAAGGCAGGGTTGGGTGCACCATACATGGGCAGTCTTGTCGGGGTGTATGCAAAGGTTCTCCCCAAGTGTTGAGGTAGCTTTTTCTGAGCATTGCATTGAGAATTCGCTGAGAGAGTTGCAGCAGCATCGGGCCGATATTGACTCAGAACACGGCTGCCGGCACAGGAGTCCGCAAAGGAACCGCGCAAAGACTGCTGACCCTGAGCTCATTATCATCAGCATGGCTATGTCGCGGCGTCCTTGGCACAGCGGTCCCTTGTTCATGAGTTGAAGGTACAAAGCTTAATGAGTGTCAGTTTAGACTTGGCTTGGCTGGAAGAAGCTGAAGGTTCACATGAAGGACGTTCAGTCCCGTACAGTGTCGGCCTTAACAGTCATTGCACTACGCCTATGCAGGAGTGAGACATAATCTGCCTGCTGAGGCTGGCAACATCTTTGAAGGTACCCTGCTGTCTACATGCAAAATACTGCATCAGTTTGCGGCAGCACTTTCTTTCGGGCGAGAGATTTCTGAAGGATGGAGGGCGCGACCGTTACAATTGTGGCAGTCACGGTGAGTTCTCTGGCATGCCTGTTTGCAGCCGGGAAGAAGTCATCACTCCGCGGAATCCCTGGTCTGGATTTCCGAGCCAGCTGCGTTGCATTGCAAAGCTGGATCGACAACATGATCCAGCAATTCGTCACAAGCATGCCTGTGCGTCGTGCGGACTGCAGTTTGATACGTGGCTCTTGAAGATAATTTTGAAGCTTCGCATGCAGTGCTCGAGATTCATTGCAAGGGATGCCGCATCGAGCTTGTCAGCATTGGTACATAGCTCGCAGCTTACACCGTTGCACCGATCATCTCGCAGGCCGGCAAAGTGTTGCCATGTTGGCAAGTCCTCAGACCTACATACGTGCGCAGTTATGTGCGTGCATGCATCCATTCATTTGCCTGCATGCAGGCGTACGGGCGTACGGGCAGAGATATGTCAGTGTGTCATGTATGTACTTGCATGTTTAAAATTTTGTATATGTATATGTATACATACATACGTACACACACACATGCTCCCCCCATCATCCACCCCATGTAAATATATATATATATATATATATATATGTATATACATATACATATATATATATATATATACATACATATGTATATGTATATGTATATGTATATGTATTTGTATATGTATATGTATATGTATATGTATATGTATATGTATATGTATATGTATATGTATATGTATATGTATATGTATACGTATACGTATACGTATACGTATACGTATACGTATATGTATATGTATATGTATATGTATATGTATATGTATATGCATATGGATATGTATATGTATATGTATATGTATGTGTATATGTATATGTATATGTATATGTATATGTATATTGTATATTTATACACACATGCAGTTGGAGCGTGTGTTTTCGCACAGACATGCAGGTTAAATGCATGCATACATCGATCGATAAGGTAATGAGATGGTGATGTCACGCAGCAGCATGTGAAGCCGTCTGTGCAAGCTCGTTGAAGAGCCGAATTCGGCCAATGCAGGTTTGCTCTGCTTTAGAGTACAGGCTCTGGTCGAATACAGAGCGGGCAGGAAATGGGAGTCGTTTCATTGATAAGGACGATTGTGGCAAAGACGACAGGTGGAAGTGACGGTAATGGCAAACAACTCCCAAGTGCATATATTTGAACTAAAGACCTGATGTTGCACTTGCATGCTCGCCCAGGCAGGACGAAGCTGAGCAGTCACCTGTTCAAAAAGTTTTGTCGAAGCACGAGACGGCAGGGTCAGTCTCGTGCTTGCAACACGGCCACGATGCACCAGACTCTGAGTAATCTCTGACTTTCCCGTTGTCAACGTGGTCAGCAACAGTGGCGGTGATTGTCACCGGTGAAAACGAGACTGGCCTTGAACTCCAAGCGATACGATGTGTGATCCCTGGGAGGACCCTATGGTTCCCTCGATTGATTCGGCCCTTTGGCAGAGGCTGGGCAGACAATGCACTTGGCCTGGGGTTCCGTGCTGACCTTTCGCTGCGCAACAGGCTGCCAGATGCACCTCGCCGCAACGTGCTGCACCGTGCAGAGCCAAGACAGGGTTTCACCGGCTCGAGGTCTCTGAAGTCTCGAAGCATCTGCTCAAGCCGACGTACCCCTCTGGGTTCATTGTGGAGAAATGCGACACTGGGACGAGGTGCCCGAATGGTAAGAGTCGCTACACTGCCCTCTGTCTCTCTATTTACAATATGTGAAAAAGAGCATGCAAGCAAGCATTTATGGTTGTAATTGCGTGTATATTCTGTATGGTCAACATTGCACATGCACTGGTAGCCGGCTATGCTGGTGCACTACAAGAAGTTGGCATGCCTGCTGTCGGCTCTTTTCTCTGAGGACTTTCAGCGTTCCAGAACAGCAGGCAGTTTTGGGCTATTGGGTGAATGTTGCAGTGAAAATCATGTGCCAGTTGCCTATTGGATGTTGTCTCATTGCCACGTTATAGTCTGCTAGAGCATGCGTGAGCACTGGGATGAGCACTGAGCCTGACGTAGGTTGAGCTATTGGACTGTTTGCATCCTGGCCAGTTTCGTTCCCGGAAGCTACGTGGCGGAGTTTCCTGCCGGGAACTGGAGCGAGGCTGCGGACTATGGACCGTCCAGCCCACACCCGCTGCGCATTTCTTCTGGGAGAAGCAGCGAAGCCGGCTAAGTCAAGCAGGGATCTAGGTTCTCAGGCAGGCTTCATTTGCTGTGGAATGGCCCTGTCATCAGCTCTTCGTGGGCCGCCACCGCTTCCCAGTGCTGCAGACGGACATCCAGGCCCCACACATCTTCCTCTAGAAGGTTCAGACAAGAAAGCTACGTTTCCAAGCCGTTGGAGCAAATCATCTCTAAGACGACAGACACCAAGGCACCGCCATCATGGCTACCCACGGCCCAGGAATGATTTGTTACCTGCATGTACTTACGTTTCGTGGTTGGTTCGGGTCCAAACATTCGTGATGTTACTGGAACACGACCCAAACGGTGCTTACTCGCCTGCCTGCCCGCCCATTCGCATAATGTGCACATGCGTGCATGCGAGATGGAATTTGCTTGCCTCCGGAATAGGGCCCTTCCAGGAACTAGTTGGAAAAAGAGCAAACAGGGGGGGGGAGGGGGCTAGCAGACGCTGAGTTGTTCGCCTTGGTGCTGCAAAGAGCCAACCGGCCAACTTGCATGGTGTCCCATGCATCCGCTGCCGTCTGACCCAGGCGTTGCTGCGACGCTACACTCTGTCAGCGGACCCCGACATGCATTGCACATGTGCAGTGTGCAGGGTGATCGGTGCCGAAGCACGACTCAAAGATTTTGTGTCAATCCCAAGTGCACAGGACAATGTCGCTTCTCGGGCCTCTGTTTCGGCCTCGAGCTGCGTGGAAGAATGCATTCCAGTGTTCTTTGGCTCATGCCGGCTCTACCGATGCTTCCTGTACTTAAGGCCATGGCACGAGTCTTCGCCCTCTACCGAGCACTGGAGCTTTGGGCTCAGAGCCGGCCGAGCCAAAACGCCCATCTTCGATGTGCACAGCAAACACGCAATGCCGCAATGCAGTAACACTGCTGCGGCAACTGCTGTCAATCTTTTCCACTGCTCGTCGCCTACAGTTACACAGCGACACCAAGCATGTACTTGACTTGGCACCATTATCACCGTCGTTTTCAGTAATTAGAGGCTTTTAGGATGTCGAAGGTCCGGTGATGGGCTTCGGACAGTTGTTGAGTAGCAAACGAGTTTGGATTTCTTTCTTGAATGGGGTCTCTTCTTGGCTCCGCCCTACCAAGGAACCCAGTGTTGACTGCTGGCCAAAGAAGTTCACACCAGCTTTGCACGGGCCCTAGTAACTTAGTATGTGTGGTGGATGTGCGCAATGCTCAATTAATACTGACGGGTCCGTTAGGATTGTCCGAATCTCGGCTGGCTGTTGTCGCAGGTACCTGGCGGCCGACTTCGAAAGAAGCAGCCGACGTGGAGTGCCTGCGAGGGGTGTCAGAGTATCGGTTCCGGGCTCCAAAATTCCGCAAGCTGCCCTGTTGCCTCCCGCCTCCCGTTCTCTCCTCTTTGCCTTTGCGGCGAGTCGGAGTCGCAGGTACGAGCTCTTCGCGTCGCCCTTCAATGCTCGAGTCAGCAACGGCAAGCGCTGGGCTTGGCTGGCAGCTGGCACTCAGAGCACGCGACATATTGCGTCCCACTTCTCAGAGTCAAGGTATGCTTCCCGCTTCCCTCACGCCGAGAAGATCTTTGGCTCGGCGGGCTCGTGCGCCACCCGACTGCCCGACCGAGAGAACCAAAATTGACCCCCGTCGTGCGGCAGGTATCCGGATGTACTTGACGAGTGGCCATCCACAGCTGTCGAAACCTCATCAAACTGACACGGGCATGAAGAGCCTCAATGTGTTTGACATGTGACCTCCAAGAGTTTGTTACAGGCCAATCTACCAGACAGCCACAATGGGCTAGATTGATTCAATTTATGCGGCTCTCTGTTCGGCTGTATGCCGTTCGGTCAAGCCGGATTGCACAGTCCTCATTGGGCCTCCCGTCATCCCAGCAAGCTTGAAGATGCTGCTTCAAGTACCGTCTGAGAAGATCGCTCGGGGGTCTAGATATGAGATCCACTGGAAATCGCTGGACTGGGCGAGCGTTCGTTTGATTGCAGTCCTTGGCAGCATGATTTACCAGCGCAGATAAAGAATGCCTTGAAATCGAGCTTCAGGATCCGGGGTTCTTGAGAAGCTGTGCCGCTACGTTTTCACAAAGCGGCGGCCGAACAAATCATTGGGAAGAGCCCCTTCCGGAAACTCTTGCAAGGAGTGCTGTTTTGCTTTGCTGCGATACCCAGGTGGTGTCGGTCAATCCGCCATTTTCGGATGCGTGCGCAACTCTGTGCATGCAGCATGATGTCAGCTTGGTTCAACTTACCAGCAACAGGTATTTGGACGATGTTGTGGGCAAGCAGCTGGACCGAATTGTCGCGGGCTTCAAGAAGGTGTCGGCTTTCGCACAGACTGCTGCCGACTCGATGTGACTCCCGCCGTGGCAGGTTCATCTTTTCGTACCTGTTCGTGATGCGCTCGGCTCCCAGAGCAAAGCAACGTGGGGAGCGGGGGCTGCAGAAGGAACTTCGCTGCGCGGTTTGTCAGCCGAGGCCGTGGCGAAAGCAACTGCGCCGTCTTTCCAATGCGCGGTTTGTTGGCATCTCAGCGTGGCCGAGCCTTCCGTTCACGGGTAACTTGCGACCATTTGCTTGTGACCATTTGTGGCCCCACCGCTTATGACCACGCATTCAAGGTACAGGACTTCTTCGATGCAACCGCATTGAAGGAGTGACCGACGGTCGATCTACATGGCTTTTCCGCACACTCTTGCAGAACGAAGATGTATTAGGGGCATCTGGACGAAGCTCTGCTTATCAAGCGAGCTTGCTTGGCAAGGACCGGCATTTGGAGCAGCCGGTGCTTCACTGGGAGGTTCGACACCACGCCTGCATCGACATGTGCTTATATGATTGCCAAGTCTCTGCACCAGGGAAGTGAGCTCGCACCAGCTGAATCTTAGCTGGAAGCTGACCAGCGGCTCGTCGAGAGAACATCGCGGTGTGTTGAAGGTCTGCCGTGAAGAGTGCTACCGATAAGCTTAGCAGGCACAGACTCCATGCCATGCTCTCTGCAAATCATGCAGTGGACCTTGACATACCTTTGTACAGCATCCGCAGCAAGAACGCTGTCCGTAAATGTGTAGCGGCTGCCTCAGCCGACAAGCCAGCACTGCATACTACCATGAGTACGCTGTGCGAGAGTTGCAGCCTGAGGGTTTCTGAGGAGAAAAAGGCGACTCTACACTTCATGCAAGTCTGGGAAAGTAAGCAATGACAAATGTGCTAGCATGGAATAGCCAGCGCTTCTTGAAGTCTGAGCCAAAGGCTCATCAGCTGAGGTTTGACTGAGCAAACTCTGCAGCTAACATAGCTGACATGAAGCCGACTCGACGTGAGACAGAGAGCACCCATCACCAGCCCACTCCAAGACCCCATATCTGTACTACACAACAGCATTGGCTCATCGCAGCTGCGATGGTCTCTGAGGTTCAGCGCCGACGTCTGCTCATTCCGATCAGTCAAGCAGCTGCCAGGATCTGAAGAGCGATGCCAGGCCTCGCACACCTCTCAGCTCTGTGAGTGAGGTCACTCAGCGTCCGAGAAGAAACAGCATTCGGCGCAAGCGCTCCGTCCAAAGGCGAGCTGGTTTCGAGCCGGCCGAGATGCGGATCCAAAACCGACGGCCGAGAAGGCCGAAGAGCCAGCTTCAAGGAGGCCCCCGACCTCTTCCGGGGGGAAGAAACAAAGGAGAGTCCCGCCCGAGGTCGCGGCAGCCACGACGGCAGCCCTCGACCCCTCCGAAGTTGGACGAAGGCGGGATAAGGCGGCCAAGACCCATCCCACCGGGCAGAAAATTGCTGCCTTCCAAGGCCACGACCGCTCCGATAGCAAGCCCGTCCGGCTGCACGGGTCTCGGGATCAACGAGTGCGCTTCGGGATACAAGGATGGTGTGCACGCGTGCACGTGCTTGGGGACATCAAACGATTGAAGCCCCTCTGCTTTGGCTGCTGCTACTCAGAAGACTCTATACTCTGCAAGCCGTTCTGTGTTCCGGGCCAGCTTCGGGAGAGCATGTAACTTTTGCGTTCCCTTGCAGCTCTCCTGCCCTCTCTTCGTTCTTGGGTGCCCTTCCGTTTTCCCCCTCTGCATCCCTTTGCCCTGATGCCATGATGTGCCATGCTTGGGCATAGCATCCTCCTTTTCTCGGAACGTACTCGGTCGAACAGCTCTGGCACGATCTGGCCGAATCCATAGCCTTTGATGAGGTAGCTGCGACATCGGGCACGGGCGCAGTGTGAGCTGTTCCACTTTGACTTGCAACATCTTGCTATCCTCTTGCGACGATGCTGTTTCATCTTGTGGCACATGCGACATGAACCCGGCATGAAGCCGGGTGAAGAGCGGTGCAGAGGATGTGTGCACCCGAACTTGTGGGTACGTCTGCTAGTCCCAGGATGGTGGTGCACTCCGTGCCTAGGGAGCTGAGTCTTGCCGGGGTGTCAGGCCGAGAAGGCCCTCGACTCCGAAGTTGGAAGACGAAGGCTCCGATCGCTCTGAGGCAACGCCGTGTGCAACGGCCGTGTCTCGCCAAGGCGGTGAGAGGAAGCCCAGGGCCACCAGGCTTCGGCTTCGGGAGTTTCGGTGACTTTCGATTGGACTTGGGCTCGCTGTGTTTCAGGCCGCGGCGCCATCCCTCTGCTGCTCCGAAGTTGGAGGACGAAGGTGGCCCACCCTGTCGTGCCCCTGACCAGTCAAGCAGACCTCTTGCCCAGGCTATGCTAGCAAGCCCGCTAGGCCAGGCTTATCCTCCAAGTGAGCGCATGTCGCGAGGGAGGTCACGTGAAAAGCTGCACCAGGCCGCGGCGGCAGCCCACTCCCCCGAAGTCGGAAGACGAAGGCCCGCGGCCGGCCAAGGCTTGCTGCCGAGAGCAAAGCACGTGCCACGGCAAGGCTACGATCGAAATGCCGTCAGGCTGCAGGGGTCTCGGAGCGAAGAGCGAATGCTGTGCAAGTCTGTAAGAAGTCTTCCGGGGGCTTCCTGAGACGGAGCAGCTCAGGCGGACGCCGGTCGAAGTCACCTTGGCAAAATCCGGAGGCTCGAAGCGACGACTTGTGGGCTAAATACACTGCTTTTTCTAGCCGCGACACCAGGCAAGGGCGGAAAGACAGGCAAGGGCTGGAACCCCGGAAGGGTGCCCGGTTGAAGCCTGCTGCAAGCCTTGGAAGCCTGCTGGAAGCTCCCTCCTCGTGCACCCTCGCACAGCTGAAGGTCTCTGGACGGGCACTCAGGAGACGAAGGCTCCGCCACTCCGCCCGGCCCGCCCTCCTCTTCCTCCTCTTCCGTGTTAGGTCATGGCATTTGCTTCATTGTGTGTTCTGTACCGCACCCAACGATGTCAAGTACTGCTCTTTCACTGCACGACGTACCCATCCTCTGTCATAGGCAGTCAATCAATCATTGTGGGATTCTGTGCAGCTGCATGGGCCGTTGTTGCAGGTGACGAGTTTTTTCAGTGCGAAAGGACAAGGCAGTGCGACAGAAGATCCCTTCAGAAAGCTCGTGGAAATTCGTGGACTGCTCGTGCGCGGCGCAGGAGTAGTAGGACCAGGATTGGGTGGCCCGGAAGCAGGTGCGGCAGGCGGCAGCCTCGGACCGTCGCAGCTTCGGCCTCAGCTCACTTGCCAGGCAAAGAAAAGCCAAAGAAGGGCTCCCAGAAAGGCCTGCGGCCTGCAGCTTAAACTTGAGCGGAACTGGAGCGGCCTGTTGGGGCATCTTCCGGCATCTGACTAGCAGGGCAGACAGACCTTCAGCCCCCTAGCCCAGTAAGGAGGCCAAGGATTGATGGCAGCCAGAAATCCAAGACCTCCTCCTTAGGATCTTTGTGCAACGCTGCGTACAGCCTGATGTGTGGAGGTCGAGGCATGTTCACCGGGTTCGAAGAGAACCTGGACCAGGCCAGTGCGACTGAAGTGGTTCTTGGCGTCGGCGTGCCAGCCTGTTGCCATTCGAACAGGCCGATGTGCATAGCTCGAAAGGCAGGGCACCCAATCCGGGATGCTCAGCAGCTTCGATCAAATCTCTCTGCGCTTCATCTCAACGATCGGGAAGGCTCCGTGCCGTCCCGGAGATCCAAGTGGCTGCATCCCCGACGTTTGCCAGTTTGCCAGTCAGTCGACGACGCTGAGACCTTTGCGGTCAGCTGAGGCGCTCTCTGGCAAGCGTTCGCCAGAACGAAGTAGTGCAGGGCAAAGTCACGGGCCGAGTGAAGAGATTTCGTCCACAGGCCGCTGAAGCTTTTCTTTTCTCAGAGGTGACCTGCTTTGTGGAGGCCGCGATTCCCAACCTCCTCAGGTTGACGCACTCGACGGGTCCTGCTTTTCGTTCCGCTTGCCAGGACGGTGTAAAGGTGGACTTCGGCTGCTTGGTCGAGGCCGCGACGTGACAACACGTCGCGACGCATGGTGACAGATGCGACCTTCGCTTCTTCCAGGCTTTGCTGCCGAATGCCCACATTGACTCACTGGCGCAATTTGAGAGCGACGGACCTTGGCTCTCGGTCTTGGCGACTTCTACAGCATAACTGCGCCAGGATTTCCCAGCCTTTCCTGGTGATTTGTTAGTGTCCCTTGTTGTTGACGAGATTGATGTGAAGGCCAGGAAATCGTCACAGGCGCGAATCAGACCACTCGGTGAGAGTCTCTATAAGCAAGGAAGAGCACGTCGTCTTGAAGTTCGTGGATGATGCCGGTTGGGAGGAGATGCTAAACTATCGACCTCTTTCAGACGCAGCTACTCCGGTCTTGCTGGTCTGAAAGGAGGAGTACTGCTCTGATGGTTACTGTGAAACAGATGTCGAAGAGTTCTCAGGCCTCCAGCATACTAGAAGGTTAGTTGAGCGAAAATGCCGCAGCGGAATCTCGGCCGTTTGCCCAATTTCTTGTGTGTCGCAGGCAACAACAAGAGATTACCACCCAAGGCTGGAGAGTGTTCGTCCCATGGCCCACTGCCGAGTGGCCGCACACCGTGCATCCTAGCATGTGGAGGTGATCCCGCCCAGTATGCACACTACCAGGCCCGCAGTAGGTTTGTTCAAACCCTCTGGCTCAATTCTCGCATGCAGGGAAGTCTTCCCAGAACCAGACGAGGTACCCAGGACGGCAGTGTACCCGCATGCTGTTCAAGTCACAGTGCGAAAGGGACCGGAGTGGCCTTTGTCAGGCTGACACGCTCTGAGATGAGAGGTGGGCCGGCACCTTACAGTAAGACTCTGACCGCTTCGGCGACGATGTTTTCCACATGTGCAGTGCTGAAAGGCCGACCGCGCCTCGACCAAATCGGTTCAGACGGCAGCTCCCAAGTGGTCAGATCCTGAAATCATCCGAAAAGCTTGGCTGGGCAAGCATGGGTCACATGAGTTCCCGAGCGACCTTCACTCAGGTGAGCCTGATTCAGGCCAGCTGGACCCTTGCTTGTTTTACCGAAACTTGTAGCCGCATCACGAGCGCTTGTGGTCCGGCAGGCGGCGATCAGGACGGACTGTCTCTGTGTGTGCACTTTTGGTTTCTTTGGTCCGTCTTCTGGCTCTCTTTGCATGTTCGACAATCGCTTTTGTCAGTGTGGGATCTCGGGATTTAAGGGTACAACGTCTCGGCACGATGCAAGCTCGGGGCATCCCCGAAGATGCATATCTGCAGACACGAAAGTTGCGGTTTTGATCCTGCTAACTGTCAAGAATCAGATCTTCGAGACGATGATCAGCAACCACGGACAGACTCTGAGTGCGTGTGGCCGGGCTGTGCTACCCAAAAGGCGAACTCGCTCAGTGCCAGGACGAGCTGGTGGCGGAACTGCTGCCTGACATCCTGAAGGCCGCATCATTGTGGGAAGAACTGAGAGCCAACCGGAGCCCAAAGACCTGCCCGCGTTTTCGGTGTTCGTAGGTGCAAGAGAATGCGCAGAGATTCCTGGCTGCAATGGGAAGTGCGGGCGCAACTCCGAGCGCTGGGCCTTTGAGGCGAGACCTCTCGTTCCAGTGCAGAGGAGGAGGACACGATTTTTGATTGGTTGCTGGTGTGTCGACCATGCTTTCCGAGCTCATTGAAGGAGTCCCGCCCTGCCGATCCCGTGGAGACTGAGACTCAAGGACACTCAGAAGCTTTGTGCCTTGCCACGAGAACATGCGTCATGATGCATGTGCGCGGTCTCGTGCAAGACTGAGAGGACCATTGCAGGATTCTGAGATAAAGGAGGATGCGAGCCGCGCAGCCCTTCACAGTCGGGGCCTAAAGTCAGCTGGGCCTCCTGACTCGGCAACATGGTCAAAGTCAATGTTTTGTGGGGCTTGACGGTGTGATGCATTTCCATGTGTGTCGCTTCTCGAGAACCTGGCTTTCTGAATGCATGAGATGTGCAGTCACGGTTTTATGAATTGGTAGGCCTGTGTATACCGCAGAGTACTCTCGAATCGTGAGGTCCACCTATCAAGAGTCTTCTGTGCTCCCCCACATGTTTTGAGTGTGGATTCCGTGCGGTTTTGGCTTTGGCCGAACACTTGAAGAGCCAACGCCGCGAGCCAGGCGGCAGTTGGCTTCGGGCGAGCCCGGTGCGGCCGTGGCCTCAAGTTCTTCGCTTCACGAGTCAGGTCAAAACAAGCTGCGCAAGAGTCTGTGCAAACCCCTTACAGGCAGAAGAGTGTGGGAAGGTGGTTGCCGCTGCAGACCGGCCGGTCCAGGTGGGGAGGTTCTTCGAAAGAGCGCATTTGGACCTTTCTGGAAATGGTGGGCCTAAACTTTAGGGTTTCTGGACTTAGCGGCGCTTGGCTCGTCTCTCGCGCTCGCTACAGGCCTGTGCAGCTGTCAGTGCTGCACTGCGAGCATGTGTCTCAGAAGCTTGCTGCTGCAAATTCCCTGCAGTTGCCCGGTATCGTCGTGAGCTCTCCTCTGCATCATGACTGACGCCATAACCACAAGTCTAAGACCCCATAAACAAGGAGGTTAAAGGGGTTCTGGCTTCACTCCACAGCGGACGTTCATTCACTGAAGGTCTTGCTGCGCGAACCTTCCACGGCCCTGGCCGCATTGAGAGGCCCAAATCATCTCCGTCGACACTTCATGGTTTTGACCTGCCTTCTGAGGTATGATCAGCTTGCACGAAGAAGTTGGTCGCGTCGGACGCCAAATACAGTTCGCGCAGAGCTTTGGGATGTGGAAACTTCCGTCGCTGTGTTCTTCGGGTCTACGAGGCCTCGGAGCCCTTCCTGGTCCTTGGCTCGGGGGATGCGAGCGGGACACGCCCCAAAGAAGGGCCATGGAGCAGGTTCGAAACCTCCCGGTGCTCTTGGACAAGTTCGGGAGTCGCCAGCGAGATGTGCAGGCCCCCCTCCCATCAGAGCCGTCACCCGGATTGGAACCTGACATTAATGTTAGGTTGCTGCGGAAGATGCAGCAGAGACGCTCATCGCGAGACTGAACCCGTACGGTCATCTGCCAAGTTCAGCATTGTAGAGGGGTCACCGACAGACCATGAGACAGGTGCAGGTGTTCAGTTTTCTACAGCTCAATAGGTTTGCCAGCTGTGACGCAAGCAGGAGCAAAGCACAAATGGAGCAGAATGCTGCAGCTTTTGTGCAAAGATCACTCCCCATGTACATAGATATCTTTAGCAAATGTCTTCCGATGCCGCCTCACCACTGCGCGTGGCGAAGAGACCCGAGTCGGGCCGACACGGGGCTGTAGATCTTCCGGTTCCATCGGCCAGGCGGCCGGACTCCTCCCGTAGAGGAAAGCGTGGCTCTCCAAGCAGACGCAAGGACTGTTTCCCAATTTTTCACAGAGTGGACCAGAGAGGCCTGCGTTGAAGATGTTATAAGAAGATTTTAACGTGTCGCCTCTGAAAGGAGCCTGTCAATATCATCCATGGCAGCAACGAGCCAGCACCAATCGCAGGTTCGGTTCTGTCGGGGCCCGGGCAGTTCCGGAACTATGCTTCCGATGCGCGGTACACGGAGAGCGACCCACTCCGCCAAGCAGAGCCTAAGCACACCAGCTCGATGCCGTATGCCCTTGGGCCAGCGTCCAATACCTCGAGCTTCCGAACGCTGGACATCGCGAAGGCCAATGAGCAGCGGCATAACTGGACAAAGATTGACACCTTCCTGACACCAGCTGGGCATTCAGACTTCGATTCTTTCGGACGTTCTCCTCGAAGGGGCACTAGCCCCTCCCGTCACGAGGTGCGTTTGTTTCGACTGAGATAAGCTTGGTCTGAAGTCTGAACCGCTTGCCCTTGCCAGGCCAGTGCCAGAAGCATTGTCGCTGAGGAGATGTGGACCGATCTATCCTCGAAGCTGGATCAGCTGCGGGTCCAGATCAATCAAGATACTCAAAGCTTACTTGAGCCTCTGCTCCTGGGCTGCAGAATGTCTCGTGCTGCCGCCCTAACGGGTTCCTCGGAGACGATGGATAAACCCGTAAGGCAGAAGGAATTGGATTCTGAGATCTCGAAGACGAAGGAGATGGTTCAGACGGTCCGAAACGATAACCTCAAGGCGTTTGAGGAGATTAGGCCAGCCTCAGGGACAGAACAGAGCAGATTTGTTCTGCATGCTTGCATCAAACATTAACGGTTGGCGACGGCCATTTTGGGTCAAGTCGCCAAGTTTTTCAGGTGGTGCAGCCGGTAGCCTCTTTCGACAGCCATGTCAGACTGGGTCCAGCAAGTCCACAGTGCGGAGCAGTCTTGGGTAGACTTGCTCAGCCAGGACGCGGACATAGTCACTGAGGCACTGGCCAACCTTCCAGATGATCTACGAGGGCGACTGCAGACAATCAGCCAGATCGCAGACAACGCAGCCCACCAGCAGGCCATGGGGGTTACAGCCGTGATCGACACAGGCCTTGGCACAGCCTCCTGGCACCTGCTGCAGCCGGGCGAGTCCAGCAGTTCGAGTGAGGTTCAGACGGAGCAGCCTGCGTCTTCTTCAGCCGGTCTTGCCCCAGCCACGGTGCAGTCTGTTCCTTCAGCCGCTTGGGCAGATCAGACAGACGATGTATCTTTTCCGAAAGCTGGTCAAGTCAGTCGCGAGGCAGCCTTGCTTTCTCAGGGGACTGCGCCAGCCACACCTAGCCAGGAGCAGCCGCCTCTACCTGTTCAGTCTCAGGACCCACCGCAGGCACAGTCTCAGGCCCAGCCCCAGACTCAGACTCAGCCGCCTCCTGCTCAGACTTTGCAGCTCACCGCGCAGCCCTCACCAGTCTTGCCTTTGAGCAAGGCCAAAGCTGGCAAGGGCCTCACCCCAGGTGTAATAGTCAAGACGCCGCCAGCCAGGACAGATGGCCAGGTGCCGGTGAAAGCCATGCCAGGACAGCCAGGTCAGCCGTTGCAGCCACAGCCTCAGCCTACGGCAGTCCATCCAGGTCAGCCGGCCGCTAAAGCCAGCACAGTCGGCCCCCCCCCACCTTTGGGTGGCAAAGGCCAGCCTGGCACGCGAGGCGTCCAGTCAGTCAGTGGCAGACCGCGTCAGCCACCCAGTCACCCTCCAGCCGTGCGACAGCCGTGGGTCCAGGATTCGAGCCAGCTGCAGCACTTCCCGAACGACTTAGTTCATTACTCGGGAGGAGTTTACTATGCAGCCTACGAAGCAGTCGGACCCAGGGGGTCCTTACCAGCCTCTCAGCCATATGCAGGCGCCTTTCCGCCTTTGTGCCCCAGGCGTGAACACAGACTTCCACGAGCCCTTCGCGGCCATGGACATGTAGTGGCAGGTTATTGCTTGTCGTTGTGTCCCATTTGCATGCAACAGGCATGCTCACGAGCAGTCTGTGTTAGTCGCTTGGCGGGCGCAGCCCACGATCATCACGACTGTCCGGACTGCCATGAATCAGGCCGGGGTGCTTTTCTTGCTTCAGCGTGACTCCGTCCCGTGGCCAGGGTCACACAGGGGCAGACGCTGAGGCTGCTACAGGATGCCACAGGCCAGGCTGAACAACTTGACAAAGTGTGTCGAGCCCTCAGCGTTTTCGGCCAGGGCCCTGGCTGAGTGGCGGTCGTAGATAGCCCTTGTCAGCCCTTGGCAGCCTTTGTTTTGTACTGTCACTGTTTCAGGATTGCAACTTTGCTTTAGCAGCCTCCAGTCAGAGTGTGCAGTTCGAACTTGCTGAACATGTGACAGTCCTTGCCAGCCTTGCCAGCCGCATTTCACCTTGTGGTGTTCTCCCTTCTGTTGGCAGGGTGTTAGGCCGTATGTTCACAGACACCGCCCTCTGGGGCATTGACCAGCCGCTTCAGACAAAATGTGTCACTGCACTTGTGTGCTAGCGTGTGACCTTGACGTGCACTTGAGTGCAGCAGCGACACTTGTGTGTATTGCCGTCCTCCCACTCGGCTTGAGCCGGAGTTAGGGGAGGAAGCCCTTGTGGGTCATCCGTGCAGGCCTGGTGTTTCGGACAGCTTGTGCTGTGTCCACCGCCGGCTGCATAGGTGCTTTTCAGTGCTCCCAGCCGACCTTGTGGTCGCAGGCAGGCCCTCGGTCTTGCAGCCTTGTGGCACAAACCTCAGCAGCCTTGTGGCCGTCAGGTTTCTCGCAGACTTTGTCAGGCCGGTTTGCACACGGCTCCGACGTCAGCTTCAGTAAGTCTGCTTTCGTCAGGCCTCAGCCGGTGATGTCAGCCGTGAGCGACTCCAAAGTCACGTTCACAGCCAAAGCTAAGCAGCATGGCGTTCCAGAGAGTAGTTTGCAGGCTTGGGCCACAGAAGGCATCCAGACTTACTCTCAGCTGCTTTTCCGCGTGGCGTCAGCCCCGAATGCAGTCGACGCAGCCAAATTGAAGACGCTGCTGGACAACATGCAGCCAAAAGCCACCGAAGCAGTGGCTTCAGCCGTCAACAGACTCCTGTTTGAAGCAGGCACCTTTGTCGTGGCGGAACTCCGCAACAGCCTAGACAGCCCGTCAACCGAACCCAGCCGCAGGCTGTCTACTCAGGAACGCAGCAGTCGTCTTCAGGCGCTACAAGCCAAGCTAGGCTCCTTCAAGATTGCAGGTCAGTTTGAGCCGAGTCACCAACTCGTTGACTCGTTCAGTGCCATGCTAGCCGACCAGACAATCAGACACGTACCCCTGAACAGGTGTAGCTGTCGTGAGCAGGAGGTGTGTAACGTCAAACGTGACGACCACCTCTTCCGCCTCGAGAACTCAGCCCTCCGTTTGGCAGCCAAACCCCAGCCGTTGAAGGTGGACCTCAGCACCGAACTCAGAGTTGCTCAGGCTCTCAGTCGTCGTGGGCTAGCCATTGAGATGGCAGGTTTGGGAACCTTTGAGGTTCACGAAGCCTACGCTCGCAGCCTGCTAGATCACTTGCACAGACCTCCTCCGCCCAAGTTTGATCCCCCAGGCATTGATGCCCTCCTGAGAGCAGACAGAGAACTTTGGATCAGGGTAGCCGAAGAACTTGGCACAGACTTCTCAGGACCAGGCAAGGCAAGCGCCTTTGACGATGCCATTAAGACTTGGCAACACAGCATGCAGGTGGCCTACTTTTTGGTACCAGTCCCCAAGCCTGAGAAGCCAGACAAGCCCTTGAAGCGCGCCTGGGAGTCGGCCTTCACCGCCGACAAAGGACAGCCGTGGAAGGGCAAGGGCAAAGGTAAAGGCAGCCAGCAGCAGACGTGGCAGCCCAAGGGCGGCAAAGGCAAGGGCAAAACAGGCAAAGACAAACAGCAGACGTCCATGCCCGCCGCCCTTAAAGGAATGGACCCGAACTACAAAGGTCATCCCATCTGCTTCAATCACAGCCTGCCCCATGGGTGCACAGAGGAGACTTGGCAGACTGACTTAGGGATCAGCTGCAAAAGAGGACTTCACATTTGCATGAAGTGCCATGGTGAGCACTCCTTCTCAGCTTGTGACAAGTGACAGTCAGGTTCTGGGGTTGTGCCCAGCTGCGTCCCAGCAGCGACAGGTCAGGCACAGCCAGGTCAGAACACAGCCACCGACCAAGTTTTGGCCGCAGACTCAGACGCTCTCAGCGAGCCCAGCCTCACCAACGTGACTGCAGTGTTTCACTCAGAGGGGTCAGCCGTGCAGCCCACAGCCGTTGTGGCCACTGTCGCCACCGCCTCTGCCCCCCCCACTTTGCCTCAGAGTACAGTCCGCAACCAGTCAGCAAACCTGTTTGTGGAAGTTTTCGCAGGAACCGGCCGCATGGCCAAAGCCTTTTCAGCGTTTGGCCTGCAGGTGCTTGCAGTCGACACAGTGCTTCCTCAGGGAGTCCCAGCCCTGACGCTGGATCTGACCAAGGCCAGCAGTCAGAAAGTTTTCTTTGACCTTTTGCAGTCCAACAGAGTGGCAGCAGTGCATTTAGCCCCGCCGTGCGGGACGAGCAGCGCAGCCAGACGCATAGACTTAGGACCAGGGTCTCCTCCTCAGCTTCGCACAGCCCTCGAGCCAGATGGAGTGCAAGATCTCTCCTTCTCCAACAGGCATCGAGTCAACTCAGCCAACAGGCTGTATCGGTTCACAGCCGAGGTTATATCCTCTTGTGACCGCCTCGGCATCGCTTGGAGCCTGGAAAACCCAACTGCTAGTCTGTTTTGGTTGACCTCACCTGTTCAAGCCTTGTGGCGTCTCTTGAGAGACAGGGTGCATTTTGGCAGCTTTGACAGCTGCGTGTATGGAGGCCTGAGGAAGAAAGCCACAACGTTCTGGTCAAGTGAACCAGCTGTGTGCGAGCTCAGCCTTAAGTGCTGTCCAAGTTTAGGACACAAGCACCTGCCTTGGGGCAAGACGGCCGAGGGTTGGGCCACTTCTTCTGAAGCAGCCTACCCCAAGGCTCTTTGCAGCCATTGGGCCTCTCTGTTGACGCAGTCCCTGACAGCCAAGGGCAAGCTTGGCACTCAGGAGCCAGTCCCAGGAACTGCCACGTACGCGGCCTCTGAGAGAGCGTCACTGGGACTTTTCCCGAAGGCCGCACACAGCCCCGTGACAGTGGAGCCTTTCAGGGACAAGCAGTGGCACAAGCTGTCCTCTGCAGCCGACAGACTGTCTTTTGTCCCAGGCCAGCGCGTTGTGGCAGCAGGCTTTGCAAAAGGATCCACCACCATAAAGGTCGTAGTGGAATCTGGGCAATGGTGGGCTTTGGTTGGCATTCCAGTCTCCCCTGAGACTTTTCTTGAACTTGCCAGCCATTGTACTCACCCTCAGTCCGTTCTGCCACCGCTGCCCACAGGCCTTGAAAACGTGGTTCAGAAGCTTAGCCAAGAAGGCGTTGAAGCAGTACACAAGCTTCGTTGTCAAAGGCTGAAAAGCATGTGTGATAAGGCCCGTGAGTTGCAGCAGGAGGAGGACAAGGATCACCTGGGATTCTCGTCTCACCTTCGTCCCATCCTTCAAGGCAAGCGCCTCAGGCTGTTTGAGTGTCTGCTCCAGTCGCTGGACTATCCAGACCAGTCCCTGTCGCAAGACATGAGAAACGGCTTCAGAGTCACCGGTTGGCTACCAGACACTGGGACCCGTCCCAAGAAGGTGACTCCCCCAGCCCTTCACAGAGACGAGGTCTGGGGCTCCAGGAATCACAACAACTCAGCCGTTTGGAAACAGTGCAAGCCCAGTGGAGACGAAGAGCTTGATGCAGCCTTGTGGCAGCTCACTCTGGACGAGTGTGCAGCTGGTTGGGCCAGTCTCGAGCTAGACCACCGTGAGCCACCTGAGTTTTGTGTGTTAGGCAGGCGTTTTGCAGTCCGTCAAGGCAGCAAAATCAGGCCCATTGACGACATGTCCGTCAGCCTTGTCAACCAGACACTGGGTGCCGACGAAAAAATAGTGGTCCACCCCACTTCCTGCACCTTGGCCTTAGCCTTGCATCTGCAAGCCCGGTGCAGTCACAGACAAGCTGGCCAGGGCATCAAAGGCAGGACCTTTGACCTCAAGCACGCTTATAAGCAGCTTGGACTAAACCCTGTAGACCTGCAGTTCTCAAAGGTGGTCGTTTGGAGCCCTGAGCACAAGAGGCCAGTCGTGCTCAGCCTGTTAGCGCTCCCTTTTGGAGCAACAGGATCAGTCCATGCCTTTAGCAGATGCAGTCTGGCCATGTGGCATATCGCAGTCTCGTGGCTTTACTTACCCGTGACTGTTTTCTTCGATGACTTCTCATCGATCAGCCTAGCATCGGACACAGTGAACGTGGAGGCAGCCATGTTGCTACTTTTCAAGGCCCTAGGCTGGCAAGCAGCCCTGACAGGCAGCAAGGCGTCCGGCTTTGCCGAAGCTTTTGTAAGTCTTGGCATTGCGTACATCCTACCGAAGCAGCCGGACCAGCCGATCTGCCTGCAGAACACAGAGTCTAGAAGAAAGGAAGTGGCAACCACCTGTCTGAAGGCGCTTCAGACTGGGCACATGTCCCCAGCAGAGTGCCTAGCATTCGCTGGGCGCCTCAGGTGGCTAGACGCCCAAACCTTTGGAAGGGTTGGCAGACGCGCCTTCAGGACCATCCTTCTGCATGGGCTCAAGCCAGGGCGCAGGCACCCGCTCAGTCTGACGACAGACCTGCATCAGGCCCTGACTTGGGTGCTTGAGCACGTGCCCACTGCTGAGCCCAGGGCTTTCAGGCTTCCCCAGACGCGTTCCTTCAACATCTTCACTGATGGCTCCTTTGAGCAAGGGCAGGGCCGTATTGGTGGTGTGCTCTGTGACGCTGGAGGGCAGCCTCGAGAGTGGTTCCAGTCTTCAGTGCCACAAGACGTTGTAGCCACGTGGTGCTCCGATGGGACATCGCACCCCATCCTACAGACAGAAATGCTAGCAGTCTGCGTTGCAGCCATGCTGTGGAGTCAGAGGTTGAAGGGAGAAAACGTGATCTTCTGGATTGATAACGAGGCCGCTAGACACTGCCTCATTTCAGCCCGAGGATACCCGCAGTCGAACAGCCTACTTCTTCAGACGGTGCTCATCTGTGAGCATCAACACCAGTTGAACACTTGGTTTTCTCGTGTTCCGAGCATTTCCAATCCTGCAGATGCACCCAGCCGAGGGGAGACAGCCAGTTTTCTGACAGGCACGACACAACAGGAAGTGAAGGTGGGGAAGATTCGGTGTCTGGCCAGAGGTGCTGTGCCGCGTGCTCACTTGCAGCCGCCTACTTGAAAGGAAGTGGGGACTTTTCAGACCTCGCATCCCTGAACAGTCGGTTGCAGCCTTCAGCCTGAACAGACGGCCAGTCCTAGCCCGGAGACAGACTTCGAGGACGGCCGGTCTTTTGAGGATCGCGGCACAGGATTTTCCCCACCTTCAGAAAAGGAGCTCTGCATCTTAGTAGAGTCGCTGTTCGTTAAGTTCTGCATGCTTGCATCAAACATTAACGGTTGGCGACGGCCATTTTGGGTCAAGTCGCCAAGTTTTTCAGCCCGCCCTCCACGCCCTGATGAGAAGGGTTCTGGATCCCAGTTGGGAGTGTGGTTTTGGCTTTGGTCCTGTCAAACGCAGCCGCCCTGAACTTCGTTTGCCTTGGGAGGACCCCACTTTTCAGTTTGTCAGCCAGGACGTGACTTTCCTAGACAGGTTACAGGAAGAGCTTCTGGAGTTGCCTGAACCTGCAGCTTTGCCAGCCCCTCAGCCGTCAGCCGGAGCACAGCTGAAACTTCAGCCGCCGACAGCCCCGCGACCCAGACTCCGGGCGCTGTCTCAGTGGAAGCCACAGGACAGTCAGGCAGAGAGACAAGCAGCCTTGTCACGGTGGAGCCAGCTGCTCAGAGCGGTTCCTCACTTCTTCACTGAGTCTTTTCAGCTCGAAGTCGTGCATGAGGACAGCCAAATGGAGTTAGGAAATTTCGACTTGCGGTTCGCCAAGAAGAGCACAAACACTCTTCTCAACAGGATCAGCAGCATGCAGCGTTTCGCAGCCTGGACCGTCAAGTCCTTTCCCAGAGAGCCACTAGCCGAGGCACTAGTCTTTTTGTACTGCCAGCAGCTCAGTCAGAAACAGGCCAGCACCAGTGCACCAGACCAACTCTGCCAGGCACTCAACTTTACAGACGGCGTGCTCGGACTGCAGGTTCCTGCCAGCACTCTGGTCAGTTCTCGAGTTCAGGGCCTGGCTCACCAGTGCCTCAGACAGCAACAGCCACCCAAACAGGCTCCAGCACTCACCACAGACCAGGTGAGGTGGCTACAGACCTTTGCTGAGTCAGACGAAAGCCAGTACGAGAGGTATTTAGCAGCTTCCTTTTTGTTCATGATTTACGCGAGGGCACGACACAGTGACATGAAGCGAGCAAAGTCCATCTCAGTCGACCTTGATGACCGAGGAACAGTCGCGTACATTGAATGTCAGGTGCTGAATCCAAAGCAGAGCAAGGCCAGTCGCAGGAGGAACCTGTTCCTGCCGCTCGTAGCCCCTGCGGAGGGCATCTGCGCTCAGTCTTGGACAGTCGAGTGGCTTGACCTCAGGAGACATCTAGGTCTGCAGTGCAACGGCAGCCTTGAAGACAGCCCCCTCCTACCGGAACTGGCAGCCGACGGCAGACTTCTCCAGACCAACATGGACTCAGCCGGTGCTTCGAGGTGGCTTCGTTGCATCCTGTCCAGACAGCCAGGGTCAGACGAGGACAGCATCCTCAAAGTTTCCAGTCAAGGACTCAAGGCCACCTGTCTTTCATGGTGTATGAAGTTTTCTGTTTCGGATGGTGATCAGACTATTTTAGGCTACCATAGTCGTGGCAAGAGTGGAAGCGCACTCAGCTACGGCAGAGACGCGCTAGCTGGACCTTTGCGTGCACTCGAAGGTGTTCTCGCGGCAGTACGCCAAGGAAAGTTCAGACCAGACAGCACTCGCTCAGGGAGGTGGCAGACTGGTGCAGCAACCTCCTCGGCAGCGTCTTCGTCTCAACAGCCTCAGACCGACCAGACCGCGGAGTCCTTGGTCCAGCCCGTCCTAGACAGTGCCAGCTCCGAGTCTGAGGCAGTCAGTGAGGGCTCGTCAGAGGAAGAGACGCAGGTTTTGCAGTCAGTCAGTCATAGCCTTGCACTAGTCGCAGGCGATGACAACTTTCAGTTTCTCTCAAACATTCGCAGTGGCATTGTTCACATCTGCCGTCTTGACAACGACAGGTTGTTGTGCGGTAGAACAGTCTTTGGCAGTCTTCAGGTTGCGAAGACCCTGGACTTTTCCAAAGTCAAGGCTTGTCTTACTTGTCAGTCTGTGGCAGACGGCCTAATAGCCGGTCGTTGGGCCACCAGATCCTAAAATTTTCGTTCATGCGCAGGGGGACTTTTCAGACCTCGCATCCCTGAACAGTCGGTTGCAGCCTTCAGCCTGAACAGACGGCCAGTCCTAGCCCGGAGACAGACTTCGAGGACGGCCGGTCTTTTGAGGATCGCGGCACAGGATTTTCCCCACCTTCAGAAAAGGAGCTCTGCATCTTAGTAGAGTCGCTGTTCGTTAACGGTTGACATTTCATCAATCTGCAGAAGTGCGCGAGTGTCCATGCGCGCGCACGCGCGCGCGCATGCGTGCGCGTGTGTGTAACCTTGCTACTGGCGGTAGCCCAAGCATTTCATGGAGGGGCGTGGCACCGGCATCCTACCACACTCACCGAAGCTTTAGAAGACTCGCTTAGTCCTGTGTACCTGCAGTCAAGAATGGGCCTGTGGCACCAAGATAGAAGTGTTGTAACTTGCATGTCGCAAGCTTTCAGGGTAGGAGTCATGCAGTGAAGTTTTCTGAAGACCACAAAGCTCATGTCAGCTTAGTCCAAGTTTGCGTGCCTGTGGGGTTGTGTTTGCACAGGCGGCTTAGATCGATGGAGCAGCACAAGCACATGCTCCAAGCATACCCCGCACCTGTCGAGAAAGACGTTCTGGAAGCAGACCCTCGGTAGCATGGATGCTTCCATCTTGCGAAGGTTTTCTTTGGCTTTGGCACGAGCCCTCACCCGGCGCTGAAGCCTTCCGTGCGATTCCGGCAGCCCAGGAATTCAAAAACACAAACGAGTCGATTCAGGCCGCTTGCTTGGAGTTGCGGTGGCCTGTACATGCCCCTGCGGCTGTGCGAGGCGCTGTCTGATGCCGTCTCGCAGATAGGCGAGGAAATCTCGAATCTGAAGGCCCCGTCCGGCCCTGGAGGGCGTAGCATGGCCTCTGCGCCGTTGGTGACTGGCTGGTGACTGCCAGCATGTTTTTTTGGGCAGTTTTGTTTTCGTGATTTGGGAGGCCAACGAGCTGGCCTTGGGCAAAATGCCCAGCCGGAGCTCCAGCGGCAGACGCATGATTCCCTCGACGCTCCAAGCGCCCCAAGTGCCTCGGCCTCGTGAGACAAAGCCTTCCCCCCACCGCGCGAGCGCCGGTGCCATCAACGCCGGTAGAGTGGCAGTGTGTTGCCAAGGAGACGAAAAGCTTGAATAAGTCCGATCTGGACGACATGTTCCAGACAGTTCGTGACATGGTTGCGGACATCGACTTTTCGGAGCTCTTGGAGGGAGTGAAGGTGCCCTTCTTGGTGTCGCCGCCACTCCAAGCAGGCTTACTTAGCATCTCCCGAGTGCAAAACTGGCTGGAGGAGATCATCCCGGTGGCGGCTTTCAGAGAAGCATTCGCTCGAACGGAGGACCGCTGCGCCGCTGCTTGAGTCAGCACGAGCGTGAAACTGCACGCCAAGCCTGCGCAATGCAAGATGCAGGCACGTCTCTGCGAGATGAACGAAGAGATTCGCGGCTTGGCTTCTACATGCTTTCCCACGCCACACATGAGAAGCATGCCCGTGTACGCATAGATCAGAAAACATGGGAAGTATGCTCGTGTACGCGTAGCTCAGAAACACCGGGACGCTATCTGTCCTGGTCGCTTTGTAAACGGCACACATGTCACCCAAGACTCCGTGCTGGGAGGCAAGATGCACGAGGAGGTCCAAGACCGGCATGTAGAGGTCGACTTCCAGCCGGTTCTGGAGGCCGTTGCTGCGTTTTGGCTGCACATTGGGACTTCCGCTTTTTCGTCTCCCGCCCTGCTTCGTCGTTTGTTTTCATCTAAGCCTATAGTTATATCTGTATGTATATATATATATATATATTCATATTTATGTATTGTATGTATGTATGCAGGCATGCATGTATGTACATGTGTGTATATATATATATATATGTAAACCTACATATTTAGGTTTTTTGTTTCTCTTCCTCTCTCTCTCTCTCTCTACCTCTCTCCCTCGCAGACTCTCTCTGTCTCCCTGCCCCTCTCCCTCCCTTTCCTTCAATCTATCTCTCCTCTCTCCCGCTACTGCGAGAGATTAGAGAGAAAGACTTGTGAAGGAATGACAGATGCGACGAAAGCTGTGTTCCTGTGTCGGGAAGGCAAATGACGACCTGCGCAGCTCCACCGAACAGATGTTGAACTCTGTCGAGGAGTTGAAGGCGCAGATAGCAACAGAGTTCGAACACATGCCCGGTATCGTATGGGCTCGGCACCTCTGGCTGCACGCAGCGCTTTGCCGGTGCTTACATGTGTGAGGGCCTGGCTCAAGACGGCCATCTGAGGCAACCTGCCATCGACTTCAGTCCAGTGTTGGAGTGCATCATCGAGAACAAAGTGGCCGTGGACCTTTCGCCGGTGCTGACAGCCGTGAACGACGCCCAGATTGCAAAGTAGCTGTCAGGAAGATGATATCGGCAGGTGTAGTTTGAAGGCGCCTTCAGTAGGGAGTCTGGCAGAAGCCTTCGCCTTGACCGAGGAACTGACCCTGCAAGAGGACATGTCCAAGCAGTTCGCTGCCATTTTAGAGGAGATCGATCGTAAACAGGGGCAGATCGACTTCTCTGAAGTGCTGGATGCCATCCGCACAACGAGTCTCAGCGTGTTTTTTTTGCCCTGTGCTCATGTGTGCTTCGCATCCTCCTGCCTGCGCCCCACAGCCACTCAAGGAAGATGAAGGTGGACTTCGCTACGGTGCTGTCCAGCATAGATGATGCTGCAGAGACCACTTGCCAGAAGATCGCTGAAGGGCTGAGCCTGGGCCTGCACAGGGAGCGGCCTTGCGACGTCTCTACACCAAGACACCAAATAATTCCAAGGAAGATTTCCTTGAACCCCTTGGCAGAGTCCAGCACCAGCATCCTGGAAATCCTGCAGGAAGGGGCAAGGATGAGAGGCACTAGGTCGCTCGGAGAAAAGCTTGTCTGATCTTGGAGGAGAAATCGCAAGACCAGTCTGTCAAAACCGGCCTAGCTGGTCTGAAGGACACGCTCCTCGGACGGCAGAAAGATGACATCTTGCTGTGCGTGACTTTTGCGAAAAGCGTGAATTCCTCAGTTTCAGTCTTAGGACTGCTCGGCTCTCGCAGCAGTTCTCCATTCTGTTGCAAACCGTCTCGGAAGAGAAGGAAGCCAAGGCTGGGAGTAGAACTGCCCACATTTGCCCTCTTTTTGCTGAGGCGAGCTCCTTGCGTCTCGTCAGGTCTTACTGTTCTGTTGATTATTTGACTTTCCGATACAAGTGAAGAATGTACCCGATTCTGTTCTCGCTGCTTTGTAGACTGCTGACGTGCAGGTGGACTTCTCTCCGGTGTTAGATGCCATTGCAGACAACAAGGCGAGATGGACAGGACAAGTTCCGATTATTGCACAGCGAACAGCGGCCACGTAAAATTGCATCACGCTGCATTACAGATTGCAATGCAGATGAAGGATTGCAGCAGAGATTAGATTGCGATACACTATTTGCATGTGCTTGTGCAGGAGCATGTACATGCCAATGTACATATGCACAGTACAGACATACAAGCTGTATACAGTATACATGGGGGGTAACCGCGGATGAGACATTCAGACACTCACTTTTTGGGGGGTTGGGGGTCCAGGGCTTAGGATTTCAGCGTCTGATGTTGGGGCTTGAGCGTTTAGGGAAAGTTTAGTGTCTAGGGTTTAATGAGAATTTTGAAGCTTGAATTCCCGAGTTGTCTGTGAGCACATGTTTTTCAGTTTGCACTCCGGTGGCAGGCTCCTCCACTCTTCCACATATCACATATACCTTCTAGATGTATAGGGGTCGCATGCCGCAAGGCATTTCACGAACATCCATATTCAACTGTGTCTTTCTTACATCAGAGCAAGATCACCCTGGTGTGGAGGTGCACATCGATTTTACAGAGGTCCTTGCAGCCATCAAGAAGCATGGCGACACCACCGAGATAACGGAGGATATCACCCGCCTCGTCAAATACGTTCAGGAGATGCCATTTGGCCTGCACCAGAGATGGCTGCCGGAGTGATCATAATGCAGCGCCTAAGACCGGCAGTAATTGCCTAAAGAATCCTGCAGGGACAAAGTCTTACAGTGCCCGTAGCCTTCATCGTAGCCGAGGAAAGTCCAAGTTGACTTCACGCCAGTTCTTCGAGGCCTTCGAGACGTGAAAGTAGCCGTGGGCTCAGCCACCACCTCAAACGTGTGCACTGCCGTCAGGCCACGGCGTGAAGACGCGAAAACTGTGAGAAGGCACACTGTAGATTGTCAATCAGGACACAGTCTTCGAAGTGCTGAACGCCATTCGCGACCAGCGAACAGACATTGGAGAGCTGAAAGACGGCTTGGCCTGAGCCCCGATCGCTTGGAGGCTCTGCAGAGCAAGCATCGCTAGAGTCCCGATCCTGAGGGCCGGCACCTGGAGGAGGTGCAAAGCCATCTGCGGGGTTTGCACGAAGGCTTGCACTCTGAGTCCAAGGAGGTGGGTGACTCATGGCAGTGGATCCAACAAGCTTCAACCAGTCTTCAGCCATCTTCAGCCCGTTCAGTGTGCTTTCATATCTCCCCACTGCAGGCTCTCACGTCCAAAGTGGTGGAGGCTGTGCGGTCAGTGGAAATCAATATCAACCTTGCTGAGATCCTCGATGGCCAAGCAGCGCAAAAAATCCATCTGGACCGGGCACAGATATTCCTTTGCATGCTAAGCGCATGCTGGTGTCTTCCTGATGCAAGTTGTCGCTGGGCAACACTCTCGTCAATGCTTCCCTGGCGCCACAGGACCAGAGCCTCCAGGACATGCAGGCGCGGCGCTGACGGTCAGTAGGCATCACGGGATGACACCGTCCGGACCGAGTGTCTCGCCCAGGAACGGCTGGAAACAGACATCAAGCTCAGCTTGGACCAAGTGCGTGACTTTCTCGGGTCCCTGCAGCAAGACGAGAAACAGCTCGCCGCCAAGTTCGACAACATTGCGGCAGCGGTCAAGGGTCTGCAGGCCGTGGCACAGGGAATACAGACCACTGTAGGCCATCAACAGACCTTATCCTACGTCAGCACTGCCTCAGACTAGTTTCATGGAATTTCATTGTTTGATATTCAGAAGTTTCGAACTCAGCCGACTGTCGGGGACGATATGCGAAGGAAAGCCGAAACATAACATGATGGAATCCCGGCCCGGCTCAAGTCAATGTTCAACGAGAGATTTGGAACGGGCGAGACTGCACTTCCTCTCATTTCAAGATTGCGCTCACTTGTGGCAAACTCTCCTCCAAGTGTGAACAACTGCTGCTTGGTCTTTTCTTCAGGAGATGCCGCAGCCTGACTTCTCGCTCATCATTCAAGCAATTCAGGAGCCCGGGTGGCCGATAAATGAAGCATCTTTGAAGTGGCATGAAGTCTTTGAAGTGACTCTTACGGGCAGCAGGAGAAACAGTTCGCTTTCGATGATGCTGCCATCCTTCATGCGCTTGAAGACCAGGCGTGGTGCTGCTTCCCACATTTTGAACGTGATTTCGGGAACAAGCTTTCTTTCAACAAATTGCTATTGCTGTGCGAGGCCGTCGGTCAGGAGCAGATGCACGAGGAGCTGAAGGAAACAGTGACCAGCTGGCATAGGCCACCGAGCCCCATTCAAGCCAGGCCCTACTCACTGCGCCCACATACGCCCCACAGGCATGCAGAGGCCTTGAAGATGGTGATCCGGGAGAGAGTCGACAGCGTCTCTCGGCAGGGATTCCCATACCATTTCCGGGGCGTGGAGCGTAGGGTCCTTGAAGAGTTCCGAGCTCGTGCTGGCGGCCCAGCCCCTGCTCCTTTCCGTCCTTGCCTCTCCAGGACAGCGCTTGCTGCATTCGAGGGAGTTCGCATGGTGAAGCAGTGTTGGGAGAGACTGGATGTTTCAGCTTGAGGGTGGCAGCAAGGTGCTCAAAGCCGTCTCCGCCAGTGGAGAAGCTGCAGACATGCTTTCGCTGCGCACCGATGTCTCCCAGGCCTCAGAATGCCTGGACAGCGTCCTTCATTCAATCTGTCGTCGCACGTGTTCGCTTTGCATGGCGCAGGTGCTGGATGAACTGAAGCGCTATGTCACGAAAGAGGACCTGGAAGAGCAGTACTCGAACCTCCTCCGATCCATCGAGGACATGCAGTCGTCCGCAATGCAGCTGCCATTTTCAATACTTCACTATTATACAATCTTCAGTTAGCGAAAGCAAGTCTGCTTGCCAGCGCAGGCGATGCAGATCCAGCAGACGGAGTCGCAGAGCTCCCGGATGCTCACGATAGACCTCGAAAGGAGGGTGTCTGACACCATGGAGGCCATCTGCGGCCATCTTGCATCATCTTCTTGTCTCGTTCTCTGGCGCGGCAAATTATGTGCTCTGCCGAGGCGCTCCAGGAGCAGAAGGACAGCGACCGTGCGGTCCACACGGTCGTGAAGGAGCAGATGCACAAGCTGAGACATGACTTCCTCTCGAAGTTTCAGGCTCCCGAGCGGTCCCGGTAGCATTTCGCGGGTCACCCTTCCAGGGCCTCCCTGGTCTCCTGTCAGGCAATGTGGGATGCTCAGGAGAAGGATCGCACCTCTGCAGCGAATCTTCTCGAAGAGCAGATACAACGTCTGAAAGCCGAGCTATCCGGGGACGTTTCGGCGCATCTTCGCACGGATGTGCAGAAAGTGCATGCTGACTTATTGCCACAGCTCCATGATTTTCAGACGAACTTCCTTGCGCAGTTCAAGGACACTGCTTTGACAGTGGCAAAACATTGCGGCACCCATGAGTTTATGGCCTGCGGCTTGAATTTGCATTGCCAGGATGTCAAAGTCCAAGCAGATCACTCGGAGGTGCTCCAAGCGATCCAAGAGCCCTGCCTCAATTACTTGCAGTGCCTGCCCGCGCACTGATGCCAACAGTGGGTCACCGTGATCCACTGGTCCAAGGAGCAGAGCAAGGAATCGAGACTCGAAAGCTCTATGGCGCAAGTGCTAGCTGCGATCCGGTCACAGCCTGCCAGTTGCCAGCCTGCAGTTCGGTGAACATCTTGCCGAGCTACTTGTAGTAAGATTTGCAACAACCCGGTCTGACACTATCAGCCCTACATTTGCGTGGTAGATCGTATCTCTGACAGATCTAAGACTCATAGGGGTCAGTAAAGACAACAATTCCCCATAATCGCAATAAGAAGGATGGCGCAGCACAATATGCTTAATTCTAACGCTACGCGGCCCGCCTCGGCTGGCGGCTCCAGTAGTGCCAGCAGCGGCGCACCGTCAGCAGCAGCAGCAGCAGCAGGCACAGAAGGAGCACAGCGACTGGCAGCACCTGTTGTTTTCGAACAGGGCTCGGAAAAAAACACGTGAGCGAAGGACAGGAAGGAAGCGGGAAGATGGAACAGTGGCAAAAGATTGGGAAAGAGAAGAAGGAAGTGGGGCAGAAGGGACGGGGAGGGAAGGGGGCAGGTGGAGGGAAGTCGGGGACAGGCAGAGAGAGAGGGTCGGTGGGGGGGCAGGCAGGGCAGAGAAAAGGCGGGGGGGCAGATGGGGACATTGTGAAAATCAAGGGTGACAGGACGGAAGCCGGGCAAGGGGGCCGAAAACAGGCGCTAAAACCGGGTGGCAGTTTGTGTTTGGGGTGCAGGGAGGAGGATTAGGTGGAGGGCTACTTAGTATAAACCATCTACACGCCGGAAGCCTTTGGCCTCGGCGGATATAACAGTTGATCACAGCAACGGTTTGGTCTCAGATTCTGCAGGCGGCTTCATTGGGCGTTTCAGTCATGCAAGAATGCGAGTTTCTTCTTTGGCGGAGCTGGCATGGCTGTGAAAGGCTTTGCCAATTCCGATCCAACAGATCTCTGTTCCGAGTGTCTGCCTCCAGCAGTCAGGTATGGATTTGACGCCGGTTCTAAACGGCATTCGCGAGACGCAAGAGCTTACCCAGGCATGTTACTGTTGCATGTCGTGAAAGTCCGAGTTTGGTCTTGGCAAATTCCCTGCAGGGGCTCAGCTATTCGCTTCGCTCCTGGCGTGCAGAAATTGCAGCAAATGTGCATGCACCTGGCAGCAGTGACACAAACGACCACGTTCAGCCTCCGGCAGTGCCGCTTGTCTATTCGATGTAAGAGAGCCGCATGTCCGCTGCTACTGCGAACAGGAGTGCCCCCCTCTCGCTTACGTCAAGCGCCAATGAGATAAGGTCTTGGGAGTCTCACGAGGTGATGTCTGATATGCTGACTGACAAGCTGGGCCATCAGACTGCTACCATACAGCAGTTTCTGCTAGACATCTTGCAGAGACTGGACTTCTCGGCTGTGTTGTTGGCAATCGGGGAGCAGACCGCGGACGTGAAGGCAGCACTGGCTGAGCAGCGTGGTCAGGTGGCTGGCAAACTCCAGGCCCTTCAGCAACAGCTGCGAGGACTGGAACCTGGATCGGCCGAGAGAGACAAACCGACCGCGCAAGACATGGACTTCTCGGAAGTCCTAGCAGCCATCAGAGAATCTGCACGCCCAGCAGCCGGGCCTCAGGTGGTTGATCTATCTGAGGTGTTGGATGCCATCAGGGCAGTTCCTGCACAGGTGGATCTCTCGTACGAGTTTTCTGCTGTGCTCACCGCAATCCAAGATAAGCAGCCAGATCTGGACCTACCAGCAATCCGCTCGGTTGTCACCGACAGCAAGCAGGACATCCTCTTCCAGCTGGAAGACGTGAGGAGCCTCATCCGCTCGCAGGCACGTGGGCCTCGCGGGCCATCATCTCTAAACCCTCCACACTACACCCTCGTAACCTTACGCTAACATTGGCATCTAGTCTTCATTCCCATGGCCAGATCTACCGTTCCCTTTTGTGCAACGCCTTCGAATTTTTTGGTAGTTTTTTTGTTGGTGCCACCACCACCGCCACCTCCACCACCACCACCACCACCACCTCCACCACCTCCACCACCTCCACCACCTCCACCACCTCCACCACCTCCACCACCTCCACCACCTCCACCACCTCCACCACCTCCACCACCTCCGCCACCAGCAGCAGCAGCAGCAGCAGCAACACCACCACCTCCACCCTACCTCCTCTCCTCCACCTCCGCCTGCTCCACCTGCTCCTTCTCCTCCGCGTCCTCCACCTCCTCTACCTCCTCCACCTCCTCCACCTCCTCCACCTCCTCCACCTCCTCCTCCTCCACCTCCTCCACCTCCTCCTCCGTCACCACCACCACGACGACCACCACTACTACCACTACTACCACTGCTACCACTACTACCACTACTACCACTACTACCACTACTACCACTACTACCACTACTACCACTACTACCACTACTACCACTACTACCACTACTACCACTACTACCACTACTGCCACTGCTACTGCCAACAGTCACTACAGCTTGCAGAGCTGACACTTGGCATGGTGGCGTCTGGACTGTGCCAAGGCTCAACTGGACCCGTCCCGATCACCATCGAGAAGACCACAACCACAAGGGGGCAAGGCCTGGAATGTGGGGGGATTGTGCGGAAGCGCCCAGAGTATTGATTGGTACAGCCATTGACAATTGTACGAGTTATACCCGGCAGCCATGGTCGTTATTATTGTGTCACTAGTAATGCTTTTACTCATCTGAAGGGTTTGCCTTCTGTTACCGTCATCTTCGTCATCGTCGTCGATTTCCTCGTCCTCCTCCTGTTCTTGAGTCGCAGTCTGTTGCAGACTTCACTCAGTCTCTCTCCCATCAGGACGGGGATCTTTCCGCGATCCTGACGGCAATCAAGGACCAGAAGGTGTTCCAGAGCACGCAGTGCATGGCGCTTGAAGTGCCCCACGAGTGCCTGCGAAGGTGTCCATCGACTTCTCCGTGGCACAAGTCCTCAATAACATTCAGCAGAAGCAGCAAGAAGCAATCGCATCTTGGATGCTAAGTTGGCAGATGCACGCCTGCAAAACGTCATAATCTGTGGATGACAGGATCGGATGGATAAGACAGAGAAGCAGCTGGACCATCTCAAGGAGGGTCTGCAGAAGCTGAATGGCCAGGCCCGGATTCTCGAATATCCTATGATCTCCGCAACAATGCTTTGTCATGGGTGCTGCCAGGAGCTACGGCCCCGGAGTGCGACGGCGAATCCGACGCCGTGCTCTCCGCGGTGTGGGCGCTTCAATGCGCAGCAGTGGCTGCAGCTTCCCGGTGCGCCCTGGACCGGCTCACGGCTGTTTGCTTCTGTTGTGAGCCTTCAAGATTAGAGTTTAACCGCAAGCGGCGCGAGAGCCGTTTCAGGGGGGCGGAGCTTGCCAGAAGTCAGAGATGCGTTTCCAGAAACAGGAGAGGAATGGGAGGAGGGGGGTGGAATGGGGGAAGCTTCGAGCGCAAGGCTGAGTGGCCTAAGATGGCGTAAGCCTTGGAGCAGCTCTGAAGCTCTGCAGCTTATATATATATATCAATAATATCATTACTGTTATTACTATTATGTTATGCCTTATATGTCATATAACATATAGTATGTAATGATCGACTTTGAAGCTGGAAGGATTCCACCTGGCATCCTTGGCCTCGATGAGTTGAACCGCCGTGAGTGATGTCCGTGGCGCGGAGCGCGTCCGCGCGGCCCAAAGGGTGTTTTAGAGATTTCATCGATTGCTCTACAAAGCATAGCCCTAAGCCCTCCGTTGACCAGAGGGCTGGCCAGAGTAGCTCGTGCCCCAAGGGCTCTTGAGACGTGGCTCTGTTCAGTGACGTGAATTTTCAGACTTTAGATGCTCGGGCACGACCTTGAAATTCCAGGCTCTGAACCTGCAAGACATGTCTGTAATGTGTGTATCGAGTCAGGCCCAGCAGACTCGCAGCTCTGCCGTCCTGCCAAAGGCAGATGAGCAGACAAACGTGACGTTTCCAAGGCATTGGATCTGGTGACCGGCCTGCCTTCTTGGGAACGGTCTTTGCCACAAACCCGGTGGGCAGTCCAAGATGGAGTTGGCCTTTCCGGGCCGTACCATACGCTCTGCGGGGATTCCTGAGTTGTGGAGCTGCTTGACAAACTGGGCTACGGCTACATCCAGTCGACTGGCGTTTGCTACCAGTACCAGTAGCAGCTTCTCAACCAGATCCTCAGTTGGAAGTCTAGCGCTGCTGAAACTCGTGATCAGCAGGAGTGAATCGCGTTCAGAAAGCATGGCTTTTCTTCGCTGCTGGCATTGCTTGGGCTTCTGGCACGAAGTATGACAGCTGCAATGTAAGGTGTGGAGACGGCACTTCCAGCAGTGCTTGGTGTCTGCGGCTTACACTAAGTCACTACTCGTACGAAAGTTGTAGGCTTGTGAAAACCGCCCAAGGGCCTGAAGCAGAAAGAGAAGACTGAAGTCAAGGCCTGGCTTTGATTCTTCTGCCCGGAATTGTCCGTAAACTCCGTAATCTCTCCCGATGGACTGCGTTCTGGAGGTTGGTGCACTTCGTCTCCTGGCCTTGATGCGGGACGAGGCGTGCTTACGGTGGGAAATGGAAGGCCAGGACTCTGTCAGACTCCTCGTACTGCTTCTGAGGACACGATCAAGCCTCTCGCGTGCCAGCTCGCGGAGAGCTCACGGGCTGAGTGGCAGTGGCTTTGGGTGCTTGTGAGACCGAGAAGCTTGCGCATGGCCCTGGCTCCTTTAGGATCGAGTAATGCCGCACATTGCCGAGATGCTGAATGACGCCGACGGCTGATTCAACTTCGCCAGTGAAACGTAGCTCAGAGATCATCCGGTCGCTTCTGGGTTCAGGTGAAGCGCGAGGTACGCCAAACGGTTCTGAACTTAGTCTGTGATCTTCCGGGACAGCGAATTGAACACCACGAGTCTGATGTTGAGGTTTGTTGCATCAGACTATTCCTGCCTGCTCTGCTGTGATGTGTTGAGGCTGCAGATGCCGCAAAGGTTCTTTTTGAATGCGCCCAGAACAAGGCGAGACACAAGATCCGGGTCTTGTGCTGTCTTCGAGCTTGCTTGAGCCGGTTCATGTGATGCCTTATGCTCTGCTGTCCAAACGAACACGCATTGTCTCCTCGCCGACTCATGGAGGTTCTAGCTAACGGGATCGCACCAAGAAGTGTTTGAGCTTCGAAGTTTCACAAGTCGATGACGAACGACGAGGGAATGGACAACGGAGCCATAGAGCCCAGAATGTCGTCGAAGGAATGCTGGCTACAGATGTGAACAGCACGCCTGTTTGACCGAGACCTGTCGGACCCACCGGTCTTGAGAATTCCTCGCCTGAACACCGGGCATGAAGGGGTAGCCAGCTGGGGTGCAGAAACTGGCTGTCGCGATGTGACAGGCTTTAGGACCCTTGGGACGTGAGGATCTCGTGAGTGGACTCGGGAGAGCGATCCGAACTAGGGAGACCTTCCACAGGGTCAGGGTAGCCTAGGTTTAGAACGCAACCAGCTAGGACTCATCACGACTCATCCTGAGAGGATCTGGACCCGTACCTGGATGAGATCATCAAGGCCTGAGCAGCTCAGCTGCCATCGCAGGGCCCTTCATGCAGCGCGGGCGTGGCTCTGGGAAGGCAATGATGGACCAGGAGTTCATTCCTCGGGTGGTAGGAGCCTCAACACATTCAATGAGAGATGTTGGCAAGTGGTCTGAGCCAGCGCGTCTGCGTATATCTGCATATACTGGTAGCAGCATGTCCCAAACGTCCTGTTTGCAAACCTGCCAGGTCAGCCAGCTGTCCGAGATCGTTTTCGTACAGTCGGCAGGGAGCCACAGATCACACCACTGAAGGCATAGCAGCCCGAGGGAATTCGCGCTGTGTTCAAAGAGCTTCGGCTCGAGGTTGAGACTCCCGCGCTGGCGATCGTCATGCCACTGATCGTACGCGGCCTCAAAGACAGGGATGAGAGGCCGGTGGGAGCAGGGATGACGCGCACAATCTCAGAGCGGCGGGTACGAGTCTGACAGAAGACACAATGCTACTGTTCAGACTTTCTTCGGTCATCCCCACAGAACCAGCCAAGAGGACAAAGCGGCGGGCCCTGGTGATTGCGGACAACATGTGCAAGCTTGTGCCGGACGTGACCGAGATCCAGCCATTCCTTCCAACGCCTGAGTCCTGGCAACGGCTGTGCAACTCCTGGTCCATGGGCAAGCGCCGCACATCGCCACACACCTGAGCCTGAGGCTCATCCCGCTTGTGGAGAAATCAACGCACAACATCTCAGACCCAGAGGCCGGCCGGGCCGGCGGCATGCCCATCGGCAGGTTCGCTTCAAACCAAGTTCGGTGTCAGAAGGGTTGAGCTGGAATCGGGGCGGAAAGAGACGCGGAAAGGCGTTTTGAGGCAGGGGGAAGAGTCCACGTCGCTTAGGTGCGAAACGTTGCAACCCGGTGCTATCGAACACTCCAGACCGCAGACAAGGTGCGCTACTTCTGTTTCAAGCCATGCCATGCACTTCGAGATTGAGTGTGTGCATCTGCATCTGCGTGGAGGCAGACAGGCGCCGCTTCATCAGCAAGACCGCGGCGCATGCCCAAGACAAGCTCCTTGTCAACCCCTCACAGTGCCTCTGTGGACAGTGAAGTAGCATTCAGTCATTTCAGAGGTGCTGAACCTCCTGCAAGAGAAGATCCCCGACGAGAAGACTCAGCTGGCACGGAGCCTACAGGGACAGAGTTGTCGATTGAAGCAGTGGTTGTCTCCAAGAATGGGCCGATCAGCTTTCATTGCCACCTTACGATCGCGAGCGTACGAAGCGCTGTCCTGGGGCTTCGGTGCGGCCGAGATCACAAGGCCATTAGGTACATTGAGATGGTCATGCGAGAATGCGGCAGAAATTGAAGAATCAGGTGTAGGAGAGGTAATCCCTGATGCATGATCTGCCGGTCATGGCCAGAAGTCGAGAAGCTACTCGTGCAGATCCCATGAAGATCCATGCAGAACAGCTTTACACCGGAGCATTTGTGACTTCGTATTGAGATGAGGTGAGCGAGCTGGTAGCCGATTACGTGGCCTCGCTTTGCACATGCATCAGTGCTGCGGGCCTGGGGCAGGTGATGACATGTGATGACGGTCAGGACAAGGTTCCAATCAAGACCTGTGCCGAGGCATGTCGAAGCTTTGAGTATGCAGAGTGGTGGCAATGCATTGCGCGCCGCGCTTGTGGTTTCGACACATGTCACCGTGTGCTTTCATTCATGTACTGGATCGAGCAAATTGTCCAATAGCTCGATTTGCATCACCTGATCAGATTAAGATGCATTCAGGCCGTACCTCTCTCCGTCGATTCTTTCAGTGGAAGATTGTGAAGACCTGGTGTCGCAGTCTTACTGACAGTCGCGGTGATGCTCGAGCCCAGGCAGTATTTCTCCTCTGAGAGACTTTCCGAAGATGACATCTCGATCGTGTTGCAGGAGTTGTAAGCTGCGACGTCACTTTACATGGAACCCGTCCTTGTCGTTAATGTCTCGGAATGCGTTTGGGCTGCAGTCTCTGACCAGTCCAAGAAAGGCATCTCGAGATCCCACCCGAGAGGCGCACGCAAAGAGTTCACAGCATGAGATCAAGATGTAGCATGGAACCCTCGTAGACGGGGCTCCTTTGGCACTGCCTCTTGCAGGTATGCCAGCCAAGTCCAAACCGTTCTCTCGGCAAAGCTCTGGAACTGTTGGCAAACCGCTACGGGGGCTATGTCCGAAAGCCACTCACGCCCTAGCGTCCAGGCCAGCAAACCCGAACAAATTGGACCGCGTTCCCGAAAGCCTGACAAGTGTGCCGCTGGTTTTTTGTGTTGGGGACATGAACTCCTCTGTGCGTCAATGATCATCGTCCAAGTAAGGCTTAACATGCCTCAGGCCGGACCTCTTGGAGAGTTGCTACGATGCGGCCGAGGGTGATGATGCCGTGGCCTCAAGGGCCCAGCAATGCCCAGATGGGATTGTTGGCATCTGAAGCGTGGGCGCGACGTGGGCAAATGAAGGTGGAAGATCTTGATGAAGAAGGCAGCTGGACAAAACTCATCGGACTTGTTAGGCTGCAAGTGCGATACGAAGTTTCTTGTGGTGACGCCCATGGGCTGCTAAGGCGAAGACTTGTGCAACTGCGTTTTCACTCTCGGCTACGGTGTTCGTTCCTCACGTGGGAGAAGCCGTGCGGTGCTTCGGGTCTTGGCGCTTTGTAAGGCCTTGACACTTCTCAACAACACCAGGCCTTACACGTATAAGTTGACACTGTTGCATGGCGACGATGGCACGCCCGGCACAGAAGAGAGTCGTGGCACGACAACAGCCCAGCCAGGCTGCACCTCAAGCGTGGAAAATGCTACGGGCTCTGCGGTCAGTAACTCGGCATCGCTGCTCCGTCCCGATCAAGATGAATTTCGCTGCAAACCGGCCGAGGTCCCAACGACTGTGGAAAGAGCACTCTTCTAAGAGCCATCAACAACGAGCAGGCCTGGTCCCAGGTACGAATCTGCTGCACGGACATGCGGCGAACCTTCTCGATTGCACAGGTGGACGGCTTTCCTCCAAAGAGTGAGCTCGTGACAGCTTTTGTTGAGCACGGCATTGGCGAGAAAGAGCCGGAGTGTGAGCTCACGTCTCAGTCGAAAGAGATGCAAGCGTCCTAAGATCGATGCTGGCACGAGAGGATATCTGAAGAGTCTCCACCGAGCAGGTGGACGCCGCTTGAGTACATCTTCGCGGACGAAACGATCCAAGCAATGGGAGTGACGAGCCTTGGCACATGTATCCACAGAGTGTGCCAACACCTTCATGCTGCTGCTTGCGAATCTGACCATGAGCCAAGGAAAAAGAAGGCTTCGCTCTCAGCACATGGGTGTTGGCATGTCCGGGTTGGGGGAGGTTCGGCCAACCTGGCCGAGTGCATTAATGCGGCCTACTAATATCAGTGCCCGAGAATTCTCATGATTATCAAGCAGTGACTTGCCCTGACATTGTTCGCTTGTTTTTACGCCACGGGCAGCTGCAACGTCCTGCAGTGCTCGAGAAGTGGTGTCGCTTCGCTTGTGTCCTCACATCAGGTGGTTGCCGCTTTGCGCAGCATCGGGTTTGATGACCAGAAGCTCAAAAGCGAGTCAACTGCTCAGTGCATGAGCGGGAGGTTGCGGTTGCGAGGGCATGTCTTGGGGGCCGTGCGGACGACTCCGGCAGGATTGGGCATCTCTCCGGCGGATGGAAGATGAAGTCCCTCGTCATGACTCCTTACCTCTCCTGTTCTTGGTTTCTTTCTTCGTGTGTGTGTGTGTGATGACTGTGGTGAAGCGATGGCAAACGGTGCCGAGATGTCCCCGATCCGAGGCTTGGGCTCGTCAGAGCCATGCTGATGTGCGCAGACATCCTGCTGTTGGACGAGCCCACAGGACGTTCCTCCTGGTGGCTACTCTGGGTGCTGGGAATTGGTAATTCAATGTCTAAGTCCTGGGTTCAAGGCGTGTGCGTTCGCCTGAATGCGTGATGTAAAAGCAGCACTCTCCTTGTTTGCAATGCATCTTTGACCACACTTTACGAGTTGAGTGCCTCCAGCAACATTCTGAAGCTTGCTTGGAGGACACTTGGATGTCGCAAACGTCGCATGGTTGGGCGACTATTTGTGGCCCGGACTGAAGTCGGCGTCTGCGTACTCGGGCCATGTTGCCATACTTGAGCACAGCGAAACCACGCGTGCAGACATCATGTACGGTGCATCTCAGTGCATGTGTGTTAGCGGGAAAAGCCATTGTGACATTGAGCAGCAGCAGCAGCAGCAGCAGCAGCAGCAGTCCGTGCAAGTGTGTCAGCTGATTAGCTCTGCGCCTGTGAGGTTGGGTAGTGACATCTAGGTGTTTTTGTCTGGTTGTTTTTTTCGCTAATCCGCTAATCTTTTGTGTCTTCTGCTTGTTCTTGCTGTGGCGGGTGCAACAGGGAGGCTTGTAGCGCCATTGTTGACTTCAAGCCGCCGTCAGGGCAGGCTGCCCTGTCCCGGCCCTTGCTGTTGCCATGCATGTCTTGGTAAGCTATCCTCATTTTGCTAACTTGGCTGCTTTGGCCCATGACCAAGGCTCAGCCTCAGCAGAGACAGCAGCCGGCCAGTGACGACGGTTGTGGTGTCGCACGACTCGTCCTTCCTGGACAAGGTGTGCACGCACGTCATCAACGTCAAGCAAAGGAAGTCGGAGCCTGGGAGTTATGCGGAGTTTTTCTCTCGCCGGTGTGCACTGGAAGTGTTCGGAGTGAGCATTCGGCTATGTAATATTCGAGATTCACCGGCGGCGGGATCTTGAGGTTGAAGACGTACAAAGGCAACATCACCGACTTCGTGCGACGATGCCCCGAAGCCAAGCCGCGCCCCTGAGTATCCAGCCCCTTCCCAAGCCCGCCGGGGCTTGCGCATGCTTGCATGCAATATGGGTGTGCATCGTTCTCCGACACAACGACAGACATACTATGTAAGCATACATTACAAGTCATTGCAGCAGCCACCTACTTCTTTGAGGTCGTACCTGAGCCTGACAAACGACAAGCAGCGCTTCGTTCTGCCAGAGCCAGGAATGCTGGAGGCTTCGATTCACGTGCCAAGCAGCTCCAGGGACTTGGCTCTGGCATCTTTTGCTCGCAGGGAGTGAAGTCCAAGGGCAAGAAGCTGTTGAAAATGCACAATGCGCTACGCTCAGCTGGGCTTTTCTGCTCTCGATAGGCATGCTGTCGTTCATAGTCTTTGGGAGCTTTAGGTGACGTACACATATCCCGGCAACCAGACGCTCTTCGCTTAGCTGTCGCATGTCAGCCCTGCTGGAGTTTACCGGCACGCGTCTGAAAGTCTGAAGCCAAGGCCGACCCTCTTCAACGTCAGCATTGAGGTGTCTCTTCTCAGTGCAGCGCTTGGTCAGAGCAAAGCAAAGGGTGCCAGAATGCTTTGAGCTCGGCCGAAGGCCGCGTGGCTGTGATCGGGCCCAACGGCGCGGGCAAGTCGACCATGATCAAGGCGAGCTCGCCACGGGCACACGGGCGGACTGGAGTCCTGGAGTCCCGGAGTTTTTTTGAGCGGAGCCTCTCCTTACCAGGCCTTGGTCGGCGAGCTGCCCGTCGCGGGAAAGAGCATCGTCTGGAAACATCCGAATGTGGGTTGCTGAGCATCAGCTAGCCAAAGGCAACTCTTGCCAGACCCTGAGCTGAGACAGGTGCGAATATCCTACGTTGCCCAGCATGCTTTCCATCACGTTGCGTGGCACCCAGCAAGCCTCGGCAAGCTGGCTTCAAGACAAGTACGGCCTTTGCGACGGGATCCCTCAGGAGCAGCATCTGGACATAACCCCAACACAGCCTGGGGCCTAGCTTTTCGTTGGCAGCACTCTCCGCAGCGTCATAAACTTGTGCAGCAGAAGAGCATGCCTACCTTGAAAAGGTATTTGCTGTGGCGCTTTGCTGGTGGCGAAGATCGTGAAGCACTCAACTATCGATCAGAGGAGCGACACATGATCACAACAACACGCCAGCCAACCCACAGCACAAAATCTACTGCACACAATTTCGTTGACTTTGTCAGGAAGTCAGTGGCGTGAAGAAGAAATACTGGCTGGGGCCCTTGCCCACGTGCCAAGCATTGCTACGTGACCCCAAATCTTTGCACTCCTGGTAGTCTGGCACTACATTTCAAAAGTCATCATTGGAATTGCATCTCCTGCAGTTGGGAGTCCAAGCAAAAGAAGTGAATGGACACAAGACGCGATTGGATGAGTTCTACTCTTCTACCTTCGAATAACTAGTCAATGTAACCGCCTAGCGAATATGACACCAGCTCCAATTTCTACACACGCATTTTCTGCTGTAAGATCTGGAACAAGATGAAGTAAATACTGTAAAACATGCGCCCAGCTACGAACTCTATGTTGAATATTACCGCATAAAGCTCTTTTCATACGTTCGCTCACCTTCTGCTTGGGCTCTGCTTTCATGTTATTTCATCATAAGGAAGTGAGACAGCGTTTAATTGACAAGCAAGGATAGTACGCCAACGCTCTCCGTTTTTCTTATAGAAATTAATCTGGGGCCGCTTTGCTTCGCAATTCATTCATGTGTACCTTCGTTGTTACGCTGAATTCACGCTCCTTCTCACTCATGTTAACTAAAGTGTAACAAAGTCAAGAGAAGTTGAAGTCGCAAGCAGGACACGACTCATTTGATTGCTTCAGTTGTTCTTTAATTGTTCATTCTATGCTTTCCTTGTTTCGTGCTCCCATCCCATTCGTTCCTCGTTCCATCACACAATAAACGAAGAGTGAAGAGAATGGAGTGACACAGTGAACCAAACGGCGTGAAGAGACTTGTGTTTCAGTAATTTTTTCGTTATGTCGTTCGCGAAGGACCTAGATCTTTGCACTCCTAGTGCACATTGCCGATGGACCCTCCCGACATCACTCGGGATGCAGCAAGGCTTCAGCTAAAGAGTAGCTAGTAGCAAGCTTTCCTCCCAATCGAAGATTTTGCATGTAACATGCAGCATTTACTGCAGTTAAGCTAGACGAGGCATCCTTCTAGATCAAGGGGCCATTTCGGAGTTGTCATGTGCTGCTGATGATGGTAGACGGCTCCTCATACAAGAAGGGATCGCTGCTTCAAATTCAAGGAGGATTTCCAGGACCTGCTCCCAGAAGCGGGCACTTCCTCGGTTTTTTTCAGCGGTACTTAAGGCCTTGGGCTGAGGTCCACTAAAAGGGCGTAGGCCGGGAGCTTCCGAGGCTGAACGAAGCTGGTGTCCTCTGCAAGTGTACCAACGCCAAGGAGTCGGAGTTGGGGTGCCCACTGCTTTTCAGAAGGGGAGAGAACCCCAGGGAGTGATGACGAAGTATGAGGAAGCGGCGAGGGAAGGTCGTAGCCGTCATAGTCTTGGCAGGAGGAAGCCAAGACCGTGAGCCCGGAGTTGATCCTCGGAAGGAAGAAGCCGACTCCTCACACCTTGCGACTTACGGATCCGGGCGGAAGCCAAGCTGCATCGAACTCCCCCAGGTCGAAGTCAAAGGCGAACTCAGGCGATGAGAAATACGAGTACTCTGCCATAGCCTTGGAGAAGTACCTATCGTTTCAAAGCGTCATCGCAGTGAAATGTGGTTCCTGTTTCTGCGCAAGAGGTCAAGTGGCACGGCTTCAGTTCCGAAAGCAACATGTGGGCGCCACCCGCAGTGCAGCGAAAAACCGTTCAGCTCGCTAAGAGCCTACTTCCAGGTCCCTCGCGAGATCTTGCTAGAGATGGGCCACTTGCGTCTCATCCAACGCGAGGTGCGGTCTTGAAACTGCACCATTTGCACCAGAGGGCTATAGCCTCTCATAGTTATTGCATGTTATAACTTAGCGTATCTTGTCATGATGCTGCACAATTGCGCGGCCAGGATGAGAGGCAGGCAGCTGCACACGGCCTCGTCTCGCGGCCCCTGACGCAGCCGCAGGTGCGCGCAGCAGGGCGAATGACACCGTGGGAAGATCTCTCTGAGCTTTTAGAACCCTACAAAACCCTACAAAACCCTACTGAACCCTACTGAAAACCCTACTGAACCCTATACTGAACCCTATAGTGAACCCTATCGTGAACCCTAGCCCTAATGACCCCCTAAACGGGGTTCGAGGTGGAGGAGCATCTGGCCGGCTTTGGCCTCGACTCGAACCTCGCATCCCATACGAGGCGCGCGCCGAAAGAGCCGAGGATCCGATCCCCAGGGGTCTATAAAGGGTTACTATAAGGGTACTATAAGGGTTACTATGAGGGATCTATAAGAGTACTATAATATAGGGGCCTTGATAATCCCCCCCCCAAGTCGGGGGGCATCTTTTCAGAAGATGCTCAGCTCTCTTGAGCGAGGCTGGGGATCTTGTCTGGCGGCCAGAAGGTGAAGGTCGTTCTGGGAGCAGCCATGTGGCCCCTCGGCCCAAGCCAAAAGCTTAGCCTCCCCCAGCACACGTGAGACCCCTGCCCCTAAACCCAGGCTGTCCCCGCACATCCTGATCCTGGACGAGCCCGAGCCCCGGGGCCCTAGGGCCAGGGCCCGCCAGATTTGAGATCTTTTGAGAGCCCGCCTTCTTTTTGAGGCCGACGAACTATCTTGACCGCGATTCACTTGGGGCCCTTGCTGCAGGCCGCCTCGCAAGCCAGTAGCCGTCTTTTGGGTCCCTACCGCCACCTTAGGCCTCAAGGAGTTTGGAGGTGGCGTGGCGGCCTTAACGTGAGACGTCTGTCTTGCGCTCCAGAACTTCCGTCAAGCGATGTCCACCGTGTAGGCCGTTGCTTTCTGTCAAGCCCATGACTCACGCCAAGCTCCAGGTCATCGTCATCTCTCACAATCGCGAGCGAGAGCCTCAACTTGCAAGACTTTTTCACATGGCATCAAGGGTTTTTGGTTGCTGCGACTCGTCGAGCACCCTGCCAGATTCTGCCACGCAGTTTGTGACGAGAGATGGCTCATGGATGCCGTGGGCTTGACGTTTCCATTGCCCGGCTGAGCCTCCAAGCAGGATTCGCCGCACATCGACTTGGTCTCAGTTGGTCTGAGTCTTTCACAACGTGCAAAGGCCGGGCGGCTCACTCGAGAAGGACAGCTGAGCAAAGCGGACGTGGCGTGCACTGCTGAGTGGTCCTGCAGATAGGGAGCGAGCTGCTGGGATGTCCATTGTCGTACTGCAGGTTGGAAGGAAAGACAATAGCGGACGAGCATCTTGTTTGCATCTGATGGAAGCCGAGCTTAACCTTGAATGCCATTGTCATGATTCTGCTGAGGTACACAGATGAGTTCGGCAATGTTCACAAGATCAAGAAGCAGAACCACACCGAGAAGGAGAGGCTGATGTGAACTGAAATAGCAGGCATTTTTTATGACCCTCCGCTGTTGGAATGACTGGACTGGGTTTCTGTGAGAATTCTATGAGCGAGCACCAACAGACCAAGCAGAAGGAACCCGAAGACCGACAGGGGAGGCACCAGCCAAAGTACTTCAAAGGCAAGGACCCGCGACACACGGGAGCAGCTCCAGCAGCACCAGCCCAACCAGGGGCACACGCCTTGTCACTCTTGTCTTCTTCGTCCTCGGGCAGAGGCGATCAGGCCTTAGAGTACAACGCAGAGCTGTACAGAAACTCGCTCAAGAAGCCGACCAACGACTCCCCAAAGCACCGGCTCGTGCACTGGAGTTGCGAAAGCCAGCGACTTGCGAGAAGGGCATCAATGTGGAATCACAAGAACCCGGATGGGTCTCAGGAGACGCCAAGCCTGCTGAGCCAGCAGCCCACCACGGCGGGCATCAGAGGGAGCACCAGCACTGCTGAGCCAGACCCATCAACTGGATGGGCACGAGCTGGCGGTACCGGGTACCCGCGAGAAGGACTGTCCCAGAAGGTTATGAAGACAGTTGGATAAGACGACTAAGCGAAGAGGGTGACGACATGGCTACAAGTTTTGTACACAACGGACCGGAACATCCGGAGCCACGTGCCATCCAGACTTCAAGTGAGCTGTTCTGCATCCGTGCCTTTGAAGCTAACTAACCTTGATCTAATTCAGGTTATCAGGAGGGCACTCGTGCTGTGAAAGTGGCGTGCCCGCGGCAGACCAGAGAACTGCGGGGCCGGAAATTAGAGCACGCTTTTCCCTCCTGTTGCCATACAAAGCGTTTGAGATATTGTTGCCAGTAAGAGCACACACTCCTCTTACAACAGTTGTCAAAGCTTCGGAACATCTACCGGTGCCAGCAAACAAACTCCCCATACGGGGAACAGAGTATTGGCGCACCCGATGTTATACAGCCGAGCCCATCCTCTGAGAATCGGGGTTGGGGTTGCTCGAGAGAGCGGGCCACAGGGACTGCCTGTGGCTCACACCCCAAAGCAAAGCAAATCCTGTAGAGGTATGCAGAGGTCCGTGAATGGGGGCCGAGAGAAATCTGTGAGAAACCTGTGGAGGGGCGCACTGAGGCAGGCTTTCATCGCCTTTCTCACAGGTTTTGACGGCTTTCTCACAGATTCAGAGGTTTCTCGCAGCTCTCACAGGCGTTCTTACAGACCGTGGGCACGTGCCATAACTTTCTCGAGTGCTACGCTTCTCTCACAGACACGGTTAACTCGTCATTGTTTCTTGATGATGCCGTTGGCGGTCACAACGCGCTGGCTTGAAACCCACCTGCAGCGAGTGCTGTATCGCAGGAGTTGAAGAAGATCAAGCGTCAAAGAGAGCTTGCGCGCAAGCGTGGGGACGTGCCCCGACTGCGACGTGCAGTCTCGTCCCGGTGCTTGAAAGTTAGATGGTTTTGTATTCCAGGTATTCATCGAAGACGAAGATGAATGGCCGGCAGCTTGGCACATGGGAGACTGGCAAAGCGTGCATTCCGAGTGCCTCGGAGGTGGGAGAAGCTCCAGGAGGAGGCCTCGAAACCGGTGCCGCCGCCGCCAGCGGAGGAGCCGGGTCCTCGGAGTAGAGCTCAAGAGCCTTGAAACGCCACGAAAGACAGAATCGGCTGAGAAAGAAAATTCGAGAGCAGAGAGGATTTCGCATCCTCAGCCCTGCCTTTCCTCTGCCGCTGCAGGCCAGGCACATCCCTTGGCAAGGAAGCAGAGAGCTGATCTTGCCAAGGGCCAGGATTTTTTAGTTTATTCTCTTCCCGTAAGGGCTTGCAGAAATTTGGCCAAGGGCGATTGTGCAGCGAATGAAGAATACATGCTCGGAGATACTCCGTCGGTCGGCAAGACACAGGGAGTCGATCGAACCAGTACTTCGGATTCTAACCTACAAGTATCTCAGTAACTCGTCTCAACTGCATTCGCCTTGCAGAGTTGCTGCCTTACGAGCAGAAAGCTCTTGGACTGTTCTGAGACGAAGAAGCCAATGGCTTCGCATGCGTAGGATTTTTGGGCAAGCTTTTGACGGTGAGCTGGGGCCAGGGGAGCTGATGCCAGCTGCCTACCCTTTTGCAAGGACTCCTCTCACAGAAGTGAGCCTTTTGAACAAAGCTTGTGGCCGCGCGCAGCTCTAGGTCTCTGAAGGGCTTACCTTGAACAAGAGCTTTGAAGCGCTCGCCTTGCGACACTAAGTGTTGTTTCAAGGACCTGCAGTGTTGCATGCGGTCGTTTTCCATTGAATAAACTGATACCGTGCATGCAGATTCGAGGCTGCCTTGCGCCCTGGGTCTCAAAAAGTGCGATTGCACCGCGGGCGATCAGATACAGCTGAGAGTATCTGACTGTCCGGTATCGTCAGATGCAGTAAAGAGTTTGGTCAGGTATACCCATCGCGCAGTCGGAAATTTCTCGCGCTGTATGCTTTTCAAAAATATCCATCTACCGTCATACAAACACAATGAAAGCATGATAACCGTCCAGCAAAAAGGCTGTTTCCTTGCCTATGTCATGCCGGGCCGGGGCCTCCGCAGGGCCTCCAAAACGATTGCAACTCTTTGTATGCCCCAAGCTGTACGGCAACACATCTCTCAAACGTAGTCCGCTTCAGTCAAAGCTCAAGCACTGTCAAGATCGCCGCCGTTCAACTGAATCACTCCAGGGACCTCTTTTGGCAACGGCTGGGGTTATGTTCTTTCTCGTGCGGATATACGGTGCCAATTTTTGTTGATTGATGCCATCCAGTGAGCTACAAAAGTCGGCTGCATCTCCGAGTGCTGGCGAGAGCCGAGACAGCCGTCCATCGCGCAACTGGCATTGGCTTCGGCTCGGCGTCGGCTTCGCTGATTTCATTTTTTTTTTGCAGCCGGTCTCGGAGACTCGGATAGAGCTTGCATCAAGATTTGGTGCGTTCATGCGCATGACATTCAACGAAAGCGCAGGCGGGTACGGCGAAGACTGCACTACTGCTTTTGGCCCGGGAGTGGATTTGCTGCATGAGCCTTCTTGATGAGATACAGCGGCACCAACATGTGCCTTCACATGCAAGGCAGGACGGACCGAAGTCAAGACCACAAGAAGCCACCAGACCAACGACACTACAACCAACTTGAAGCAGTAGCAAGCGAGGCATTGAAGACTCCGAACACATTGCTTTGGGCTGCGTCCGTCTATTTTCCCTCGCCTAAGAAATCCGTCGCCATGTCACCCCGGCTTTGGTTGTGACGATGTTATCATCTGCTTGAGTCGCTGGCCTGCCGAGACCTCAAGATCACACGATCAGCAGGGAAAAAAGCTTGCAGCAAGTATAAGCCCTAATCTCTGGAAGGTACATGCGCCGTCTCTGGGTTCCACACCCGCAGCTGGTCCCGAACTTACAGCTCAGCTGCACGTGCTTTCATTGTGCTACAGTGTAGATTTCGCAGAAGCTGCATGGTTGACAGCAGAGCATGATGAAGGGGCTCAGCGTCGATCCAGGTGTGGGCCCCGTGCTGGCTTCATGACGTCATCGACGGCATTGCCACGCCTTCGCCCCAATTTAGCCATATCACGTCATGTAGATGCAAGCTGGTCGAGCCATCTAGCAGAATCAGGTTTGCCACAGAAGACGGTGAGGCGGCGAGCATGCACTTGTGACATGGCCTGAGGGATCACACTGTAATCGCAACTGCAGCGGTGCTCAATGGATTCGGGATGAGTTAGCTTGTCGTGTGCCATGCAGGCGTTTGAAGTCGGGACGGCGGGCATCGACGATCTGGAAGAAGTGCAGCCTCAACAGGTCCGGTGCCACAGTGCGAGAGCCATGCAGATTCTTCCTGGCGAGTTGTAAGAGTCTCGAGGTTCTGTGCGGGCGTAGGATCGTTGCGAAGCGTTTCGCGCGAACCATGTTTGCCACGAGCTACTATTTTCTTCGATTCCTCGCTCTGGTATACAGCGTTGCTACACAGCAGCATGACGAGAGTGAACAGCCTACAGGCCGCAGCTCCTCTTTGGAAGGAGTTCTGGAGTTCGCGGAGTCGTGTCAAAAGTCGGCAAACTCATGACCTAGATCCAGTGTGTTTGTCACCTTCTTGGGGCTTGGACCTTATGAAGGTCGTGGACTGCGTGTCTTCAGTAGGCAAGTTTGAGGTTTGAATCCGCTGCAGCTATGCTGGCATAATCTGTATATCTGTTTTGGCCAGTGTGGGCAGTGTTGTCATCATGGAAGCGACTTGAGCTTTCAGATTCGGAGGTGATTGGTATCGACAATGTCTGCCTATTGGACACCGTCACCAAAGCGGCGTTGCTGCAGACAGTCAGGGCCAGCTCCTCATTTCTTTGGATGGAACCCTGCACCTGCACAGTCACACCCAGCGTCATAGTGTTCGCAGTCCGTCAACTACCAGGCGAGGTTCAAGAAGCAAGTCATCTACACGTGGGTCTCGCGCATTCTCCTGGCAGTGAACCCGTTCCAGGTGTGCAGACTGGAAGGGACGACGTGCCAACTTCGAGTTTCTCGTGTGCAGGCTCTGCCTCTCTACTCCTCGGAGATGCTTGACAAGTACAGGCTTCTGCTTTTGGCCGTGGATTCCTGGACGTGCTCCTCATGAAAGCCCATGACTTGCCAGGTTCGCTTCCGAGCCACAGGCCTGGATCCAAGCCATGGAGGAAACTGCTCCAGCCAGAAGGATGCAAGATGATGCAAGCATGCAGAGGCCCTGCCGCCGCACGTCTTCTGCATTGCCGCAGATGCATTGCGCAGCCCCAAGACATCACATGTGTATTGGGATAAGTGCCAGGGAATCCCAGGACGCACTGAGTCGGAACGACAAGCAAACACGGAGAGATCAGCGTTGTGGGAAATCCGAATGATCCTGTAGGTGTAGGCCAGTTGTGATGGCCAGGTCGAACTTGCAGATCTCTCGGAAAGACCAGGCGGGTTTCTCTGAAAGTTGGCAGTGACCGCGAAGGATTGGCCCGCCCATGATTTATTGCATCTGTACAAATTGCGCGGGCAATCTTTCGAAGAGTCCCGAGCCGGCACAGGCGATTGTCATCAACGGAGAGTCAGAATCCCAGGGTGCAGTTACCGAGAAGGTGGTTTTCTGAGTCCGGTGGGTCACGAGGTCGGGAGCAGGTAAGACGGAGTCTGCCAAGCTTGTCATGTCCTACGTGGCCGAGGCCGTGGAAGATACAGATGCATAGCGGCGCAGCGCATGGCATACCAGACACAGCACAGCAACGACCTGACCTCGGCCAGGCTATGAAGTCTGCCGAGACCCAGGAGCCAAGCACCCAAATGGGTGTCTTTAGCGCTCTCTACCCCCACCTTCACTGAGCTTCGGGCGGGTCCGAGGCAACAGTCCCAAGGCTTCGAGGAGAAGGCGCGGCAAGCAAGCCCTTCAGAAGTGCTGTTCACGATCTTCCGTAGCTCACCGGAAGGTTCTTCGTACCAATCCCGTGATGGAAGCTTTCGGGAATGCTGCAGCCCTGGCCCTTCTCAGGTATGCTCACGGGCTCTGCAGGTTTTTGATCGATTGGGCTTGGATTTGAAGGACTGGCCATTCAAAATGGGAGTGTGTAAAGCCGGCGCTCGGCCAGACAATCGAGCTGCTTCAAATTGGGAATGTGAGCTCTTGCCATTCTTGTTGTCAGCTTTGCCCTGGCCGCACATTCAGCGACATGCGCTGAGGCGATGACGGTGCGGAACAACAACTCGTCCAGGTGCTGCAGACTGCCACTAACTACGCAATCCATCCTGCTGTCTGAGAAGTCTCCTGCAGCTGTGAATGAAGGTTTGTAAAATGGCTGAACTTCCAGCTAGAGGGCGACAGGCTCATTGGGCTGGAAGCTCAAAGCTATGCCCAGAGAACAAAGCAGAGCCTGTGCAAAGTGTGTTTCCCAGGTGTCAGATACAGCAATACCTCCTGGAGGTAGAACGGTTTCTTTGCTTTCCGTCTGCAAAGGATCGTGTAGCAATCCTGGCCCCGTTTGTCTGCATGTCATTGGAATCGCAGGGAACACGGGTGTGCAGCGTCGGAAAGGGCGAGCGGACCTACCACGTGTTTTTCCAGATGCTGCAGGCCGGGAGTGGATGTTTCAACGTGTTGCTACAAGAATGATGGCAAGCAAAGTGTGCCGGCCCGGCTATGAAGGCCCGTCGCTCGCCAGCTCCTCATTCCGAAACCGCCGCTGTGGCTCACTCCTTCACTCACGCACGCTCACTCTTGCTCATGTGCTTGGATTGTTTGCAGAACAGAGTTCGTCTGGCCCAGGCCCTTGCTGGAGAAGTTGGAGCTGGATGACCCAAGTGGTCAGAGACCGAGCATCAGCAGGATATCGTGGGATGCAAAGAGCGGTGTGGCACAGGCTACCGTTACACCAAAGCCGGGGAATTCGCAGGGACCTCAAGCTGCAGACAGGACAGAAGGCACGTCAGCCGTGATGAGAGATGCGGCCATGAGGCCGTGCCTGGCATGGACGACCTCCTCGGCTTCGAGGAGCTTCGTGAGGCAAGCCTGTGTGTGGTCACAAACGTACCCAGTGTGTGACACAGTAGGGTCAGTCGACAGGCTTTTGCTCCGCTGGGGATTGACGACACCATGCAGGCATCAGACGGTGTATTCTGTGCAATGCTGCGTGTATTTGGATTCCGAGCCGAAGCGCCTTGCAGCCGTTGAGTCTCAGCATGTCTGAGGCAGAGCTCTTCCGAGTGCTCGCAGCGGCTTTGCGCTTAGTCCGCCACTGTCCGGTCGCCTCCAGCCCGGCCCCCAACGACGCGACGATGCGAGTGCTCGTTTTGGGCAGGTGCTGAACCTGGGTAACTGCGCCGGCCTCGAGAGAGAAGTTGAGAAGTCTTGGGTCCCGCCTGTGGCCAAGGCACCTTCAAGTCCGAGTCCGAAGACAGGCGCCTGGCTGCACCTTGAAGTGCTGTCTCTCACCTTTTTTTCTTCTCCAAGCGGTCATGCCTTCTTGAAGGTTGGGAGCGGTCGCTTTCAGTCATAAGCATCGGGGGGGGGGGACATTTGCTAGCGAAACCACAGGTGGTTCCGCAGCATAAGAAGCTGCCGAATGAAAGTCAGCAGATGAAGGAAGCCTGGCGATCCCGAGCTCACAATGAAAGGATTAATAACATCGCGAGATGCAACAGTGCCAAGGTGGCAGTACAAAGCTTGGCAAACCAGTGAAACTTCTTGTCTGGTCGCGCCTGTCGACAGTTGCATGCCAACATTCAGCTACTGTTCATCAGCCCATCATCAAACACAGTCCTGGGGCATCTGCAGAACCCGACAGGGCCAATAGGTCAACATAGAATCAGGGTTTCGCGATTGCCGTTGCGGCTTCGGCGAGCAGTTTCCGGCAAGTCTATGGATGGAACAAGGATGCAACCCTATACGAAACCCTCTTCACCAGGCTTGGATTTGTCGATGAAGCACCGGTCCAACGTGCTGCCAAGCTGCTGAGTTTGCCGGTGGAGGCGCCTTGCACCGTCCGTCCGTCCGTCCGTGTGTGTGTGTGTGTGTGTGTGTGTGTGTTGTGTGTTCGTGTGGGACGTGCGGAAAGTGCAGATATGCCGGCCTCAGGATCTGAAGAAGTGCATGCTCGTGCGCAAGATTACCGTAGGCCTGCCTGTGCACTTGGCAGAAGTGGACAGAAGAGAGGACTGGTGTTGACAGGGCGTGACGTCATGGAGTCTCCACAGCGCCAAGAGCAGGACCGGTTGTGGGGTAGAGAGAAAGAGATTCAAATTCATTTCAAGCTCTGCAGCCAGCTTGAATCATCGAGTCTGCATTTGGTAGTGCTCGTATAGCAGGCCAAAGCGGCTTTTTCAGCATCAGAGAGACAAGCCAATCTGCCTGCGAGAAAGACAGCTACAAGTACCTTGCCGCGGTGCTGCACACAACTGGCGTCGGAAGACCCATCGATGCCAACCTGGTAGTGTGTCGCAACGATAAGAGCTTGCCCCTCCTGCTACAAATACAACCGAGATCAAAGTCGTGTGGACTTCAGACGAACGCCCCCGCAGCTGAGCAGGCGATCGCGAGCCGGGACAGTTTGAGCAACCCGGCGCTTGTAGATTTCGTCGATGCAGCTTCCGAGCTTCTCCAGCTGCTCCATTATGATGGGCAGCCCAGGCAAATGTCTCTATGTGCAGCTGTTCGCTTGGGCTGTGGATACCATCAACCGCACACTGTACGTCAGAGGCCGAGAACACCCCGGAAGTAGATCCTAATCTTTCTCGGTGGTAACGGTATGTCACGGTCAGTTACCGTTCCTCTGTCTTTGCCCAAGCTAGAAAGGTCAACGATTCGCCGAGGACTGCCGTCCGTATGTTTGCAGTGTAGTTGTGGCCTTTTGTAGAATCCTGTGCGTGCGCCTTTTGCGAAGGGCACATGACAAGCAGAGGCAGTACCTGGGTATCCTCGATATTGCCCTGTCCCAAGTCTGAGTGGCAGGTCTACCAGTCTAACAGACAGCATGCGCTAGCCCTTTTTGCCAATTGGTTTGAGCTTCTCGCCGCAGCGCCGAGCCTCCGCTATTGGAGCAGCTGAGGCCGGCTTCGAATGCACCGATCTCAGAGAATTCTTGTCTTGAAGGGTTCAATCGAGTGAAATACTTGCAGCTGCAGGCTTCGATCATAACTCCTTGGAGCAACTTCTGATCAACCTATGTAATGCCGCTCAGACAAAGTCAGTACATTCAATCTTGGACAGGCATGAACAGAGTTGTTCTCGGAGTCTCGCCAGGAACATCTCCAGCAGTTCTTCAACACCTTCGCGGCTCGTCAAGGTAAATAGAAGCACTCGAAAAAGTAGCACCTGATCTTGCCCATTAGATCGGTTCGAACTCCAAGTCTGCAAGGTCTTCCGGTCCGAGCTAGACGATTACGAGAAGGAAGGCATGCTTGATGATACTGGCCCTCTGCGAATATCTGCGCATGGTGCCACCAATGTGAGAGCACTGCATGTGAATTGCAAGATTCGCAGGCTTGAAGTTTCAGTGCGACGTGAGCTTCACTGACAATGCTGACGTGCCCAGTAAGATTTCAGACTTCTGGCTACTGGATGCAGCAGAGTCGTCATGTCTCCCGAAAGGCACATGTGTCTAACTGAACCATACTCATTCTGCGTCAGGTGCTTCAGCTTGTTGATGGTCGCGGTGGTTTGCTGGATATGTTGGATGAGGAGGCACGGAGTCGCAGAGCAGCTGCGCCGCGGTGTGAGTTTGCAAGGTGCATGTTACTGCGACAGGTCGTGATGCCGAAAGCCACTGATGAATCCTATGTGTCCAAAGTGAAATCAGGCAATAAGGGTGGTGGTCCTTGGATTTAGTGGCACAGTAGCACTCCCCCAGTGACTGTGTTCGCAGGTCACTCAAAGCATCAGTGTTTCGTGCTCCCAAAGATCAACAGCCGAGTCAAGTTCGGAGTGTGCAGCCCGGTCTCTTCCCGTAGCAGCGCCCCCTATGTTTCGGAAACCCCACCCCCCATTGAGGTGAAGCACTTCGCAGGCGAAGTATCTGGCTCAGATCAGCGGCTCACTGTTGTGGCTTTCTCCGATTCTATTCTAACCAAAGAACGTTAAAATTCCAAAAACCTTATAACCCTATTATTCTCAGGTGACATACAATTGCGAGGGCTTTCTGCAAAAGAATGCGGACAAGCCGCCGGACGACTTTATGAAGCTGCTGTCAGTCTCAGAGCGCCTGGAACTGAAATAGCCATCGGAGTTTGCAGATGTGAAATTCGACTTTGCGCAGGCTTGACCTCCTGAAGCAACTGTCGATGGATCCTGGGCAGGAGGTGCATCTAAACGTCAGCAGATGCTTAGATAACCCTCCAGGAAAGCCCGGCGATGCCCGATGCCCCACTCCGGAACCAGGCTGCCGCGCCCGCGAAGGCCTCCAGCCGGAAGCCGAAGTCAACGTCATCCAAGCAGCCCGTCTGGTTTTGAGAGCCGAGAAAGAAAGCCCAGAGCCTCCTTGAGGGTAGCATGCCCAGGTTTCGTTCCTCTTTGCGGACCTTGGTTGGCAAGATCAGCTCTTCGGATCCACATTTCATCAGGTGCATCAAGCCCAACTCTCAGAAGGCTCGCGGGTCTGCGCTGCAATCCCATCCGTCTCCTTGCTTGCCACGAGATCTCCGGTCCATGCCTGCAGGTTCCTGGCCAGTTTGATTCACGGATGGTGGGTCTGGCCTAGGTTCGTCGTATCACTCAGAGAACCGCATCAGACGGACATATGAGCCAGGTGCTGGAACAGCTGCTGTTCAGTGGAGTCTTGGAAGCAGCAGGAGCCCCAACAAGGTGAAGACAGTGACATTAGTGTTGCACAGAAGTGTGGTAGAGCGTTTGCAGGTTCACATCCGTCAGCAGGGCTATGCTTCGCGGCTGTCGTATGTCGACTTCTTGAGCAGGCCAGCAGCCACCGTCCAGTTTTGCACTGCTGGAGCCTCTCAGCCCAGAGGTATGCCAGCCTGGCCGCGCCCAGTGCCCATCAGGGGAATGCGAGCGCAGCTGGGACAAGATACGATGTCGGAGCGGGCCGCTCTTTTGTGACCGCCCTGGTCCCAATTAAGGAACTGGCCAGTCACTTGAACGAGAAGTTGTCTCTGGACATTGAAGTGGGCAAGACCAAAGTGTTCATGAAGGCGTTCGTGGCAGCAATAAAGCCGGGATCTCCCGAATATTATTCGGGGAGTTCGGGATAGGATGCACCAGACCTCTTGAGGGGCCTCCTTGACGATCCTGCTTGTGGATGGAGCTGGCATGCCTTCTTTTCACACACGTGCCAATGACGGCAGACGCGTTGGGAGCTACAGAAGACACTAATCTCCCAACTGTGGATTTGCACGCGTGCGCGCGCGTTCACACGCGTGGGCGGCTGTGCAGTCTTGAAGTTGTCGGCTGTGGCAATTTTCAGATCGGTTTGAAGGCATTGTTGTGCCTGCTCGTGTGGAGGCGAATGCAGCCAACGCCCTGGAGAAGCAGCGGGGATTGAAGCAACCGGCTGAGCTGCCCTTGCTGTTGCCCTGTCTCCGTCCAACCTTCCAGATCTGCTCTCCTGCCTCGTTCCATCCCGCGCTTTCTCTGTATAATACGTATCTATATATGATATATATGTATATGTACGTGTACATGTATGTCTACATGTATATGTACATGTATATGTATATGTATGTGTATATATACATACTTATGTGTATACTGCCAATACTGGCTATCTGAAAATTGGTTCATCAAGTTATGTGATCAGATTTTTTGTCTACTTCGCTCATCCTCGCTCTCTCGCTCTCTTCCCTGTGCGTCCGATCTATCTATTTGTCTACCTTGTTCATGTCCTAACGCCCTCTCTCGCTGTCGTTCGCCCTCCGCCTCTGTGCCCTCGCGTCATGTCGAGACGATGATCAGACAACCTGTCGCGACCCTGATCCCCGAGGCGCGCGCAGATGGCCATCAAGTTGCAAGCCATCGTGCGAGCGAGGCTTGTTCCCAAGTGTGTTGCAGCGCATGTACCCACGCAGCGCATGAAGGCTGATGGCTGCACAATCTTGAGTGTTTAAGTCTCGATTTTACCGCTCAGACCGGTGCAATCGTGTGCACAAGTCACGAGTCGTTTTGACAACCATCTGTGCAACGTGACATAATCATAATCGAAATCTTATTCAATCCTTGTGCAGACATGTGCAGACTGCACAAACTTCCACCTGTGCTCAGCAGTCTAGCATAAACATAACCTGGCCGCCGACCTTGCGTGAGAGGGTGGAGCAGGAGCTTAATCCAAGCTTTGTTGGAGATTGGGATGTTGAAGGCTGCTCGAGTAAACAGGGCGATCACGCGTGGTTAGTCTAGTCAGTGCACTCTTCCTTTCTGCCCGTGCTATGCTTTGGCGTTGCGGTGACGGCAGGTTCGCCAGACATCGCTTTACTGCAACACGACCTACGATGAAGGCACTCATGGACTGCTTGAGGCAGGCAGAGCGGCAGAGTTCTGGCCCTCGTTCGCAGTTACCTTCGGTAGGTTGCATCATGCAGCGTGGTGTAGTGACACCCGGGTGCAGGCGGATTGATTGGGATAGCCGCAAACCTGAAAAGGATCAGCTGGGAACTCGACTTTTCTCTGAGACATGAGATGGAGGGATGCTGGAGAAGAGTCGCTTGCAGAGGCCCATACCGCTGTTGGTGAAGCTGGGTGCAGACGTCAGGTCCCCAGATGGCCCTATCGATGTCTGTCGAGGATTGTGCAGGGCTCATGAGAGATCATGGCCTAGGCCTAGCTAGGCTTGATAAAAACAAGAATCATGGTTCATCCTACTTGTGCCGGAGATTCAGCTAACATAGGGCAGCTGCGAGAGTCCCTCAGGCCAGGGCATTCTCGGGAGACTTGGAGCAAGCCGAGAAAGCTCTGCTCTGGACCTGAGCCAGATGTGAGAAAATGTGTCTTCTGCCGCATCCTAACCGCGCTCCGCTGAGGCCACATCTACCCTGCTCGGACAGGCTGCGATCCATCTCCCAGGCCACCTTCAGATGCAGTTCTGGAGAGTAGGCTTTCGCTCGTGCGATTGACCCGCATGCCGCTTTCCGCCGTGTGCGAGCAAAGGCTGCGTCGAGCCGCCTGGCGAAGGACATTCCGCGTCGGTCTCTCGCCGAGCATGAGCCAAGCTTTCGAAGCCAGGAACTGCAGTGCATGGAGCAGCTGGAGGCTTTGGTACCGGCCTCGGCTGGACAAGTCTTCGAGACGAGCCGTGTGGGGAAGTCGGCAAGAGGCAAAAAGCACAGACGCCGTGGAGATCGAGAAAGCCTTAGCCAGAGTCCGGGACCCAGGGGACCCTCCCGGACCCTGCAAGCCTTGGCAAGGCTATGTTGCGAGATGTTCCGAGTTTGTCGGGATGCTGTCAGGGGGCTTATGATTCGCTATAATAATTGCCATATATGCGCCAAGCGGTCTGCACAAAGACATAGAGAGCCACGCTGACCGCCAGAAAAGTCCGAGTGTGCTCACACGAGACATCACGAGACGCGAAGTGCCCTGTCACTCTAGCTACAAGGCCACCTCCTTGCAGCTGCCACCGACGAGCTTGACACAGGAGCACCTTCCGCTCCGCTGCAAGGAGTGGGGGTGTAATGGACTAGCCCTGAAACTCATGCCTTGTTAACTTGCTCTTGTCCCACCTCGTCTCGCTGTTTTGCAGGCGCTTCAGGTTCAAGTGCCGCTGGTGGAGGTGCAAGCAGCAAACAGGGAAGTACAGCAAAGCCGGAGTCCTGAAGGCCCTGCGCGCGGCATCAGATGAAAAGAATCTGGAGTTACTCATCCGCATCATTGAGGAGGCAGGACACAAGCACAATCGAGGGCATCTCCAGCACATGCTTGGATGTTCGCAGAGAGCGCATATCTACCAGGTGAACAAGAAGGGATTGAAGCTGGATCCGACAGGCACGTTCCAGCCTGGAGCACGCTGTCATTGTGCAGTGTATGCGGCTTGCATTGCAAAGTTGCGAAGGGTGGCTACCCGAGCTTGCGGTCGGCGAATTGCTCCGACAGGCGTGTCCGTTGAACGCCACTTGCAAGCCCCCCAGAATGCTAAAGCTGGAACCCGTCGATTGCTCAAATGATTCTTCCTCACTGGGTAATTACAAGTGTAGGTCAGCGCTAGAAGTCAACAAAAGATGTTGCGATTGGCCACGCATGATGAATCATGATGATGCTCCTCTCTGTCACAGAGTCCCGCACTACGAAGCGTTCAACCGCCTGAATCGAAATTTGCACTGGTGACGACAGGGAGTGAGTCAAGGCTGGAATGCTCTTCCCCTCCGCGACAGGGATCCGTCACTGTTCCATCCGAGCGCCTGCCTTTGTTCTTCTTAACACTGGCCGCTGATCGTGTTACCCAATGCAGTGAGGGGAGGTGCGTTTGGAATAGGAACCCAAATTGACGAAAGACTCCGTGGCCCTTTCCAACTGTTCGGCAGGTGGATGCGCAGCGCTTGAAGCACGAAGCGCAACAGAAACTAGAAGCGGAGACCAGGCAGAGGCAGCAGCAGCAGCAGCAGCAGGAGCAGGAGCAGCGGCAGCAGCAGCAGCATCAGCAGCAACTTCATGCCCAACCTGCACCAGCTGCAACCATGCAGCCAGCCCATGTGCGTGCATCCAGCGCAGAAGGTGCATCACCTGTGGGGCGTTTGCCCACCACACAGCATGCAGCACCTCCACAAAGTGCATCGCCTGGCCAAGCTGATGCCAAGGGGCACGGTGCTTGGCATGGCAAGAGACTATTCAACATCCGAACGATGCTGAATGATTGCTTAGCCGCACTGGTAAGGTCTACCGGTGATAGACGGCGCCGGCCGACGATTACAGGAACCATCTTGCTCGTTTCAGAGATCTGTTTGAGGAGCCTCTTCTGCACATGTTGTGCAATTCCGATATTCGTACCTCAGGATTCAGCTCCTTTCAGCAGGCGCAGCTTCTTGCGACCCGGCCGAACCTTTTTTGTCTGCCAGGCACCGTAAATCTCGGGGCAGAACCCAGAGCCCAGGCCAGCCTGCGAGCTGCTGCGGAGAACTTGGACTCAGCCGGGCCAGCCGGGTTGGAGCAGTTGCTCCAAGAGGCGACGCGCAACGGCATCGAGGAGGCCGAGCTCAAGGCGGGCGGAGCTGCTGTGGGATCAGCTGTTGGCTTTTGCTTCACTCCGCCGCTCCGCGAGGAGTACCACAAGAAGATGTGCGATTTGCAGAACGAGGCCTTCCTTCGGCAGGCTGTGGAACAAGTTCTGGAGGAGGTCAAGGCCCGGACCGTGGATTGTGCTGTCCGCTGTCCTTTCTGTTGGCATTGGGTGGCAAGCTACCAAAGGCAGAGTGTCCTCCACCAAATGCACTGCCTCGTGACCGAGAAATTGATTAAGTGTAGTAACGTCGTGGTTTTGTCGTCTGATGGATTGTTCGCAAGTGTTGCCTGCAGTGACCTCCGAGGCAAAAGCTGCAGAACTTGTCACACCAACTGCGAGTGTTGCACGGCGATGCCGAGCTCATCAGATCAGCATCGCAAGCAGTGCAGCCACTCGCTGCAGTTGGCATCCTGCAGGATGATGCGCCATGCTTCGCATTGTAGCGACTGCCAGAGTGTGGCAAGGCAGGGGACTCGGCGGCGAACCAAAAGCATCGCCCCAGCTCGAGACGGCCGCCGGGCGAGTGCCTTCGATGCGGATGCCTCGGCGCTGAGCACAGCATTTTCAAACCCGACAGCTTTCAGTGGCCCAGGTGAAGAGCTCGGAGGAGCTGCGGGTGGCCTGCGAAGCCTTCAGCGACCTCAGCTCTTTCTCCAAGCTGAAGAACGAAGGCTCAAAGAGCGGCGGTGCGGTGCCTCTCGTGGAGAAAATGCAGAGCACCCATTGGCCCATCCTGAGATTGCGAACTCTTTCGGAGGCGCATGGAAGGGCCATCGAAGCAGCGTCCAGTTGGAGTTGGCTCCTTTCGCTGGGCAGATGCTGGGCCATTCGAAGGCCTTGGGAGCGCAGCCGCATGGAGTGACATGAAATGACATTGTCGCTTGAGGTGACGATCGCAGAGTCGTTGACACACCTTCCAAAGTCGCGCGAGGCTACGGCTACGTGCAGCCACGGTTCATTTCTGACTCAGCTGCATGATGCTAGGCTGCGGCCATTCAGACCTTCCGAAACATTCTAGTATGGATGGGGGATCGCCCAGCACAAGAGTGCCAGCGAATCGCAAGCGTTGGCCTCAGCAGCATGCCGATGGCAAGAGCAGCAACACCTGTCCCTGTTGAGATGCACAGGCAGGGAGAGCGTCATCAACACGGCACCCTGTCCAAACCTAGTTGGTTCTTCGGATGCTCGCCTCTCAGCTGTAGAGCAAGTCCACGAGGTTAGCTCAGATCCTTTCATGCGCGATGAAACCTTCGTTCAGATCTTGAAGCACCCCAGCTGGAATTCGATGACCTCTTCAGTGACACTCTTGCCGCAGCCGCTTTCCTTTCCCATGCAGAGTTCTGCTCGGACCAGGCAGCTCAGTGGCAATCCATCAGCCCGCTCCGAGTGGCTGGGTTGGCAGCTGCTTTTGCAGCACCTCGACCACATCCATTTCAGTGGGAGTGGCTAGGGATTTGATATGATTTGATTCGGTGTTGTTTTCATCTTCATGCTGCTGTAGATGTGGTGCGGCTCGGTGAAGTCAAGTCTTCTAAGGCTGTGCCATACCACACCACCAAGTGATGAGCCGCTCTTCTGCACCTACTTGTAGTTGGATGAGAGAGTGCATACTACGTTGCTGACCAGGCTGGATGATTTCGTGCGCTTCTTCTGCGCGCAGGCCGCCAAGTTTGCAGGGCTATTCCGAACGTAGCACTGGGAAGCTGAGCCAGAAAACCTGATACTCTTAAGGAGCCTTGTGAGCAAGGGTAGCCGGAGCACCGCAAGAGCCTGCTGCCCTGAGAAAACGAGTGCGGCGCCTTTGAGCTCTGGCGATGCACGCGCCCTGGAGCTGGAAAGAATTGCCCGAGAATGCTTGGAGGCACAGCCACGGCATCGATCATGACTCGTGAAGTAAAAGCTAGAAAGTTGGAATATGATTATCCTAAACCCTTTATGGTAAATTATAAGGTATCCTACCCTGAAACCATATTCCAACTTTCTGGAGTTCCCTTTAGGAGGTATGAAGGTCCACTTGCAGTGTTGCAACCCTCCTGCAAGGCATTGACGGCTGCAGCGCCCACCAAAGGCACAGATGATGATACATCTGGAGACATGGTCGGTGTGCTGGTGTACTTAATAGACGGCTCTTCTCAGCCACTTGACAAACAAGCAGCCTATGTTGGTGGGCCGTGCCATCCTGTACCATCGGTGAGCATTCCTGCACTTCGCCTCAAGGAATTTGTTCGTGCCGGTGGCAACGACTCTCAAAGAGATGTCTTCCCTAATGGGAAGCAGAGTCGGTGTGAAGCACTGGCGGGACTTTGCATTCTTCCAAGCGACTGGCAAGGCTGAGTCGCTCAGGCACGAGGGACGTGTGCACAGCAAGCCTGGTGTAAGGACATCTCCCAATCCGTGGCAGGATGCTTCCAGACATCCTTCCCGTGTCGGAGCTGATCAGCATGTGGCAGAAGATTCGCGAAGCTACTGGCTTGGCAGGCGCGCAGGCGGGAAGCCAGAAAGAGGTTCTTAAAAACCTGACACCTGAGGCCACCTGCACTGGCGGCGGCGGTTTCTGCTACCTCAGGCCTGCAGTTTCGCTCGCTGCTCGGCTCTCGAGTGACGATGTCGAGGTGACGGCCACCTGCAAAGCTAGGTTTCTCAATCCGTTTCGACCCCGCTGCACACGGACACTCCGAAATCGGAGACATCGGAGACCTCATCCCCAAATCGTCCAAAGTAAATCAATCCCGTGTAATTCGAGATCACGGAGCAAGCATGTGCAACAACGCACACAGGCAGGGTGTGCGAGTTTCGGCCCTGAAGTGAAGCTGCGCAGCGCAGAACGGATTCCTCCCTAAGCCCCAAAGCCCAAAGCCCTACTCAGACTCATCCCTGTTCGAAGTGGGAGTTTCGGCCCGGACTCTGTGGCAGGAGATGCTCCAGGCAGGAGATCTGCATCACGCGGCTCTCACTTTTCGGCAGGCCTCGGCAATCCTTCTTTGTGTGGGACGTCTGCCTTTTTGAACGGCGGACTCCGCAACTGAGTCGCTTTGTGTGCTTTTTCATGTCAGGCGGTGCGCAGCCACTTGCACCGGCCTGCTCCCTGAGCCTTGTCGGCACTTTCAGACTCAGGCATAGACCCACAGGCTCCGGTACTGGGTTCAAATCCCGTCACGGGTAGAAACCCTGCTCCTTGGTCTAAGACTGCATTGCTGGAAGGCCTGAGTAAACAGCAAAAGGTTCAAGTTCATCTGTTCTAAACTCTTGTTGCAGTGTTTGCTGGAGCTATATCCTCCTCATACCGTAGTATCAGTGCATCGTTCCCCCATGATATAGAGTCTGTCTGTACACAAAGCCGAGACTGCATGCACGATGTATGATGTCATGTCTGACTACTACTACTTTATATTATATATGTACACACACACTATTATATATATATATGTATGTATAATTATATGTGTATATGTATATATATATATATACACACACATATGTATTATGTTAATTATTTGCTATACATGATATATTACATATTACATCTCATATATTGTACTATATATATATATATATACATGTACTATATATTATATATACAGATATAAATCGCAAAAACCTTAGCAGTTCCGGGTCCTTGTGCTGCGGAGGTCAGGCTGGGGGCGAGGCTGAGGAGATGATGACGGCCGCCGCCCTTTTATGGTTGGAGAGCTCCATGGCAGCCAAAGGGCTGAAAATTGTTAAAGGCTACGAAGGCTACACCTGCTTCCATGCAAGAGATGATCGCCTAATCTTGCTTGGCAACATCCATTCGGCCGCGAGGTTATAACCCATTGCAACAGATCAAGGATAACGACAGGCTTGTTCACGAGCTCCTGAAGGCCAGTTCGAGCTCTCGAAAGAAAGGCGATTGCTGAATCGATTCCGCTCTTCAGGGGCAGATGAGCGGCTTGAAACCGACGCAGCAAGATGCTGTCAAGCAGCGCCTGCAAGCAAAGGCCAGACCTTTGCCGCGCCCCTTCTTCCGGGCTCCTTTGGTAGTCTCCTTAGCAAGTCTCCTTGTCAGGTCAAGGACTTGCGAAAGGAGTATGGGCCACGGGTTCCACAACTGCAGCGTATGACGAGAGCTTTTGCCCTGATGACACTCGGATAAAGTTCATGATGGGTCTAATGGCAGCTCACGTCATGACACGGATGCTTGGGATGCTCCTCGGACCTCAGGCGCTGCTTTCCGCATTTTGGTACCCAGCACTGGCCGGCCAAAGGGATCTCTGCAGCCAAAGTGGCCTGGCCCAGTTCGAGAATTTGGTAACGTGAGTCGTTGAGCGATGGAGCGACGAGAGCAAGTGAGGTTTATGCTGCGGGAACCATGGCGGTAAGCAATCCGCCAGAGAAGTGCTCTGCTCTGCAACAGGATCGCCCGAACTCGCCTGCGAGTAGATGTGCATTAGTAACTCTAGTAGCAGGCCACCGACTGAAGCTGAGACGCTTCATTGCTTTGATGGTAAACTATGGCAAGCCCTGAAGCCGAAATCATGCTGAAGCCGCAGTCCCTGTGCTGCAGCTTTCTTGCTTTCTTACGTTGCTCCCGAGGTATTTGGCGCTGCACTTGCGCCAGACGGAGCCGGAGCTGTGGATTTTCGTCGATACCTTCGGCTTGCACCTGGCTCCGGCGCTGGCGAGTCGAAGCACGGCATGAACAAGTTTGTAGCTTGGGTTCACAAGCGGTCCATCCTTCAAGGCTGGTACCTTGAAGGCTCGTCCCCTCATGGCTTGGCACTTCGATTGTGTTGCTTGTCCAAGACACAAATGGGGCAGCGCTGTGGAGCTTTCTCTTCCAAGACACCACTTCAGCGTGCTGCCGGCTCTGGTTTTCCCCATCTCACGCTCACGCCTCGAGAGCTGAAGTCATCACGGCTCGCATTCAGTCCCTGTCCCTCATGGATATGCCGTGAGCTGAGATCGGAGAATGTGTGAGCTGGGCCAGGTCTGGCGACAGCGAAGTCCAGGATGACGCTGGTTCGAGCACGCCCTCAAGCGCGAAGCTTGCCTGCACAGCAGCTTGCTTCAGCAACGCGTGAGCCCTTGCACTTGGTTTGTCGGTCGAGGTTCCGCAGGAGATCGCTCAGCGAGTTGGTAGCATCCGATGACGGTCTTGTGCCCAGCATTACAGCGGCCGGAGGCCCTGAGGCACACACGGAGCGAGCATCGCTGGCACAGCTTGCCTGTGCTGTCATTGCATCTTGTGGAGACACTTCCCGCCACACGCTACGCTATGCTACGCTTTTTAGGTGCCACTACGCCGTCTGCCAGACGCAACCTTCGATTACCCAAGCAAAGTGGGCGGTTGCTTCGCAGCTTAGCTCGCCTTGGAAAGACAAAGTGCCCTTGCGGTGCACATGACCGAGTCTGCAAGACATGCTCAGCTTGGAAGTCAGGATGGGGTGCCAAGCCTGGTGCGCTGCAACTTGTAGTGCGTCTTGGCTTGTTCAGCAATCTGAGCCCGGGAAGCAATCGTCTGCAACAAGCTTAGGCACCAAGTTCCTGTAGTAGTTTGGCTTAGTGCATGACAGTGTTTGCATAAGCTTCGCTTGGAAATCGGAGCAGCAGCTGCCACAGCCACGGCTGATGTTTTGAGTGGCACATGTTTGGACTGAGGCACAGTGCTGATCTGGGGCGGTCGGCTCCAAAGCTGCCGCAGCTGGTAACCCTCGCGTGCCCGGACGCTTTGGATGCTCGCGTGCCCGCAAGAAGCTCCTGAAGTGGGTCTGCCTTCACCGTGGTGTCAAGGTGACAAAATAAAATATCGTCTTCTTTCGAGTCTTGTGGTGTCCTGCGCCAAGGCCGCCTTTGTTGTACATAGCGCGCTCTGCGAACTCCTGCAGCTGCCGACGACATGTTCTTAAAAAGAGTGGCGCTCTCTGTGGAGCTGATCAGCTGATCGCAGCTGTCGTTCGTGGCGTGCTTACCCTTTTGTTACTTCCTGAAACCATCGGCCGAAGAGGGCCAACGGACTGGCTGGTTCCTGCAGCTTTCCTGACCGATGGAGAAGAGCATCAGGAACTTCGCCTGTGTTTTTCACATCTTCTACACTTACATCACATCGGGCCGTTAGAAGAGAGAATCAGTATGTTGAAATTGCGAAAAACCTATCGCTTTTTAGGAGGGTCCTGCCGCTTATCGAGTGTTTCTTTCGGCCACATCGGACATGCTTTTTGCGGGTGCTACTGCGCTTACTGTAAATGCTTGCAATGCTCGCATGTAGGTGGTCGTGCTGATGCTCAGTGCACGCAAAAACTGCCCGGCTACAGCTACAACCTTCGCCGCCTTGCATGACGCGGCAAGGTGCCCGCGGAGCCCTTGCAAGACGTGCCTGCTGCCCTTCTCAGCAGTGCTCGCCGACGCTGCCTCGCTCAGGCTTTGCGGACTGCCCGGCGTGGCACCGCTGCTGACTCGAGCTGCTTGCGCCGCATGCGGATACATGCGGCCAACCTCCTCGCAGCCGCACGCGTCTCTGCGGACGTCGTAGCTGTAGCTACCATACAACACAGCTTGGCCGGATGCCCTCGCCAGGTTCCGCGTCACGCCGCAAACAAATTGCTGGGTGTACAGAGATGGAGTTCTAGGATTTCGGTCCACCAGCGGCGCAGCCAACCAGCAGGGCGCCGGGTGGCAGGATCCCGCTGAGCTCGGAGTCGCACGAGCTGACGAGACGGAGCGACTCAGCACTCCTGCGCTCTTGCGCCTTCAGCGGCGATGGCGGCCAGGCGGAAAGCGGCTGGGGCCGCCCCTCACGCGTCAGAGGTGACACGAGTGTGACTTCGCACATCTTCGCACTACTCGCAAAGCGCTGTAGCCCCGTACACGACAAATTTGAGGCCACGGCGATCGGCTGACATGGCTCGACGTCAGGGCGGACATGCGCGCAAGCCATTTTTGCGGGACGATTTGGCCCTCGGGTGTGGTGAGAGCCTCACGCGCGATATCGCGCGATGCGCACCCACGCGTGCTCGAGGGGCTGAGCTCTGCGGGAGAGCAATCCAGTTCGAGGCACGCGGCGTGGTGGTCACCGTAGGCGTCGACAGTGGCACAATCAATCAGGTGGCACATGCACATTGCGGCGCCTTCAGCGCCGGCCTAAACCCTGGGTCTTGGACACCAAAGCAGCAGAATGCACCACAACTAAATCTCGACGCCTGGCAGCGCAAGGAATTAAACAGCGTACAGAACTACACAACACCGGTCAGGACATTCGCCACTAGGGTCAACGAGAACAGCAGCCGGAAATCAACTCCACACCGTCAGAAACTGCTCAACCTAGCCCCGGATGGCCACTTCGGCTCCTGCAGACTTATAAGGCTGCAGAGCTTCACAAATGCAATCCGCTAAGGGCTTGGGGCAACAAACAAGAGCACGGAAGGTAAGTACAGTGCCGGTTGGTGGCACGGTGGGTGGTCACATGGCTGCGACGAGGCTGCGCACCTACAAAAATGCGACTGAGCGCTCCCTTGTGATCCCATCACTGTCAATCCACTGCTTGATGTTTTGCATGCCGAACCGCAATTGTGAGCCAATCATCAAGCCTTTGCACTGTCCCTTTGCAGGGCCATTTGCACGTGTGCGGCATTGCAAAAACTCCCGAGCAGATGATGACCAGGAAATGTTCACAACCGTGTGCAGTATGTTTGGGTGCTCCCATGGCTTGGCCCTTCAGATGTTCACGGCGTCCCAGAACAGCTTCATGACCAGGGTAACCAGTGCCGTCGTCCTTGTCGGGATTTCTGAAAAGGCACCTTCGTGGCCAAAAACTCAGTTTGGTTCTGCAACTGCTCCTTGACGTTGTGCCAAGACGATGCACGGCTTTGCGGTCTGGACCAGCGACTGCAGCGACAAGGCGTACGACTTGAGGCTCATGGGCTCCCTGATGTGTGCCGAAGGCTCGCGGGAGCGGAGCACGCTGACGATGACGGCCCGCGCCTTGGGGCCCGCGATCGTCTCCGCCGGCCACTCCATACAGGAGTGAAAGAGGATCAGGTGGAGCACTGCAAAGGGAAGCAACCAGCACGCCGTGGATCACGAGGAGGGTGCCGCCCAGGAACCAGATAGGCGGTTCCGACAACGTAGTGCCCATTTTTTCTGCAGATAATGTAAATATGCTGAATAAAGTATTATAGTAGCGAAACCAAACAAACAACCCGGCCTAAGGGAGCAAAGCCAACCATCAATGACTTTCAGCTTGTTTTGCTGAAAGGGCATCGAGCAGCAGCCTTGTACACTGGTTTTCTGAGAGCTCCACCCAGCTATACCCAGCTTGCTGAAAATCCGAGAAAACGCCCACCATAGCGGAGCAATTCTCCAAAATGCCTGTGAGTGCATTTCCTGAAAGCAGATGGTCCGCGCTGTACTGTGACATCAGCAAAAAAAAGCAAATGAATGCATTGGCCAGCCTGACCGGAGAAGTCGCGCCCGCGGACGCGCGCTGCCGTGCTTGGCGAGTGGCTGGCAAAACCTGCAGGACAAATACTCTGGCCGGATCTTCATGGGATCTTCCGCAAGGTTCGGCAAGCATGCCTTCTTCGGAGGGTGCGGTTTCCGCTCCTGTATTTCCGCCAGCGCCGAGTATTCCAGTTGCCGGATATGCTTTTATCATGTTCGGCTGCATGCTGCATACAATCTGCGCGGACTGGAAACGAAATTTGGACATACACTGGGTTGCAGTCCCGCGGCTTGTCATCGAAAGTGGCCACCCCCGGCGTCTTGGCTTGGCAAAAACATGTGTGGCGCACGCCATGACCTTCGCCGTGCGGCTGGCTACGAGTGGCAGGGCGGATTCTGGAAGGGGATGCTATTGCGACGACGCTGTTCGCAAGCAGCTGTACTCCGCGTTCTTTGGTGTTCAACCTTGACTTGGCGTGCTTTCCAAATCGCACTGCAACCCGAGAACATTGCCAATTGTATGGGCAGCTCGACGGAAACCCTTCAACCCACGCTCATTGTGGGCGGTTGATGACAGTTCTGCTTTCGCGGTCCGCCGAATTGCTTTTGGGCCAGAAGCACCGGCAACAGCAGAACGCTGAGGCACCCTGCATTTGCTCCTCCGGTGTGAGAACGTGTTGGACGGGTGGCGTGCCAAGTGCTGGACCTGGATACATACCATGCCACCATGAGAAGATCAATGGTTTCCGGAATTTTCCGGAGAACGCTAGCGCCATTGCTTCACCTTGTCATTTGGGCACAAACGTTACCTTGACCTCGTCTGGAAACGGCGCTATCGCGTTCACACTCCCACGCTTCGGGTCAGATGGGCTATTGCATTTGGCATCCCAACACCGGCAGCATCTTGCCCAGCTTCGGAAGGGTAGGGTGCTGCGGCGCCACCAGTTGGCCTTTACTCGCTGCACGCTCCAGCTAGAATCTTGCGGCCGTGAAGTCAGTCGGAACATGGGTTTGAGAAAAAACCCGGTTATAGAGATTTAAGAGCTGGTGGCCCTATATGTTGGATTCACTGTAAAACGATAAGGAATAAATTTTAAAGATAAGATATCTGTTTTCTCTGTCAGCATATCTCAGTATGGCAGGGATGTACAAGTAATGCAAAAGAACTCTCAAACCCCAAGTAAACGCAGCAGACGTTTTCAACGCAGCAAAGCTGCTTCAAGAATCCTGCAATGTTGGTGCTGAGTCATATCGAGTGTTTTGGCCTGTGGTTCTTGTGGTCATAGGAAACAAGACGAAAGAGTCCTCCTCACCCCACAAGAGCCCAGGTCAGACTAGCAGACGCCTGAAAGCCAGAAGCTAATCAACAAATCTACATCGTTGGCATTCGAGAACTGTGCTTCCAACTTCCAAGTGTGGCAAGTGTATATCTTGACCCTAAAATCGGTTCGCGGTAGTGAGGTTTAAACGATAACCAAAACGATAACCCGAACGATAAGGTTTGGGATCAGAAATTGTGCTTTGTATAGAGTCAGTACTAAACGATAGGAAGCATCCGGATCGAATGAATGCGTGCAAAGCGAGTGCGCATTACTGTTACCACTACTCTTATTAGTATTGTTACCATTGATATGAACACTACTAGCATTACTACTGTTATTCTTACTCTTGAATTTTTATTGTGAATGTATTGGTATTATCATGACTAGTACTATGGTTATGACTATTGCGATTAACTAGTGGTGCTATTATTATTACTCTGTCCATTACAATTACTATTGCTAGTACTATTGCTATCACGACTAGTCACTACCACTATCACTATTACTATATACCATCACCGTCACTACCACCATTACCATTTCCATGACTATTGCTATTGCTCTTATTCTTACTCTTGCTAAGCTATTTATAACTAATAGAGTCTCAGTTTGCCAGTAGCACCCTTTTGCCCTTTTATTGTACGGGCTCCCTTGTTAAAACTGCATACAAGGAACAACTCCACCATTCTGGTCAACGGGACACTGCGGAACCAGGCAATATAGTATTATTGCTATTGCAATTATTATAATTACTATTAATCTACTGCTGCTACTAATATTACTTTGATTAACAAGACCCCAGAGGCTTTGGCAAGGACTGAGGCAATCATTCGATGTAGCCATATAGATAAACATGGCTCGGGGCTTGTAAAACGATAAGGAATAAAATAAAACGATAAGATTTCAAATAGGGATAGGAATCCTTGACTGGGTTTTTTTGCAAACCCACATGTCGGAACACTGCTGCAGGCGCTCCTCATCAAACGACTGTGCTCGGGCTGAGCAGCAGCAAAGGTGCCTCGCAGAACTCGCTGCAGGTCCTGCTGCTGCTGCCGCCTGCTTGCGTGCTGCCGGAGAGGCTGGCAGGGCCGCCCATCATGGCACGATGTACACAACGGCTTGCGCCCCGCACAATGCGACCTTCCTGA